ATATCTACGCCTCTGCGCAGGCAACCAAATGTTATTCCTAGGAATCCGCAATAAGCCTGCTCACACTTTAAATCAGCCTCTGCGCAGGCACATATGCAACTATGTTTTTATGCAACACTGAGCCTCTGCGCAGGCAACACTATATTGAATTCTGCTTCTCACACTATGCATGCGATTTTTACTGCAAAAACAATAAAAACCATTTAAAACAATAAAGCAATAGGAATGCAAATTCCCAACACTGTAGTGCTACAGTCACCGTTTAGGTCACCCCCAACAATAGTTAAAAGTTAACTTCTCTCAAGAGTTTAACTTATTTGGCATCCCACACCGTGCTGCTCTGTCCCGACTGGTCCTGTCTCTTTGGCTGAGATCATAGAGATCGATCCAATGCTTTCACATAGGAAAACACTGGAAGGCTAGTGTGCATGCCCCGCAATAGCTGTGCGCGAGGCCTTAGGAGGCCGCCTAAACCGCCTAATTAGAGAGCCGCCTCTGGCTGTGCTAATTGGTTGGAATCTGTGAGACCATCTGATTTGAAATGGTGGAGATTTACTCAACTATTACGCAGAAGTGCCGCTAGTGGCTTTGGTCTAAGGCAAAGAATAGACAAAGATAACCTGCAAAATGTCAAGACTGAGTAAGCCATATATAAATAATGATATTGCACTCACATATATGGGAGCTTTGGCCAGCTCTAGTGTGGATTGCCTATAGTGGTATAGTCCCCACTATTGTGATATAGTGAAAGTTGGTGAATAGAGGCAGAACATGGTACTCAGACCACTTTATTAATATGTAGACCGGGTGCCGATACCATTCCTTTAAGAAAAAACAGGTGTGGAGGTAGGAGAGTAGGATAAATAAAAGGAGGGAGGGGGGTATAGGAAATAAGTGATTAAAGAAGATGAAGCTATATTGTAGGGGCAAATTATCAGGGAACACACAGATTGATTCCTGAACATTCAAATCTATTGTAATTCAAACTTGGGTTCAACAAATCAGAGGCAGTGACTATTAGAACATCACCCTAAAACTACCAGGTCAAATCAGGCGTTTATTCATGGGTCAAGTTATTAAATGAACGCTTTACACCCATAAAGCACACAGATAACTTATTGGAACTATGTGCAGGGAGAAATGTCTAAGATGGTGGTAGATGCCCCCGCCATTCACTCCTGAATCTATGTTGCTCCACCAAACGCACCTACCAATTGCGAAATATATTAAAAAAAAAAAAAAAAGTATTTCAAGGCACTTGCTCAATGCTCCTGATACCGATCCTATTGAAGCAGCAGGAGGTTCCCACGCTCTGGCAGTGGAAGGCCAAAGATGAAAAGATGTATGATACGGGGCTTACTGCCACACTTAATGATAGATCAGAAAACTGTTACAGAAATGGATGCCGTGGCTCGACTATATGTCACAAGCAGTATAGTAAAAGCATTAGTTTGCAAGAAGGGCGCTTAAAGGGAAATTATAGGCATCCAGACCACGTTAGCTCATTGAAATTGTCTGGGTGCATAGAGATGGTTGTCAAACAATGCCCCAGAATAAACGCATTGCCAAGTAAATGTCGGTTGAATTAGTGATCTATATTTGAAATATTTATTTTATGAAAATTTTTAAAAGCAATTTAATATCGCTTACCAAATACTGAATACTTTTAACCAGAGTATTTGGTATGATTTAATAGATAAATCCATACATTTATAAAGACAAGTCCACGTTAACACCGCAAATGATGATTTAATTAAATAAGCAAAACAAAAAAAGTTTACAATTTTGAGCACAATTTTAAAACTGCATTAAATTGGAATGTTTCATGCTCTGGGATCAATCAACCGCATATACAGAGATATATCAACTACTGGACTTGAGGGTTCAACTGTTGGGACAAGCATGGGCCAAAGATAAATCTTCATATATTGTACAGATACGGTGATCTGTCATCCAGCTTGTTCTGCCCAAACACTGACATTTTGGCAAATTGTTTAGAATTAATAATTCCTCAAAAAGTCATATGTAAAATTGTTCTATCAACAATGTATCCTAAAAAAATAGATATTAAATAAAGAATAATGGCATACTTACTTGGGTAGCATAAACATGTCTTGATAAATTGTCCCTATCGGTCAGGAACCCTGGCACCGGCTGACAGGAGAATAGTTTAATTAACACCACACAAAATGTGGACATTCTGTTTCTTTTAGGACTTAGTCAAATCAAATCAGATGGTAAATTTATGGATTTGAGGGAGTAGAAAATGCTTGCCTTAACATATGACAAAAATTTGATTTTTTTTTTTCAATTCTTTTGGTCAAAGTAAGATATTTTATTAATGATGACCATATCATTTTATCATTGAATGCAAGCATATGATTTATTAAAATAAAAGTTTCTATTCTTACAATGTAAATTTTAAGCTCTGGCAGTATGTGTATATTACTGAATATTTCTTGTAGAATGTGCTTGTTACATACTTACCAGGGAAGCAGGGTGTGAATCATTTTCCCGCCCTTTCTGTCCTGCTCAGTCTCGCTTTCCGGCTGCTGTGAACACAGAGTACAGGTTGCCAGGCAACAAAAAAGCAGTTTCCTAACTTTCTGTGAATGCCAGTAAAGCCATTTCTATTCTGAATTATTATTGTCCCAAAAGATATTTTAATGACCTGCTGGGAAATCCCTTTATGTGGCTAACAATAGCGCTCTTTCTACACTGAATTTACTACATTACGAAACCTAGAAACATAGAATGTGACGGCAGATAAGAACCATTCGGCCCATCTAGTCTGCCCAATTTTCTAAATACTTTCATTAGTCCCTAGCCTTATCTTATAGTTAGGATAGCCTTATGCCTATCCCACGCATGCTTAAACTCCTTTACTGTGTTAACCTCTACCACCTCAGCTGGAAGGCTATTAAATGCATCCACTACCCTCTCAGTAAAGTAATACTTCCTGAGATTATGTTTAAACCTTTGTCCCTCTAATTTAAGACTCTGTCCTCTTGTTGTGGTAGTTTTTCTTCTTTTAAATATAGTCTCCTCCTTTACTGTGTTGATTCCCTTTATGTATTTAAATGTTTCTATCATATCCCCCCCGTCTCGTCTTTCCTCCAAGCTATACATGTTAAGATCCTTTAACCTTTCCTGGTAAATTATAAAATCACCGTCTATGTAACAGAGCTATGCTATGAAATACAATATATACAATTTTATAAATTCTAAATGAAAAATAAAACTGGTTTATTCAATAAACAGTGATGTTTGGGAGGTTATTAGTCAGCTTGACCAACTTTAGGCCATTTAACAGACATTGTTTTTTTTTTTTTGTTTTTTAAACTTTGTTTTTGAAGTCGGTTTAACTTGATCAGCACAACACAGTTTAGTAAATAACCCCCTAGTTTAAAAAAAAATAAAAAAAAATTGAATTCACTATTAAAGCAGGACTATCTCCTGCATAATAATAAAACAATATAATAATAATGATGACTGTCCTTAATTTCATGATGATATGCTGGTAGGAGGGGGTATCTCAATGCTGTGTGGGATATTAACCCTTGGAGTGCTGTATCTAGGGGTGGTGTGGGAAATTAACCCCTGGAGTGCTGTATCTAGGGGCGGTGTGGGACATTAACCCCTGGAGTGCTGTATCTAGGGGCTGTGTGGGATATTAACCCCTGGAGTGCTGTATCTAGGGGCTGTGTGGGATATTAACCCCTGGAGTGCTGTATCTAGGGGCTGTGTGGGATATTAACCCTTGGAGTGCTGTATCTAGGGGTGGTGTGGGAAATTAACCCCTGGAGTGCTGTATCTAGGGGCGGTGTGGGACATTAACCCCTGGAGTGCTGTATCTAGGGGCTGTGTGGGATATTAACCCCTGGAGTGCTGTATCTAGGGGCTGTGTGGGATATTAACCCCTGGAGTGCTGTATCTAGGGGCTGTGTGGGATATTAACCCTTGGAGTGCTGTATCTAGGGGCTGTGTGGGATATTAACCCCTGGAGTGCTGTATCTAGGGGCTGTGTGGGATATTAACCCCTGGAGTGCTGTATCTAGGGGTGGTGTGGGAAATTAACCCCTGGAGTGCTGTATCTAGGGGCGGTGTGGGACATTAACCCCTGGAGTGCTGTATCTAGGGGCTGTGTGGGATATTAACCCCTGGAGTGCTGTATCTAGGGGCTGTGTGGGATATTAACCCCTGGAGTGCTGTATTTAGGGGCTGTGTGGGATATTAACCCCTGGAGTGTTGTATCTAGGGGCTGTGTGGGATATTAACCCCTGGAGTGCTGTATCTAGGGGCTGTGCGGGATATTAACCCCTGGAGTGCTGTATCTAGGGGCTGTGTGGGAAATTAACCCCTGGAGTGCTGTATCTAGGGGCTGTGCGGGATATTAACCCCTGGAGTGCTGTATCTAGGGGCTGTGTGGGATATTAACCCCTGGAGTGCTGTATCTAGGGGCGGTGTGGGAAATTAACCCCTGGAGTGCTGTATCTAGGGGCTGTGTGGGAAATTAACCCCTGGAGTGCTGTATCTAGGGGTTGTGCAGCCAGGACAATCACTGGGCCTCTGGTCAGGTTTTGGGGTATATTGCACAGGTGGCAGTGAGAGGGTTAAACTGTGCTAATCTTCCCAAGCACAATAAAGGAGAGCTCTGCATTCCTGCTGATTTGGACAGGGCTCCATTCATTCCCTAGGAGACCTGCTCCCCGCCCTGCCTTTGCTTGGTTTGTTATTCTGGTTTCCTGGCAACCACTGGAGAGAAGCTTCCTTTGCATGGAGTTTGGCTCTGCAAGTGTGCAAGACCTACCTGTAAAGAGACCGAGAGAGAGAGAGAGAGACCTACCTGCAACTTAGGGGGAGAGAGAGCTACATATCTGCCTGTGTAAAGAGAGGTGCCCCTACCTGCAGAGAGTCTCCAGACACTGTGGCCCCCCAGCCCCACTCCCCCCTAACACTGCCCCTCATTTATCCTGTAGTGGACCCTGCAGACTACCAGGATGAATCTGGTGCTGTCCAGGTAAGTTTAATTGCAGAACAGACATTTCCACACCTTGAATGGGGCCCACTCTATTAACAGAGGGCACTACACACTTTGTAGATATTCCTAATGGCATTGACCCTAAAATCCAGTCTTCAGGGCCACCCAAACAATACACCCCCTGCTTGAGCACAGGTGAGACAGGAGACTGTCACTAGTGCAGTGTTTTGAGGACTTAAATGGTCAGTGAGTGAGGGTCAGTGTCCTTCTCTAAGCAGACCATAACAGGCTGCTGAAAGTGATCCAAACAGTTAGACAAACCAACTGCTGTCTGTAGAATATGTTGGGGCGGAAACACGGCAGCTCGCACAGGGGGGAACACGGCAGCTCGCACAGGGGGGAACACGGCAGCTCGCACAGGGGGGAATACGGCAGCTCGCACAGGAGGGAATACGGCAGCTCGCACAGGGGGGAACACGGCAGCTCGCACAGGAGGGAACACGGCAGCTCGCACAGGAGGGAACACGGCAGCTCGCACAGGAGGGAACACGGCAGCTCGCACAGGAGGGAACTCGGCAGATCACGCGGGGGGAGGGGGAGGGCGCACGGAAGATCACGCTGGGGGGCACGGCAGATCACACAGGAGGGAACACAGCAGCTCACACAGGAGGGAACACGGCAGATCACGCGGGGGGTGGGGGGCGCACGGAAGATCACGCTGGGGGGCCGGCAGATCACGCTGGGGACACAGCAGATCATGGGGGCTAGGGGGGAAGAGGGGAACACGGCAGATCCCGCTTGGTGGGGGAGGGAGGACATGGCCGATCCTGCTGAGGGGGACAGGAGGACACTGCAGATCCCGAACAGGACAGATCATGCGATGGGGGGGAGGGGGGAGCATGGCAGATCATGCTGGGAGAGACACACGCCAAATCACGCTGGGGGGAACACGGCAGCTCACAATGGGGTGGGGGGGGGACATTGAGTAAATCCAAAATGTCTTTTGCGCTAAACAGGCCCTGTCACCTTTCAGAGTCCCAAGTATTAATCATTACAATATATCAAATAACCGTTTTGCATTTTTCCCCTGATCGACTCTCCTGCGCACCAGGCTTGAAATCTAGAAGTGTCTGGTTAATTAATCTAATGCAGATAGGGTGATGCAGATATCCCTAAAATGGAAGTGTAAGCCATACGTGTGTTGAATGGATTTTCTATTAGGGAGCTCTGAATCGTGCATTTTCTTTACAATGTGTTATATGTTTTGATTCTAGTAGTGAAGTTGTGACATATTTTGGCTTTCTTTTAAAAAAAAAATTATTTTATAGAATCTGTGTCGGTTTCTATGATTTTTCTTTTCTTTCTTTCTCTATAGAGATGCTCAGGTTAAAATTATGGAAAACACGGTGACAAATGCAGAGAAATACTTTGGCCAGTTCTGTACGGCGATGGCATCCTACACCCGTAAGACGGCCAAACTGAGAGACAAGGCAGACATGTTGGTAAAACAGCTGATTGATTTTGCCAACACAGAGAACCCAGAACTGAGAACAGCTCTGAAAAACATGGGAGAAGAGCTTGCCAAAGTGCAAGACTACAGACACGCACAGGTAATAAGACGTTCCATCCTCCAATCACAAATACTTTCTTTTCTAGAGTACTGGGCAGCTCTCTAATACCCTCCTTTTGGAATATGATAAAGAGTCTGCTCAATCTGTGATCTGGTGGCAAGCAAAACTTACATTCTATGAAGACTATCTAAACAATCGCTTTGTTATGAGCACTCCAACTTAAAGGGACACTGTAGTCACCAAAACAACTTTCACTTAATGAACCAGTTTTTGTGTATAGATCATGCCTCTAAAGTTTCACATAGAAACATAGAATGTGACGGCAGATAAGAACCATTCGGCCCATCTAGTCTGCCCAATTTTCTAAATACTCTCATTAGTCCCTGGCCTTATCTTATAGTTAGGATAGCCTTATGCCTATCCCATGCATGCTTAAACTCCTTTACTGTCTTAACCGCTGACACTTCAGCTGGAAGGCTATTCCATGCATCCACTACCCTCTCAGTAAAGTAACACTACCTGATTTTAATTTCACTGCTCAATTCTCTGCCATTTAGGAGTTAAATCCCTTTGTTTCAGTTTATGCAGCCCTAGTCACACCTCCCCTGGCTGTGACTGTCACAGCCTGCATGAAAACAAAATGGTTTCAGTTTCAATGTAACTTACTTAAAGGTGTTTATCTCCTGCTCGGTATATTTAACTTTAAATACAGACAGGAGGCTCCTGCATGGATCTTGCAAGTAAGTAACAGAGCAGGAGATAATATATTCTAAATTAAACAGAATTTGCAATAAATGAAGTGTAAACATTAGATGACTCTTTACAGGAAGTGCTTAGGAAAACGTGTAAGTCCTGTGCAGGGAGGTGTCCCTAGAGCTGCATAAACAAAGTGATTTAACTCCTAAATGGCAGAGAATTGAGCAGTGAGCATGATCTATACACCAAAACTGCTTCATTAAGCTAAAGCTGTTTTGGTGACTATAGTGTACCTTTAAAGAGTTGGGTAATGTCAATATGTTCTATCTTCTATTTGATGAGGATTTTTCAGTTGATTAAATTGATGTTTACATTTTTTTGCCAGTGATTACTGTTGCAGAGTCATTTAGGTTTTAATAAAAACTAAACTTGCTGTTGGAGGATTTGATTTATATTTAATGCTCTATTTATAAAATACTATTGGTAAAAGAGATTCTCCCTTATTGGCCACCATGAAAAGACTTTTATACGGTGCAAGAAAATTGTGCACGAAAACCATTCTGAGCTCTGCTTTGAAGCATCTTGTGATTTTCTTGAGTGATCTACTGGCTGACCAGTGAGGACGTAGTAAATTGTCACATTGTATCCTACGAACAGAAAACCTATAAAATGGAACCTTCCATCGCCATGGTAATTGTTTTACTAAAACACCACTAACTCTGCAATGGTAAATGCAAGCAAAAATATATAAAACATTCAACATTGATTTAATTAACAGAAGAGGACCTATGGAATATACAGTTACATGTTTTGACACTTCCTCTTTGAGTTGATGCATACCAGACACACTGATCTGTAAAATAAAAGGCCGTTGGTATATGCACAATGGTCCGTCTATACTGCTAAAAGATGGGTTAGACAGTTGCTGAGTAAGAGAACCTTTACGCGCATACTGTGTTTAACAGGAAATATGAATCTTGTCAGCTGTTGTTGGAGTTGGAATCCCAGAGTGCTCGGCATCTCACATTCGGGAGCAATGCTCTAAAGTAAACCCCTGCTGATAAGAGGTGGTGAGCACATGGGTACTGATACCAATAGTTTCAAATAATTATATGAAACAAATAAAATTGGCAATAACTAGTCCATTACCACCCTAGCCAGTTGTGGAATTGCAACAGTGGCCAAAATGGGCCAGATACTAAGCTTATTTGTAAACCCAAAAAACAGTAATATAACACCACAATATCAGTGAAAAGTAGTAAAAATAACTTGGCTTAGTAATCAAAATGTAGCCTCCCAAGATCGCTACCCACAAAGAACGACCTTCACGATATACAGAATACCAGAAAACAGAACATTCGGGATACAGCTAAGTGAATCTAAAAAAGGAACATAAACAAAAAAAAATAGTGTGCTACAGTATGCACAATAAATCATGCGCGATATAAAAATGCACTCACAAGCTGACGTAGAGTTAAGCGCCCATAGGGTGCCTCCCCCGATGATGTGGGGGGCTAGTAATCCCCTTCTCACTGCAGGATAACCAATGGTACACAGGACTTCAGATGGATAAGTGTAAAAAAATCAGCTCTTTTATTATTTTTAAAAAGGTGAATAATCACCAATCCGCATAGGATAAAAAAGAAGAAAGCGTAGGATAAAGATAGCTTATTTGCACAAACAATGCCAAATAACAGTTGCAAACAACTGTTTTGTTTTTTTATATATATATATATATTTTTTTTTTTTGGGAGGAGTGGGGATTAAAAACCAGGAACCAATTTATTTATATAGTTATTATTTCAGAACAGGCCAAGGAAAATGCATTAGAGTATATTTGACACCAAACCATTTTGACATGTCACTTCCCAGAATCCCTACAATGTTCAGTGCTAAAACGGCGACCGTAGTGTTACAGTAACTGTGCTAAAATATTGCCATCCTCTCCGTTTTATACAATGTAACATCTCCCGCACTTGCAAATGAGCACTGCATTACGGAAAAGCGCGCATGCAGATAGAGGTTGTGATTGGTAGCTGCAGGGAAAGGTCGGTTTTGATTGATGCCCTCAATGTTTAGAAATATTTGCTGCGGGCCCAGTACAGTTTTTGTTGAAAGGTTACGTTTATCATGCAGCTGCAGGATTAAAGCGCACTACAAGCATGACTTATGGATAAAAGGAAACTACCACAACCACGTCTTCAAAGGCAATTTCAATATCACAGGAAAGGTCGAACAAACAGCGATGTATAGGGAAGTCAATTACTCCAGCATTCAGATCTCTTCTCCTGCCTGCTTTCCCTGGCTCTCTCTCATTTCCATATTCATAGCTACTTAATCCTCAAAGCAATAATCTGCATGTAACGATTTTCATCTTCTGCCTGTGGAAGGGCTGACCTTTGCCGAGTAATTTGAAACGTAGAACAGTGTTAATGAATTGGGCAGCCCTGGCAGTTAAATGATTGCACTGTAGGAGGGGAAAAAAATTCAAAGGGGAGGCGAAAAATGTCTCAGAGCCTTTTAATTAGGGTATTTTTTTTTCCTGGGAAAAAAGAGATTGCTGCTGAGATAATTGTTTATACATTAATTACTGCTACTATTTGCCTTGGGAATCTAGAACGTTTGGGCGGAGGAGTCCATAATGTATATTTTATTGAAATTTTGCACCCATTAGGATAGAGATGCAAGTGTTACTTATACAGCTTTAGCACAACCGAATCACAAACTAAAAGTTTAAAAAATCTAGAATCTTTATAGTTTATTTTCATTTACATATACAAAAAAACAAGTCCCATCACTCTTGGGCAGCAGCAACGACCACAGTACATATCAGCCCCAATACATACAGTAAAAACATGGCAAAGTATGTAAATTCGTTAACTCCTACATAATCTCCAATGTTAGTTTCTCCTTCATATAGGTGACTGTCAATGTTTTATTCTCAATGGTGTAATCTCCAGAGAAGTGACTGTTCACCTTTCACATGTGATAAGTTACAGGCTTACTACACCTTCACCAGAACTGGCTATAGATGCGCACAAGGCCATGTGATTTGTTTATAACATGCTTTCATATATAACGTCTGTTTTCAAATGGGAAAAGATGGGTAAAAACCTCTTCTGGAGGAAAGATTGATTGCTTCTGTACAAGAGCAGCACATTTCGATATCTGGGGATTTGAAAAGGCAATAAATCTGTATATTTTTGTCTATGAATGTATATAAAAAAGGGAGTATTGCAATATGAATATCCCTTTATTTTACATACCACTGCTTCCAATATTTCACACCTACTGAGGGTCTCCGATTAAGTGTAAAAATATCAAAAAAACAATGCCCTTAAAAGGGATTCCTTTGCTTTAGGGTCAAAAGGTTTACTGGGGTTGTATGTGAAATAAGCTTTGTTTCTCGTGATTTTTTTCCTGCCCTTGTAACCGCAGCCGGTTCCCCTATTTACCACTATAACATTTTGCATATGCCAATAACACCCTTCCTTCTATGGAGCAACCACTTTTTTAAAATTATTATTAAAATAAAAGAACTAAACCGTATGGCCTGCTCTTGTTTGTTCATGTGAAGCTCATCGCCCTCACTTGTTGTACAAACAATCCTGGTCTGTGGCTGTGAATCCTGATCTCTTGTGTATTCTCGATCATATTTACTGATGCCTCTAACAGAATAAGATCTGTATGGAGAATGCTGTATGAGTGCATGCGCGCTTCTTTCCGAGTTGACGTATATGCACACAGTCATGATACCATGAGGATGTGATACATTTACTGTGTTTACTGTGGCTGTTCCAGGACAGTCTACCATATGATGCAATTATAACTAGCTAAAATGATACTGTAATTGTAGGTAGAAAGGCTGGAAACAAAGGTGGTGACCCCAATGAAACGATATGGATCTGTAATAAAAGAAACACGGGTAAGTGAACTATGATGCCATATATTATAACTGCCTAAATTTACATTTGAACCTATAGTGTGTCCCAGCATGCTATCCTTACCCTGCTCTGTCTGATAGTGACCTGTGTTGGGATCCCTGCTCAGTGTGATTTAGGCCTGTGTGGTTTCCCTGCTCTGCTAGTCTTCTTCTTATGGTCTGTGAAGTATCTCTACCATTCTCGGGCTGATTGAGGCAGGTATCTCTACCCTTCTTGGGCTGATTGAGGCATGGGAGGTATCTCTACCCTTCTCAGGCTGATTGAGGCATGGGAGGCATCTCTACCCTTCTCAGGCTGATTGAGGCATGGGAGGTATCTCTACCCTTCTCAGGCTGATTGAGGCATGGGAGGTATCTCTACCCTTCTCAGGCTGATTGAGGAATGGGAGGCATCTCTACCCTTCTCAGGCTGATTGAGGCATGGGAGGTATCTCTACCCTTCTCAGGCTGATTGAGGCATGGGAGGCATCTCTACCCTTCTCAGGCTGATTGAGGCATGGGAGGTATCTCTACCCTTCTCAGGCTGATTGAGGCATGGGAGGTATCTCTACCCTTCTCAGGCTGATTGAGGCATGGGAGGTCTCTACCCTTCTCAGGCTGATTGAGGCATGGGAGGTATCTCTACCCTTCTCGGGCTGATTGAGGCATGGGAGGTATCTCTACCCTTCTCAGGCTGATTGAGGCATGGGAGGCATCTCTATCCTTCTCAGGCTGATTGAGGCATGGGAGGTATCTCTACCCTTCTCAGGCTGATTGAGGCATGGGAGGCATCTCTATCCTTCTCAGGCTGATTGAGGCATGGGAGGTATCTCTACCCTTCTCAGGCTGATTGAGACATGTCAGGTATCTCTACCCTTCTCAGGCTGATTGAGGCATGTCAGGTATCTCTACCCTTCTCAGGCTGATTGAGGCATGGGAGGTATCTCTACCCTTCTCAGGCTGATTGAGGCATGGGAGGTATCTCTACCCTTCTCAGGCTGATTGAGGCATGGGAGGCATCTCTATCCTTCTCAGGCTGATTGAGGCATGGGAGGTATCTCTACCCTTCTCAGGCTGATTGAGGCATGGGAGGCATCTCTATCCTTCTCAGGCTGATTGAGGCATGGGAGGTATCTCTACCCTTCTCGGGCTGATTGAGGCATGGGTGGTATCTCTACCCTTCTTGGGCTGATTGAGGCATGGGTGGTATCTCTACCCTTCTTGGGCTGATTGAGGCATGGGTGGTATCTCTACCCTTCTTGGGCTAATTGAGGCATGGGAGGTATCGCTACCCTTCTCGGGCTGATTGAGGCATGTCAGGTATCTCTACCCTTCTCAGGCTGATTGAGGCATGGGAGGTATCTCTACCCTTCTCAGGCTGATTGAGGCATGGGAGGTATCTCTACCCTTCTCGGGCTGATTGAGGCATTGGAGGTATCTCTACCCTTCTCGGGCTGATTTAGGCATGGGAGGGATCTCTACCCTTCTCGTGCTGATTGAGGCATGGGAGGTATCTCTACCCTTCTCGAGCTGACTGAGGCATGGGAGGTATCTCCACCCTTCTCGGGCTGATTGAGGCATGGGAGGTATCTCTACCCTTCTCAGGCTGATTGAGGCATTGGAGGTATCTCTACCCTTCTCAGGCTGATTGAGGCATGGGAGGTATCTCTACCCTTCTCAGGCTGATTGAGGCATGGGAGGTATTTCTGCTATGTCTGAGGCCTGTGAGACATGCCTGCGTTCATTATATATCCTAATATAACCCTGTGAGTTGTCTTTGTTTCCAGTTTTGTCACCCTTAATTTATATCTGAGCCTGACTAAAATCGACAATCTCCCTTTATTTCCTCAACAGGCAGAAATTAAGAAGTTCAACTCTGTCAGAAACAAGGAGATTAAGGAGCTGGAAAAGCTGGAGCGGCTACGACACCGGGCACCTTCAGACCGGCAAATGATTGTATCCTTAACTCTTAATACAAGCATTGATTGTTTAATCACAGCCAATCTGCAAGTACAAGAACATTCCACACACACATAAAGGACTTCCACTTCTTGACACTATGTGTCTGGAGTCTGTTATATTTGTGACCTTTTTATAAAAGTGATGATTTTAGCACAAGATGGCAATTGGACAGTCAGGGAGGTTTTATTGTGCTTCCATTAGCTGCACAGAAGAGCCGCAATCATCTATGCACATGTGCTTGTAGCTCCAGCACAGGAGCTTCCCGATGACAAGTCTCTGATTGGAGTATTCCCTGGCACAAACTGACAGTCTGTGCCAGGGAGCGAGGGGATGGTTTGTAAAGCTGCAGACATGACGGTGTATGACATGTATTTGTTGAGGAGATGTTAACAGTTGTTTCATTTTAAATTGATAAGTAGGGGATCTTAAAAGGCATTGTAGGCCCTAAGGGGAAAATACAGAAGAAATTAAAAGTATTCTTCAAATTGGCTTTTTTTTCCCCAATTTTTTCTAATTCTCTTTTTAGCCAGTGGTCAATTGTCCATCGTTGCCAGCTTAGGGAGTATACTATGCAGTGTTGTATAACTAACAGCAAGATATATTTTGTGGATATTCCTTGACTTAACTTTCCTCAGTCCCAGGTGAGTGGTGTGTTCTCTGCCTATACCATAACAATTTGTAACAGGTAAGGTCTTTAAACACGTTCCGGTGGAGGAAACAATTGGCTACACGTTAACATTTTAAGATTCACATCTTTCACTGTTTTTGGTTTGTTTGTTTTTTTTTTTTTTTTACTTTTGCATTATGACAAAAATTAAGACAAAATTAAGACCTTTTTAATTATGTTTTTGTGAAGGTTATTTGTCCTTGGTAAGAACTTGGTCTGCCCTGTGATTTCTATAGCCAGGGAGCTTGAGAACTGCACAGATTGAGATGGCTTACTTGTTGTTTTCGTAAACATTTCATACTGACACATTGCTGTGAAGGTTCTGTGGTGCCTGGGCAGACATTTAGGAGTTAAACATAGGATTAAGTTTTTTTTTTTTTTTTTTTAGGCGTGCTGAAACTTGAAGGGTTATTTGCCAAGTTCTCACCATCCTATGTCTCTGCAGACCAATCAGATTGATGATATTAGAATGGCAGTAGTTGTTATAAAATATGCATCACTCAGTACTGGCCCTGCTCCTCCTGCAAGGCATTTCCTGTTTGAGAGGCTGTTAGTGGGCAGATGGGAAGTGATCCCTCCCAGTTCCTGTCGAGCCTCACACACAGACTCTGGAGTTTTACTTCTGTAACTGTTCCTGCAGGTCTGCTATTAAGGCTTACTGGACTACAGAGGACACTGGTTAAGGCTTCTGGAACCTATTTCTTCCCACCAGCCCACTCAAGCTTAACCCCTTAAGGACACATGACATGTGTGACATATCATGATTCCCTTTTATTCCAGAAGTTAGGTCCTTAAGGGGTTAAAAAGGCACATTATAAGTGCTGAAAACAGGCGCCCCCTAGTGGTCAGGTGCCTACTCTGCCTAAAGGGAAACCAGCCCTGACAATATGCACTGTAATTTTAGCAGTGAAACAATTTCAGCTGGGCCTGACAAGGTGCCCTGTTCTTCTGGACTCTTTTGTGCTGCTACCTGGTTCATCAGGTCATCTGTATGTGAACGAAACTCAAAACACAGAATACTTTTTCTACCTGTCGAGGTCTCTTAGTTGTTTTCATTTCCCTTATCACCCAATATAGTCACATTTGTCTCATGACGCTCAGGAAAACACTCAGCGGGGAGTTTCAGATTCAATCTAATGCCTCCCTCCTGATGTCCTGTAGTTTACTTTGAAATTCAGTTTTTTCTAGTTATCGACTGATAGAATCCTACTAAATTGAGTCCTGGCAGAGGATTTGTGTGGTTTCGCAAACATGTGCAACATAAAATGCTTTTTCCCTGCTTGGATGAGTTGTTCAATAGTTCAGTTTAATTGAGCTTTATAAAGTCAGGAACTGGGGCCAGGAGCCTTAAAGATCCTTCCCCAAGCTCTGACGACACTCACCAGTTGAGAATGTCTAGGTCTATGGGTGGAAAATTTGACATTAAAAGTACCCCTTATAATCTGATTTATCTTATGTAGTTAACACCTGAAATATACAGATGATTATAAGTATATATGTTCAGGCCGTCTATCGTAGGTGAAACGTAAAGGAAATTTGTGTCCCTCTCTGCCATCAATTTAGATGTAAATTAATAGAAAGTAGGAATATGGAAACTGTCCTTGGGGCCAGAAAACCCTTAATGTAGCACTTGGCTATAATTCTGGGAAATGTACATGGGTCAGAGAATCTTATGTTTATTGCCATTAGTCATAGGCTTCCATGCAGTATCTCCGGGTTCCTTGCATCTAACCGTTTTTTATTTCTGTGATTAAACCTTTATCAGAAATCACAATTTGTGAAAGGAACATAAGGGTAGTTCCAATAAAGGAGTAATAACCGCAATACATATAGGCATTATGTGTACATACTTCCAAAGTACAAGTGTCCATAGTAGAAACAGAAATGCATAGAGTAACTCACAACAGGAGTTTGCGGACACATAACATACGGTCACAGATAAGAGGGGAAAAAGGCAAGAAAATACATACATGTAACTTCTCGCAAAACAGTCCAAGTACAGAACATGCGTGATATATGTTTAGACCGATCTTGAGTGTGTATTGGGTTTAACCGTTTGATTGGATCTGACCATTTTGCATACCTTTTCTACAAATCGTTTCAAACAATCTTTATTTGGGAAGATAACCCACATTTCACATACCAATTAGTACACATTGCTAAAATATCTGTTCAGTCAGACTGTGCCTGCTTGTGCTGATTTGTGGTTATCTTTCAGTCTTCCAATGGCAACCTCGACAAGGTAACCTGTCCTCTAGTCTATAGTAATTAGGGACTTGCGTTAATGGTGCAATCTGATTATTATGAAAATAAAATTATGGTGCGGAAATTGCAGTGCTACAATGTATTTAAAACTTGTGGCCAACTAGTAAAGTCTATTACCTGTATAGACCGAAATTAACCCCCCCCTCCCCCTCCCCCCGAAAAAAAGTTAATTCCTGGTAATTCAAATATTCTATTAATGAAAGAAATTATACAATCTGTAATCAAACCTGTAGAATATATAGCATTTTTTAAACCTATTTTAATTATTAAGATTACACTTATAACGCAAGGTAACTGTGTCTGTACTAGGTTGTGAAATATGTCTAACAATTGTCTTGCGTAAAAGAAATATAAATCCCTAGATAGTATTGTTTAATTGACACTAATTACAAATCACAGTATTAGAAATGACTAGGTTGGACCAATAATCTCACTTTCCAATGATAAAGATAAACACATTTTTGTAATGTATAATTTATTTGAAATCTAATAGTATCATGCTTCCCAGTGTTAAAAACAAAGCGCTATATATATATATATATATATATATATATATATAATTTATTTTAATTTAATTTTAATTTAAGATTTCTTTATTTCTTGGTTGATATTTTGCTAAAATACAGGAATTCTAATAGACAAGCTAAAATAAAATGCATCCGTTTGTTTAAGTCAGGGCCAGTGTAGAAACATATTCTGTAAAAAACATTGGTAAGTATTCAGACAATAGAACTAGTATTCTAGAATTCTCAAAGCATTGTGAGGTACATTTGGTAGGCTTGTGAGGTCTGCGTTCTGTAGGAAACATGACTGGGCAAAATAAGTATTGTAAGACCATCCCGCTGTGCCCACACTGTGTGCACATAGCGTAACACAACTGGAGTTGTGTATACAGATCAAACCTGGGGGGAGAATAAAAGTGGAGCAGTCACCATGGAAACTGGTGGATTATTCGTGATAATTGCTCCACTTTTAAAGCCACCAAAAATTGCTATTTTTAACTAACTCCCATTGTATACTTTCAACGAATCTTTTTATTACGTGTATTCTTTTTTTTTTTTTTTTATTCTTTATTTATATTGACAAAGATAGCATAGACAGCTCAAGAGCATTGCATAGTTTGCAACAATTAACACATACATTGTATACAGGGTACATCATGTCTTCCAGAGCATAGGCATACATTGGGTGGAGGGCTAAGTTCCGCCACCTTAACCCCTGCCACATACGTTTTAGCTACTTATTACGTGTATTCTGCCCTACCAACTAGAGTAAACCAGCAAGACATCACGGGACATATACATACTCCAACACTGTTTCAAGTAAAATCATTTGGGTAAATGCTCAATTATTTATATATAATCCCCACTGGGGAAACCTGAAACCTACCTTTCTGCTCTTTCTGATATGTTCTATAGGAAAATAGTGATCGGTAATGAGGCTTGCAGTGCACATACTCCTACCCACAAACACCCTGAAACACTATGCGGGCCATAGTACAGTCGTTTAATTTATTCACACCAAGCCTGTAGTGTAAAATTCAAGAATCTCTCTGACAAATGAGAATAATATATTGTGCATAGCTGAAATCTTCGGTTCGTCAGGATGAAAGTTAATTTTAGTTTTGTCCGAAACAAATTTCATCCATTCGGCTATTTCAGATTAAATTCAGTTTGGGATTTCTGTTCAGACCTATGAATTGACCCGATCACCATCAAATCATGGTGTTTTAGATAACTAGATGTTTTCAGTTTGGAACGCTTAAATCGGATTGCCACATTTAAAGATGCCAAATAAGGGAGCTATCTACTAAACACAACTCCATAACTTGGTGCTCTTAAATCTGGTGATTCCACATAAGGGTCCCAATTTTTTGAAAATATCCAAATGAACTAATTGTGCATTTTGTTCTCATTGGTTCATTCTTCCATTTTGTGGTTTGGTGATTTGTTATTTGAACGAATGGCCGATTGAACCTTTTTGAACCTCCAAGTTGCGCTTTGTTCAAAATGTCTAATAAATACAGGGCTCAAAATTTACACTAGCCATTAGCGAGTAAAAATTCACCCCTTAGGAGTGTGCCATAGATTCTCAAGGCTTCCAGTGCCAACTAACTTTTAAAGCCTGGCTAGTAGTGTAGGACTTGAAAACCACCACACCTTTGCCTAGTTACAAAATATATTAAAAGGGCTTTAAATATCAACAGACCTGTATGAAATAGCAAACTAACCAAATTTGAAATCTGAATTGTAACATTCAGGTAAAATAGCTGATTTGAAAAATCCTCAAATCTACGATCGCCACAAGCTGGCTGTTATTGGCCATGTTTTGCCATTTAGATTTCAATTCACATGAAATTGGAGTTAAGTAAATAAGCCGCCAGAACTGATTTGCAGTTCCCTCAATCTGACCTTTGTAACCAGAGAACTTCTCATTCCCTTTATTTATATTTATTATTTCTGAGGTGGGGATACAGATTATTAACAGGGGAACTGTTAGGGCACAGTATATTGAGAGATTAATGGGACGAAGGATTGGGGACTGATTATAACGTCAGACCTCCATCCACAGTCCAGAGGATGACATAAGAAGCAGGTGTATCATTCCATGATACAGAGCATCTCGTAAATATCATTCCATGATACAGGATATACAGTGCTGCCGTGAGATACAGTGCATCTCGTAAATATCATTCCATGATACAGTGCATCTCGTAAATATCATTCCATTATACAGGATATACAGTGCTGTCGTGAGATACAGTGCATCTCGTAAATATCATTCCATGATAGAGCATCTCGTAAATATCATTCAATTATACAGTGTATACAGTGCTGCTGTGAGATACAAAGCATCTCGTAAATATCATTCCATGATACAGTGTATACAGTTCTGCCGTGAGATATAGAGCATCTCGTAAATATCATTCCATTATACAGTGTATACAGATCTGCCGTGAGATACAGAGCATCTCGTAAATATCATTCCACTATACAGTGTATACAGTTCTGCTGTGAGATACAGAGCATCTCGTAAATATCATTCCATGATACAGAGCATCTCGTAAAGCGGCTTCATGTCACTTGTCCTGTGGGTGTAAACGACTTTGCTATAATCTTCCAGGCTTACAAGGCTTCATTAGCAGGACAGCGCATTCCTCATTTATTTTAACAAGCTCTAATCCATCCCTGCTAATTGGGATGCCTGCCAAATGAATCCTGTTTCCTCTAAACATGTGAAAAAGCTAGGACCCCTCTTTTTAAGAATTTTTTTTATATCAATCACAGCTTGGTTATTTTAGCTAAAAATAAATACATTTGGATTACGTTCAGTACAGTTTGTAGTTTACCAAACCATCATTGGCGGCAATGTGTAAATCATAGCACATTAAATAGTGAGTGCTTATATTTTTACAACACTGGACACCATGAAACTATTGCAGGTATCAAACACATGCAGACATAATTATATCCACTAAATCCCTTCAAGCAATTAATTGGCAAAGCACTGCACTGCTTAAGCTTCCTGCACTTAAGTGTTGATTCAGTATTCGCAGTGGTCTCCAAATTAGTTTTTCATTGAATTTTTTTTTTTTTTTTTCTCTCCCTTAGGCCGAGTCGAATGTTCAGAAGGCTTCAGTGGATGCAGCACGTACCACTCACCAACTGGAAGAGGTCATTGACACGTTTCAACAACAGAAAATCAAAGATGTCCAGGTGATTGTTAAAAAGAGAGAGTTTTCGTCCCAGATCGAAATTACTGCGTAGCTTTTTAACTTGAATTTAAGTGTTTTTTGTATTTCTTCATTTGACGTAGATTCAGCCTGATAAGATGTGAAAAAGGAGTAAAATAAATAAATAGAAAGGTTCCCTTATTGAAAAAAATATCATTTCTAAATAATAAGTAGCATCTAAACAGAATAGCTTTTGGTACGTGTATAATTGGGAAGGGCTAACTCTGAATTGTCCAAGTTAACAAAAACATTATCATCAATCAATACACCAAACGAGCATTCTAATCATCATTTCAGCTTATTTTAGTTGTGAGGGTGAAAGGAGTCTGTCCAGATTTTGTCTTAAAGGGACACTGTAGGCATCATAACAGCTGTCCTTACATTGAGCATTAAGACAAAAATTTTCATAACGTTTTAATGCTAAACAAAATTCGGAAGCAAACCATCCTTCTCTGTGCTGCTTGGGCTAATGAGAAAGCATTACACTGAACAGTAATGATCGGCTGTGATAGGCTGAATGTCAATCAGCCAACACTCAGTAAATTACAGGGCAATTTCAGGTATGAATCGGTATAGCTACAAGGAAGTAGTAATTGCTGCCTTAGCCACACCTCCAGTAGGGGTGGGGCTATAAGGAGCCATGGACCCTCATTCAGCGTTAAACTGTTCTAAAATGGTTTAACACTGAATGGAGGGACAGCCCCAGGGACTCCAGGTCCTATATCTACTTCAATGAGATAAAATGCTTATTGTGATCAGTGTCCCTTTAACATTTTGTGGGCTGTTTGACAAGGACTGCAGTTCTTCCAGCACCCAAAGCCCGGTCGCTATGCTGCTGACAAGAAAATGCAGACGTTTAATTTGGACATTATGTTTACAAACCATACAAATCTGGACAGCTGTGAACGATGAGCCAAGCTACCCCAGCACACACGGCCCATTATTACTCTCCAGATTTGAATGGGTTTGTGCGAATAATGATCCACTAATTTATGATGGTGTACAGCGATACTTCTATACATTTTAAGATGCTGATTTTAACTTTAGATAAAAGAATACATCTGCCTTGTGATGAAACTGACTAAATCCTCCATCACAACTTCCCTCATTGACTGCCAGGTTCCTTGCTCCTTGAGGTTATTTCTTGTTCCACTCATTTATACACCAAGATTAGTTTTAAATTGTACAACAGAGATGTCTAACTGTAGCTGTGGTTATCATTGTTTGAGGAATCAGACAACCTGGAGCATTTGTCTGATAGCCCCATGTGTCACTGCTGATTCACATCGGACTCTAATGAAGAAGTGATTTTGTTCTTTGTCCGGTGGCTTGTCTAACTCTCAGGAGCAAACAGTAAACTGAAACCAGATATGTCTCACGGTAAACCATATCACATTACATTAGATGAGAGTCAGTGGGAGGTATTTAAAGCTTTGGAGGGAGAGGAATGTTCAGATGAATAAGGAAAAGGATAAATACTGGGAATGGGTATCAAAGTGGGAACACAATGCATATGTAAGAAATCAAGACTCTTTTAAAAAAATATATTATAGGATAACCACATCCAGCTCAGTGATGTTGTTAAATGGACACTTTAAACACAGACCGTAAGGCCTGGGGTTGTTAAAACTAAACTTAGTCCAGGTTCTATTGGAGGTCTCTCCGATTACACTTAATGCTCCCCTCTCTCTTTAAGCCCCTAACCCGGTAAACGTTTCCAGGATTCACTGTGTCTATTTCTGCAGGTCATGCACATTATTGCTACAAAAACTGTATAGACAAATACGTTCACGAAGTAATGTGGTTCACGTTCTTGTTAAAGGCTTTTTGCCCCAAGTTAGTCCTGTCTGATGCCACTGGGCAGATACCTGCTCAATCCCATGACCTATTTGAGATCCAGCCACTTGATATCGCTAAGCCTATTTCAGTCATCTCTGGAGCACACAGTCCACTTTAGACCACTTGCTTAATTTCGGACCACTTTGCCTGTTTCGTATTTCATTGTTCTTCTCTCCTTTCTGTTCCTGTGGGCATTCTCTAGATCTCTGCTTCCAACTAGGTACCAGCTTAATCCCATTACAAATGGTTTAATTTTAAGGTGTGTTTTAGGGATGAAAAATAGACAATTCTCAGTAAATATATGTTAACATGCATTACTCACTGTAATCAGCAGATCGTTTCTCCATTTTATGCCCTTAAACTATAGGATATGTACCTGTGGAAGGGTAGTAGCACATTGTGTTTTTGTTTCGTTATTGTGGGTTTTTGTTTGTGTGTTTTCGTTCAGGAACCACTGGCTTTTATCAATGTTTGTGTAAACGGCTATCAGACATTTTAATGCTTTTTCACTCCTTGTCCTTTTCCAGAAAATATTCTCTGACTTCCTTACGGTTGAGATGATTTTCCATGCGAGGGCCCTGGAGGTGTATACGAGTGCTTTCCACCGCCTGCAGGAGTGCGACCTGGAGAAAGACATGGAGGTAAAACCTCTAACTGGCACAGCAGTGGATCAATAAATCTATTCCCATCCTTGGTGGCATGAAATCACGTACCTTTAAATTGCTGCAATTCAAAGTTCCCTCTGTAAATGGATGACGCAATTACTCTACATTTGTATGAATGGAGCGTTATTAAACTGCCGCGAGGAGTTCAGGAGGTTTAGTGTTGTTGTAGCTTTTTAGGAGTCTTTTGGTTAGGGGCCCTAGAGTTTAAGAGGGACTTATGGTAAGTGTATCAGACTTCAAACTGCTGCATAGTGTAACTTCTGTGATTCTGAGAGTGATTAGTTATGAGTTACAAACAGTCCTTCAGCACCATCTGGAATATAAATATAACTTTTTAAATTTTTTACTGTGCAGGACTTTCGGGCAAAAATTCATATTGACACAGGCACACAGGATGCCAGATCTTTCCGTGCTACAAACCTTTCCTCTAATGCCACGTGGCAGGCCAGCAATATGGTAAGTGATCTTATGTTGCATGATGTGTACATATAACCCAAGGTAGGATGGCTGACTTTAGAAGTATTTTTTTTTTCTTTACATGTAAGCAGACTCTGATAAAGAATTGCATTGTTCTAAAGCATATTGCGAATATGATGGAACAACTTTTACCTTATGGTTCCCTCTTTCAGATGGTTATCTAAGGCTTGGTCACAAAGTCAATGAAGTTCCATTGGATCACTATAGGGTCAGGAACACCCTAAACCGACCATTTAGGTGGCTTGCCCCCCCCCCCATAGGGAAAACATTGGATTGGCTAAAATCGGTACAGGGCAGGACCAATCAGGACCTCCTCATAGAGATGCATTGAATCAATGCATGTCTATGAGGAAAGTTCAGCGTCTCCATGCAGAACGTGGGGACGCTGAACGGCAGGGCTGCTTACTGTGCAGCCCGGAGCCAGGAAGCCCCTCCAGTGGCCATCTAAGGAGTGGCCAATTGGAGGTGTCCCTAGGGGCAATGTAAACACTGCCTTTTCTCTGAAAAGACAGTGTTTGCATAAAAATGTCTGAAGGGAACTATTATACTCACCAGAACAAATACATTAAGCAGTAGTTGTTCTGGTGACTATAGTGTCCCTTTAAGCTCTTCTACATTTCTCAAGACTCACTACGTATAATTTGAATGTCCTCCGCCATTATCGTTGCAGGACAGAAGAATACAATTAACATTCCAAATTTGTATCCATGATCTAAATAACCTTAAAACACAACACAGTTTAAACCCCCAACCATAAAAGTGTAGGCATATTGATAAATTATTGTATAAACAAATTATGCTATAAATAATACATAATAGCAGGGGCGGGACCGGGCGGCCATGCCAACAGGCTGCAAACCACTTGAGCTCCCGAGGAAAAAGCAAAAACTAGGGTATATACCCACCTTACCCTTCTTGTACCGACCTGGGGGTCCATGACACGAAGCTCTGGAGTGTCCCGGTGTAGCTGGAGTGCCCGACGATGGGTGGCTCTAGGTCCTGGTGAGAGACTCTGGGGCTTGGAGATGGAGGCCTACACGGGCAGGGAGTGGGGCGGACGACCGCTGCCTCACTCTTCGTCCCGACCACAGCGAACTATCATCTGACTGGCGCCTTCCTGGTCCAGCCCCCTCCCCCCCCCGCATGCTGTTATATATCTCTTTGAACTGCAAAAAATAAATAATACATAAATAAGTCAAATTAAAAACTAATAGGTTACAGCCTGCTGAACATACTCAGGTGATCTTACTCGGAAGGGGGGCGGGGGGGAAGACCTACATTCTCATTATAGCAAACAAATTCCCCTTCCCCCCCCCCCTTTTTTTATTTAGTTTGAAAGCTCACTATAGTTGGTGTTAAAAGTTGGTAACAGCCTCCTGTTACAGTGATACCTTGTGGATTATGTCTAAAGACCAATTCTGGTTCAAAGTTCTAAAAATGGAGCAGCCACCATGGACCATTTTCCCATTGGCATAGTCGCTTCTGTGCTTCTTACAAGGACTAGTTTTACCATTCAGGGGGTACTTGATTTTATTGGACATGACTGGCCAGAGGACTTTGCTGGGACCTTGCTGTTTGTACTGTATCACTAAGCTACTTCAGTTTGCTTGCCATCCTTGTACTAAACCAACCTGCTTTGGATTACCCTGCATAATTCTCTAAGTAGCAGAGGGCCTCCGTCTTTATTGTATTACACCAATAGGGTCAAACATCACTTAGCAGGGGGCGACTTATAAGATATTAATCTCTCATTAAATTATCTAATCTGACTTGCGGTTCCTTCCAAGCAGAGACCTCGTCCATTTCCTCACTGCAGCAGCAGATTGATTAATAAAAACCACTGACATTTCCTCCAGTCTCAACACTCGCACTTTAAAAAGTCCCCCTGCAAGAATCTCAATAAACTTCTCTGCATGCACGGCCCTCGCGTGATTCACCGCTCCGGTAAATGAGAAGGGTTTCAGGAAATTAAAAATGTGATTGTAAGAATTGATTCCTTGTCATACGACTTAGTGGCTGAATCTTTTAAAAAAAATAAATAAAATAGACCGGTGTGAGAGGGAGGCTTGCATTCGATTCTGGTAATCTAGAAATGAATTGCCTGCTGCTTCCAATTACCACTCTCATACTGAGAACAGTGTCAGTGGGATACGAAAGAAGGAAACCTACAGCTTTGCAGCGTTCCGTATTAAGAAGGAACACAATCGTCATCTACTCTCTGGTATAATACAAATGTACAAATATAAAATTGCGTGTGCGCGAGACACACATCATAAATTGTACGAGAGATGGTACCTGCGTAGCTGCGTTATTGATCTATGTCTTTGACCGATAGGCAAATATGCACATTCCCCCCTTCTGCAGGCCGTATACATTATTGCTACAAAAACTGTACAGACCAATGCATTCATGAAGTAATGTGGTCCATGTTCTTTTTAAAGGGATCTATTAAACGCTACTAAAGCTCTGATCCCTAAATATTAGAGACAAACCGTTGCCCCATCTGTAAGTGAATGGATTTCCAGGATAGAGTGCATCCAATGCACATTTATTTAATTATTGATTACTGGTATTTATAAAGTGTCAACATATTCCGCAGCACTGTACAATTTGGGGAAAAAAAGACAATACAATATAAACCGACCAATACAAAAGGTTGAGGACCCTGCCCGTGAGCTTACAATCTAAAGATTAAAACGGGGAGATGAGACCAGAGGTAGCAGGAATTTTGAGATGATGGCAGAGATAATTAAGTGCAGTAACTGATAACTTGAATGGAATGAGGAGGTGATTGACTAGGATTGTGACTGTTACAGAGCACGAGATACACTCAGATTTGGCAATCATGGATCACATATTTAGGTGGGATGCAGTCATCGCAGTCGGACACCTCTGACGTTACATAGGGATATTTTCTATGTTCTAATTCATTCTGATAAAAACGTATTGAGAACATGGTCATACCCTCCTTTAAACAATTTCTATAGAGTGGGTGTTTATTTACTGAGTCGACACTAAGACAGAATTCATGACTGCATGTTTCAGCATTGTGTGCCATGGTTAGGTTACTATTCATACTATGATTTTGTTATATTTTAGTGAATCTCTCATACGCATCTTACAACTGCAAAACACTGACTATGTATGGGTAGATTCTAGGATGTTTAATCTTGTACTATTATGATTTAAATTACTGTTACATGTAATGCAATGTCAATTAGGATGTCATTTTGAAATGACGTTGAATTATCCTATACAGCTACCGGTGTAATGTGATAATCTTCTAAATAAATACCAAATATAAAAAATACAAAATAATGCACTGTGTGTTTGAGGATGAACAGACATTTGTGGTGATAAATGTAGTCAGCATTGAGACTGTGAGTCCATCTAGTGGTACAATAGGCAGTGAAATATGGATTATGAGAAACTAGCAGGGTTATCTACTAAAGGGAATTCAAAGTGAATTTTAAATGTAAGGCCAGAGTAGCTGCATGGAAACCATGGCTGACTTAGATAATTTTTCCAATTCTGCTATTTTGACTTTAAATTTGAAATCCACCTATAAGTCTCATTTTAGTGCATAGCGCTATATGTTTGAGCTGCCAGATGCAGGAATTATCACATGTGATGTTTGTTTCAGAGTTTCCAGAGTACGCTTCAGAGACCGCCACAGCCACAGGTACAGGAGGACAGTGATGAAGACTCTGAGGACGAAGAAGAGGAGGAGGAGGAGGAAATACAGCAGGATTTGAGAAGCCCATATTCGAGGGTGCGAAAATAACCTGTGTGGTACAGTCCGTCCAGCTTCGGTTCCATGCTGATATTATTTGTGTAATATTTAAAAAAATATATATATTTTTTTTTTTTTTGCTCCATTATTGTTTCAATGCAATTTACCCGACCAAGAACAAAATGACTGGAATCAAGGTTTCCTGAAAAAAAGCTTTGTCACTGTTACCGCTAAGCAGATTCTTTATTTAAATGATTTTGATACATTGTTATATAAGGGACGATGAAAGTCAGTTCAATGTAATACGCTGATAAAATGTTGATGAAGGTGATCTCTCGCCTTTATCATTCTCTAAAATATACTCATTGCGCACGTGATTGTCACACACATACTGTATCTTTTACACCTTGCGGACAGTTTGCAAAGCCTTAAATTACATCTTTAGGTGTTGCTGCTTTACCACAGGTGGCTTCATTATTTTGGTTGACACACCTCTGTTAAACCAGGGATATCCATAGTGGAAATGCATTGCCTATTATAAGGATATTATTTTGTGAATTATTTTAGTTCTGTTGTGTTACCACTCACAACCTGGCCGTGCAATTGTTTTGACAGTGATTGCTGTTGTAGACTGAGGATCGTGGTTATGTCAGTCTACAACAACTGCTGTTCCAAAAAAAATACCCATCACTAGCTGAATAAAACACTGTGGTTTGAATTGCAGGTTTTAGGCAAAACTACCTGAATTGGAAATTATATATTCTTTTTTGAAATTCCACAAAAACCCTGGTCTTTTCTCCACAATTGCCAAATATAGTGGTTAAATCTCAGTATGTTGCTTAAAGGACCACTATAGTGCCAGGAAAACATACTCTTTTTCCTGGCACTATAGTGCCCTGAGGGTGCCCCCACCCTCAGGGTCCCCCTCCCGCCCGGCTCTGGAAGGGGGGAAGGGGTTTAAACTTACCTTTTTCCAGCGCTGGGCGGAGAGCTCTCCTCCTTCTCTCCTCCTCCGATCCGCCCTGTCGGCTGAATGCGCACACGCGGCAAGAGCTGCGCGCGCATTCAGCCGGTCGCATAGGAAAGCATTTACAATGCTTTCCTATGGACGCTGGCGTGCTCTCACTGTGAAAATCACGGTGAGAAGCACGCAAGCGCCTCTAGTGGCTGTCAATGAGACAGCCACTAGAGGATTAGGGGGAAGGCTTAACCCATTAATAAACATAGCAGTTTCTCTGAAACTGCTATGTTTATTAAAAAATGGGTTAACCCTACCTGGACCTGGCACCCAGACCACTTCATTAAGCTGAAGTGGTCTGGGTGCCTAGAGTGGTCCTTTAAAGGGACACCCCAGCTTGCAGAAATGCTTTGTGTGTAAATAGTGCCCCTGTTTTATTGTGTTTTCTTCATTGTTTCATTTTACAAAAAAAGTGCAGATTTTAATAGAAATTGACACTTTTCGAAATTAACCTGGGCAACTCCCCACCCCCCTTGCTGTCAATCAGACACAGGTCCTGTTACTTCCAGGTAGTTAAGGCATAATTCAATGCATGCATGTTTTCACTGGGGGTATTTGTACTGATTGGTGATGTTTGTTTGTATTTGGGCAGTAGTGTGTCCCTTTAACCCCTTAAGGACCAAACTTCTGGAATAAAAGGGAATCATGATATGTCACACATGTCATGTGTCCTTAAGGGTTAAACACACAGTGAATTGCAGTGAAGAACAAATGGTAAAGATTAGGAAAAAATCTTCAGTACCACTAGTCAGAGCTAAGCAATTTTAGCCTTTGCTTGAGATTCAATACAATTCATTATTTATGGAATAAACCCCAACCATACTGCATTTTTTTTATTGGTATTCCTAACAGAAGGCTGTGGCTTCTTATTTTAGGCCACATCCCTCTTAAAGCTTTCCCTTCAAATATCCATTTTATCTGCATCCTTTCTAAAAGCATTGCCCCTTGGTGCCCACCATAGATGATTAGAAGACTTTGTAACTAGTAGAAAAGGAAAGCGGGGAAGTGCTCATTTCATTGAGGATGTGCAGAGTTTTAAGATTAGTTCTGTGCATATTTTTCTAGTTTAACATAGTCCACACTCGGAAAAAGTTTAGGAATTGCAGCCCGCACTGTGTTTATGTAATTCTGTCTTGTGGTCGGAAAATATTCCCATCCTGTAAGGAAAGGAAAGCGCTGGAATTTCACTCAAAGACCAACGTCCATATCGAAGCATTATTCTCTTTGGCAGGGTTATAAACACACATGGCATGGCATTTGATGTAAATTTTTTGTAAAAACGTAATGTCTTGCAAATTACGGACTCGTATAGGCGCAGTCCGTCTGGGTTTTTGAGAACATTTTTCGTTTGACAAAAACTTAATGATTTCCCGACCATCAAAACCTACTCTTTCGAATTAGCACATCTTTCTGATTATGCATCTAAAATATTTGCAAGGTTGTTTGTGTCGAATCTAATTTTCAGTCTATTTGTAACTTTTTCAGTACTGCTGACTTAACTTGGGCTCTCTTGAAAAAAATCTTGACTGCTCCCTTCCTTTCTCATAAACATAACGAGATAACAATGGTCATGGCACATCATTGTACGCAATGATAAATGTATTTCAAGGCTTCACATAGGATCTTGCAAATAGGAACATGTGCAGGGAGATTGGTGTTGGTGCTGAGGTGATTATTCAAGTTTTCTGTGTGACGTCACAGTTGACAGATATCTGTCCTTTTTAAAGGAATCCTCCAAGCACCATAACAACCACAGAGTGATGTAGTGGTTATGGTTCCAGGAATGCCATGGCGCCACCCTATGTAAGTACTACTATTTACCTGGGGTCCGCTAGTTGTGGTTCCCCACCTCCACTTCTTTCTATGGAGAAGCAGGAAATGCATGGAGGTGGGTAGCGGACAAAAAGCCAAACCATTTTAAAATTATTAGACTACTTAGAATAACAATAGCAGGCTGTAGTGGTCATGGTTCTTGGAGTTTTTCTTTAATCCATACAGATTTTGACACTATTATCCCAGTTAGTACTTTAATAATAATAAAAACTAAGTGACCTAGCTGGCCTACAACAAGCAATAGACGCCTTTATCTGGCAGAGAAAGCGGCCAAGAATAGCCAAAAAAATACTGTATAATCCCAAGGGGAGAGGCGGCCTGGGTATGCCCCACATTCACCATTACTATACCGCAGCCCAAGTTGCCCAAATAGCTCACTGGCACTGCCCCAAAAATCAACGCCGTTGGGTTGACATAGAATCCCACATGACAGGAGCAGACCTCCCGCAATTCCTCATATGGACACCGAAGCATCATAGAACAATCTTACGGACAGACTGCCCGGCCATCCTAAACTCCATTAGCTTATGGGACCAGATCGCGCAGAAATTCAAACTCACACACCTCCCGTCCCCAATGACCCCAGTACTACGTAACAGAGCATTCCCACCGGGTCTAAGGGCACGAGACTTCAAAGGCATCGAAGCCACGAACCTACAACGCTATATCCACCTATACGTAGATAACCAACTAGTGACATACCAACACTTACAAATCTTAGCCCCATTGCAAACCCGCGACTTCTTCCGATATATACAATTACGGGACTTCGCGCAAACCAATGAGGTCAAAATGGCAATTGCCAAGCCTCTAACTTTCTTTGAGCAAATATGCCTCAAAGAAAGCATGCCAGCGAAACTAATCTCTCTGCTCTACAACCACATATGCCTAGAATCAGGCACGTGGGGCCCGCAGACATACACAGACAAATGGGAAGTGGATCTGGGAGAAACACTAGAGGGAACGGAGTGGCAAGACATATGGGAGGCGAACACGAAAGTGTCTATATGCACGACCTTACAGGAGCAATCATATAAAATAATGCTTCGGTGGTATACAACACCAGTCAAGCAACAACACATGCAACTCTGTCCCACCGATACCTGTTGGCGACTATGTGGAGAAAAAGGCACATACATCCACATGTGGTGGCAGTGTATTAAAGTAAAGGAGTTTTGGGAAAAGATAGTGGCCATGCACACTAAAATCCTACACCGACAAATAACACTGGACCCCTGGGCATGTCTATTATCACGACCGACAAACGGACTAGACAAACACGACCAAAAACTTCTGAATATGCTCAATCTAGCAGCTCGTAGGGCACTGGCACAATACTGGATAAAACCAGAGACACCCCCACTTTCATTAGTAATTTCCAAAATCAGAGATAATTACTTAATGGACAAGATGACAGCTACTGTTCAGAACACTACCACCAAATTTCAAAAGGTATGGGCCCTTTGGGAACAATATGAGGAAGAATCATAGGACAAATGAGCACCCAATCACAGACCGCTACTCACTCGTGCAGATTTAAGATTTAGGATTTAACACCTACGTTCACTCGATCGTTTTGCTTGTATATATGTTTTTCTTTGTGTACACAACGAATAAAAAAAAAAAAAAACCTTTGACAGGCGAAAGCTAAACGACAACAGCCTCTACGCAACCCACATGCAACAAGTCTAAAATGTATGTTATGTATACTAACAACCCAGTCTTTTTCTGTACCATGTCTAAAACATACTTGAAAAGATGGGCTTCTGCGTAAGCCAAAAATGCACTTACCTACAATGTCTGTCAATGCAAAAATAAAGAATTGATAATAATAATAAAAACTAATATTAATTATAAAGTGATATTCCTGCTTGTATACAGGTGACACAGTCAGGGATACAAGAGCTAGCAAGTTAGGAGTTTAACATATTATGCTTTAGTGCAATGTTTGCCAAAATTTAGAAGTGACTAATTTCCTAGCAATAGGTTTAATAGTTTGAATAATTTCAGGATTACCTTATTCAGAACGTTCCCGGGTATTGTCTGAGGGGGGCTCCATTCTCCCCTTTGGGATATATTCTTCCCAGCAGTCTCCAGGCATGCAGAGCTCAGCCTGTGACTAATTAGCATTCCGAATATGGAACCCTGGGGAATTTCACAGGGATTCGCTTTCAGTACAGAAACATCCCCACAGTCCTAATCAAAACTCTCCCGTCCCCCTCCCCACCCTAAATCTCATGACATATTGCAAAATGACAGAAGGTGATATAACACACTGGTTAATGTGCACGTTAACCCTTTGAGCACCAGATAGAATATAAGCAAATCCATTGCACACAATGTAAATATTACTGAAGAATGAGAATGTTTATATATATATATATCCATTTCTAGTGATCTAAGTGTATGCAGAGCTTGCTGTGTTATGTTGCTCAGTATAAACCGTGTGTGTATGTAAAGTATAGTATTACAGTATTTAGAAAGCACTAACCTATTCCACAGCGCTGTTCAATAGGTAGACTTGCAAATAGTTGCAACAAAACAGGTTTGACTTACTTACAGGATTGGGTGGCTGTGCTTTTGAAGGCCATACTCAAAATGGAATAAGCACCCTCAGACTGTAAGCTCTTAACTGTTGCAAATAAACAGAAATATTTATGTTCAATGTATCTGTCTGTTTGCAATCAGCAAATTGTTTACTCATTTATTTTGTTTTACCTAAATATTTATATAGATATATACTGATTTATATTTTACCTCAATATGTATATAGATATACTGAATCTCTATTGTATTTCCCCCTCCCCTCCCAAAAAAAATAAAAAATATTTTTTTCTACACTATCATGCATAATCTGCTTTTGTTTAGTTTTTTTGTGTGTGCCCTTCTGGAGACATTATATTATAATATCCATTTTAATGTATTTAAGGGCTACTTTGATGTTTCTGTCTTTTGATAGCGGGGATGATCACTGAATTTTGGAACCTGGGAATATTAGATTACTAAAAGAACATGTCTCTTTAATGTCGCTAATGCATGGCCAGCAGAGTGGTAAAAATATACGTTACTGTAGTCTCCGTTGTACAGTCTACTAACAAGGTCGCAGATACTAGCAAAGAATCATATGCAATATATCCGTTCCCACAGAAACGAGCAATGCATCTGCAATGAGGTGAGCATAACATTGTTTACCTTTGAATAGAGCACAGTTTTCTGACAATTTCCTCTCACAGATTGAGTTCTACTAAACTCAAACCTTTCTAGAGCGTGTGGAAACGTCTGGCAAACAGGAGGTTAATCCCATCATTAACACCCTGAGTGTCTGCTCTGTTAGTGTCATATTCAAGGCTATGTATGCCAGGAAAAAGCTACATTCAGTGCAATATTAATGTTTAATTCACTGGCTTTTGAAAGGTTTTAAGATTTATAATTAGATATGTGAATTGGCCAAAATGCCTATTCTTATAGTGCATATGTATGTTTCAGAAAGTGAGCAAAATGTATTCTGATTATGAAGCATATGTTTAAATAGCAATGTGGACATGTCCTGTGAAATCAAGACTCTTGTTATTGCAAAAAAATAAGATTTTATTTATGCATCATTGGAAAAATATATACATACAAAAAAATTATACATATTGTACAGAATACGATGGTTCTAGATCGCCCAGTAATTTAACAGAGATGACCTATGTCTAGTATTTTTTACAAATAATCTGCAAAGAACATGTAGCTTTTAATCGTAGCCCTTGTAAAAAAAATAAATGTATGACCTTTTGGGCTTCTATAAACATTCAGCTACAGGTTTAAGTTTTCCCATTAAGAAATAACTTTGACTTGTAATAAAGACAGATAAAGTTAGAGAACAAAGATTGCCTGTCTAAAAACAGATATTTTCCATGCTGAAACAATGCAATAAAAATTTACATTGTGGGGGTTATTCACCAAATAGTGAGTTGAAGGGACACTATACACCAGAACCACTACAGCTTAATGCAGTGTTTCCGGGGGCAGAGTGCCACTTAGCCAGCCACTAAATGGGCTTCCTGGGTTTGGTCCTGCAAAAATCGCAGAACTGAGATTCAGCAGATCTCTGACAAGGTTTAAGAGATTTTCCAATTTTTGCTGCATTTATGATTAATTTCTTTTTAAACAGTTGAACACTGCTTGCTCATCATATAAGAAATATTTCTTCCACCATTGTCTGAGTGGACAGATTTTTCTTTCCAAAATAGAGGCGTAAAAGTCGTACAATCTGAGGGGAAAAATAAACAAAACAAAAATTAATGTTTGTAAGAAAGTAAGGTCTTGGTTTTTTTTTTTTGCTTTGCCATCAAAGTTGAATTTGTATATAAACTCATCAAAATTAATTGAAATAGTATTTTGTTGAATCATGATAGGGTTAATGGTCATCTATATCAGGGCTAGACAACATTCGGCACCCTAGCTATTGTGAACTACAACTCCCATAATGCAGGCAAAGCATCAGGGGAGTTGCAGTCCATAATATCTGGAGTGCTGAAGGTTGTCTAATCCTGGTCTATATGTCTACACGTTCAGTTGTCACTTCATCATACTACTGCTATATCTTTGCCAAAAGGGAGTGCATTGATGATCAGACACATGCATACTGGGGCAGTGACACCCCAACCAATTCAGAAACACAAAAAATAGTCCAGTACTGTGTGTAAACAGTCTTTAAATGGATCAAACATGAGACAGCTTTTTCGCTCTGCAATTGAGCCTCTGTTGTCTCACCTTTGATCCGATTAAAAACTGCTTCCAAACAGTAATCTTGTGCTCGGATTATTTCTAGATTGGACTTGCTGGTAGTCTGGCTACCTAGTTATCCTGATGTGAGAGAACAAGATGCTCCTTCTCATTCACAAATGGTCTATGTACAGAGAAAGTGGACAATGACGTGACCCCCAGCAGCACCTTAGTGTGTTCTTCAAAGGAGGTGAAGAGAGAAGGCACTTGCATTGCATAACTAGCCCCACCCCCCCCAGTACTCAGTGGTGGTGGTGACATAGCCTCCATCCCCCAAATTCTCTTCACTCCTTCTCTTCAGGGTTATTGGTTAAATGTGGTTATGGGAATTCTGATTCTTTCATCAACTAATTTAGTATGTATCCCCAAGCACACAGTAATCCAGAATACTGCCAGGTATGCTTACCATCTGTACAGCAAAAGTAATTATTGTTGCCAGCACAAAGTTCTGTGTCCCCAAATCGACAATGCAAAAGAGCAATGTATCAAAGAGGAGCAATGTCAACTCATTGCCATAAAACAGTGTCCGACTAAAGCGCGATCGATCATCTAAAAGGAGAAGGAAAATCATGTTAAAACAGAGCTCTAAAACAAATATTCTAGATTTTAAAACACACAACAGGGCAAAGGTGTGACAGCAGCTTAAGCATCTCCTTCCTAAAATCGGGTAACAATTGGGAGTTGGAATTCTGCTGGTTGTCCGGCAGCAATCTGTATCCATTCAGCTACTGCGAAAGTAACTGGCCTAGCTAATTAGTACACCTGACAGAACAAGAGAGCATGTAGAGAAAGATGTAACGATTCACACCAGTGCCCCACTAATGAACATGTACAGTTTGATACCCAGAAGCTGGGATATTCCATCTCTCCAGGGAAATCGGGCATTTTTGTTATTTGATTTCAGCACTGTTTTCCTGGCCACGTGATGATATTGCAATCTAAGGTTGTTGTTTTTTTTGATTGTGCTGCCCGTTCTTTGGACCATCACTCCTAAATTGTGCATATTGATTACATAATTAATGGTAAGGATCTTTATCGTCCTATTTGCTTTATTCTGTACAGGATATACTGCGCCCGCTTTTGAATTTTTGCATTATGCCTAAGGGGCAAGCATGTTCAATTAGTACGTTCTGGGAGACAGTGGGCCTTAAATGAAATCCATAAGCTCTCCAGTTTAAGGAATCCCTGACAGCTAAGTACCCACCTGTATAAAAAAAGGACTTCTCAATTGGTTGTTGGAATTCTATATCTGCAATGCTTTCCAGAAACAGTTTGTCCTTTACAATATAGTCCATGTCCTTATACACCTGCAACCGAGGGGAGAGAAAACAGTTCTGTTAAAATCACGGGCATTGTTCATCAGGTATTTTATATAGTAACAATATCCCCAACATTCTGAAATACTTCTCACAAACTGAGCTAGGAACATAATTTTAAAGAGATTTAGATCTCTAATTCTTGACTTCTAATTTCAGACAATGTCAACTGAACGTCTGTGCCTGGGGATTTGAAGAGGGCTTGCAAAGGCTGCAGACAAGATATCTGCAGTTTTTGCAAGCTGGTATAGATCTAGCCCAAATGAAAATAAAATGCATAAATACATAGATGTGTTCATTTGGGTACATCTACTAAATAGTGACTTATTCTTAATTTCGCAATGGAGTGGTTCTTTCCTATACTGGGAATTAAACCGCAGCATTGCCAGATCAATATTAGAACAAATTGCAATCAAGGCTTTAAACTTACATGATCCACAAAGGACGATAGGAAACGGTTAAGAGTATAGTAGGTTTTAACCCGTTGTTGGATGAAGGGATTCTTCTCATTTCCTGCTTTCTGACGCATGGATACCTGTTTAAAGCAGAGATTGTTACCTTCTACGAATCATGCTTCTACATAGGAGTTTTAGAAAACCCTAAACCTGCGACTGCTACAATGTTAAACATGTTGTTGCATTACATGTAACCAGAGAAACCGTTGACATGCGACTATGTGAATACAGGCTTTACAGTATGGGAGTTAATTTTATTGCCTTGTTGAGTGTATACGTTTAAAGTAGTAAAAGTGCGAATATTCAGCATTGAATGGCATCATACCTCCTGAAGTGGTTCCATAATCTTCTCGTACTGTTCCCGCACACGGTCACTCAAAAGGACCTCAAACATTTGGTTGTCAGAATTTGGTTCTAGGCCTCTTAATGGACACAAGTTCTCCTGAATGGGGGAAGGGAAGAAAAACCATGACCTTACATCCTGAGAGTAATTTAATTAGATAATGCTAGCTGATAAATAATAAAAATAAAATGTGATACGATGTCTTTTCAATATGGAACCATTGCTATAATGCAATAGCTACCATAGCACTTAGAAAGGTTAATAAGGGAGATAGGTGACGCTAAGCATATGTCTATCTTTTAAGGAAACCAATGTTTCTGCAAGATTAACACAAGGCTGAAAAGTGTGACAAATCTGTCCAAATGCAGTAGATCAGTGTTTCTCACATTCAAAAAAGACCCATACAGGGGCGGGGCCTGACCGCTGAGCAGAGAGGAAGCATGCCTCACCAGCTCCCGCTGCTTGGGGCTAAAACAATGGATTCTAGCCGCTTGAAAGGCACTAAATTGCAGTTTAATGGCCACCAAGCGACGGGTGATACCGGGGCGCACACACAGACACCACTCAAGCGACGATGTTATACAGGCGTACCCAAACTCACAGCGAGGCCTACCAGCATGGCGGGCACAGGGAGGACGGCCGCTTCCCTGCTGCCTGAACCAGCCAGATGTAGGACTCCGGGCCCTTGTTCTCCCCCCCCTGGACCGGTGGGGGTTATCCCGGTCCACCCCCTCACGGTCACCTCAGCAGGTGATAAGCGGTTGAACAGATCGGGCGGACTGGAGGTCGCTGGTGTGGCTGACAAAATGGAGAACGACACGCACGCCTCAACCCTCTGCAAGGCCGAGAGAGAAACGGAGCTCAGACTCACCTGCATTTTTGACGCCTTCTGGGAGAGGCTGGAACAGCTTGAGTGGCCCCCGGAACCGGGGACCCAGCCTGAAGCTACGCCACACGGCCCACTACGAGAGGCCCCAGAGAATGTCCCGGCACACGCCGTAAGTTCCCTTGCTAGGCCCCACAGGCGCCTGAAAACGACCAACCCGATGTCGGGTGAACAGAGTCACACCAAGAGTGAACGCGACCAGGCACAGGCAAAGCATCTTAAGGGGACCCCCAAAGCACAGCGCAGAACACCACCTTGCTCCCCGACAATGACCCAGCCTAAGAGGAGCAATGGCCAACTCATCCACACATGCAAGTGGCAGACCAAGAGGCCTAAAATGGCGGCAACAGCAGCACAAATCTACAGCCACAGCTACAGCCAACGAATACACCGGCATGTGGGAACCACAACTGGAGCCACATTATACATACCGACTAGGTCCTCTGCCCTCACTGAGACTCTCTTCTCCTACACTGCTGGACCACAGGGAATGCGGCACGCATCATCGCTGCAACTACCGGCGCAGGGGGAGCACACCCAGCCCCAACAAGGCATCGGCTGACCCATACAAGACTGGGACTCAATGTCAGGCACAGTGCCCAATACTCCTCACCTCTTAACACCCGAGGTTGAACTCTTATACCTGTATGCATGCAATTCAATAGCCCTTTAGTTTATGCTGGGGACCGCAGGGGGGATATCGATAGTGACTATAAGCTAAGCTTTTCTATGTATAGCCTCACTATTCTGATACATAAGTTAGTTTAGCGTACGTACCTTTCTAACCTACAACTGTTTATTAAGCATGATCACGATAGCTATGTTTCTAGCTAGGCATAACGTTTCATTGCACCTCTTCTACTCGTGTCTTTTGAAAGAAAGTTCATTTTGCTTATCATAATGTTTAGAAATTCAGCAGGTTAATAATTTATGACAGTCATGTCAATTTATTTCTCGTAAACACACATCTTGCTATTGTTACTCGCATTTACTAACCAGACTTACTCATCATTACTCTAACAATTTAAAAATGTGCGCAGTTTAATCCTACGTTACAGTATTGTATAACTATGCTTTAAGTTTTTGCCTTTGTTCCATCTCTCAAGCCTGCTATCAGGCAGCGAAGCGCAGATTCAATATAAGTTACCTAACTGCTAAGCGAGACTAGCCTGCAAAAGCGTGTGTGTTATCCATGGTTTAACCTTTAACATGTCTCCTATCTTGAATATAAAAAAAAAAAACTGTGCTATGTATTTCAATGCCATACCTATGTTAATGTATGTTTTCAAACCTGCTTGCACCTGCTATTGTGGCGGTACAAGCATGATTGTTCAAGCTATGCACAAATAAAATAAAGAATTTAAAAAAATTTAAAAAAAAAGACCCATACAGTACCACATTTTTAGAGTTTACAGAATTGTAAAACTAAAAAAAAATTGAATGGTCAAGACTTACTAATTGATGCTTGAATGTGCTTATAAGAACCATTAAAGGGACACTAGAGTCACCAGAACAACTACAGCCTGACCTGCAGTCTTTTTGCTGTAAACATTGCCTCATGTGGCCTAATTTACATTTTTTAGTGAATAAATCCATGTATCCCAAGGTTTTGCAATGCATAACGGTCTAACCAGAAATACTATAACTACTTTTGTAGAAAAGCAAACTAGAAATGTATCCAGTGTGATCATTGCAAAGTACGTACTTCTTCCTTTTGGAGATTAGACAACAGAGTCTCCATGTTGACATCAGCCTGGCCATGAACAGATCGACCGTGGATGTAATATCCATAGCATTTATGGGTCAGGATAAAGACCGAGACCTGCAGAACATTGAAGTCAGTAGTGGTAAGCCTTAAAACATTATGTAGCAAATAAAAAAACAAAGTGCCCAATATTAGGTATTTTATGAAGATATGTCAGATTATCCTTTGATTAAAAAAATGTCAAAACTCAGTACAGCTACGTAAAATATGGGAAAATGTCAGCAGTGCCAATTCTACAAATTCACGAGCTGTGAGTTAAACACCAAGAGAAGCCTATGATATTATAAGAGCTGGGTTCTAACTTGAGCTTTGTTGAGGAACAGCAGTTAGTGGTTCCAGCTCAGGTGATCACTGTGGACCACCAGTGTCCTAACCTGACATTTGTAGTGGTCAACTGCAGATTGCACCTGTAGATTAATTCTTAAATTAAACCACAAGAGAATTTGGCACACCTTGTGTTCGTAGACAACTTTGTATCAGTCAAAAGATTTTTTAGCTAATGTACCGGATAAAAAAATATTCTCAAGGATCGTAAAGAAAAGACACTCACATTGCTCAAGGAACACAGATCTGCAAACTGGCGAATTTTATCTTCAAAAAAACGTTCATAGATGAAAATGAAGAACAGAATCTGCAAGGACAAGAAATAGTTAACACGTCAGCAACAACTAAAGACTTAGAAATGTTTTTCCAATAGCATGTTAAAATACAGCTTCCTGCCCTCCAGTACAACCAATCCACATGGCATGTCAGGGACAATGGAGCTGGGAGTTTCCCATCATGCAATTCACCTGTACGATTCCCACCGCTAGCCACATGGAGGCAGCGATACCGAATCTCAGAATAATGCTCCACGGAGCTATGTAAGTGCCAGATGCAGGGTTTAGGTCCAGATTTAAATCTTTGCCAGTGATATTCTTTAGACCCACAACCTGGAAAAAGAGGGACAGATGTATTAATGGAAGACGTCACGCTGGCATCAGATCAGTTGTGATTTAAATAAAAGGAATGAATAATTTCTAAACTATTCTCGTTAATAAACCTGGAGAACACATACTTAATTTCTGGTAATTTCTCATTAATTGTAACAAAAGCAGACTGGTCATATTTTTTAATTTTTTATAATTAGTATTAGAATCTTCCTCTAAAAACTGTATGTTGTACCTACACTGAAGGATGTGTGACCTGGACAACGTCACCATGAATCCGAGCCCCCTAAAACAAGACATCTGTGAAACATGGGGTCTCGTCCTACATTCCCCCATCCATGCCTATTCGCAATCTGTGATATAGTTCCTTCACCCTGTATTAGTAAATTTTATTATAGTTATTCAAGGTACAATGTTTGTTACATATTATGGGGAAAGCAGTTTCTTTCTCATTGCCGGTTTGTTTCATAGCCAAAACAGAGATTGTAACAAATTTAATCACCTCTAGAAGAAGCAAAACAAAGAAAAGTTGGAAAAGGGGACTCAGTTTCCGATGGGCTTGGATCTCGTTCCACTCATTGGCTACTAAAATGGTCCTCCAGACACTGACATTCTTTCCTGGAATAGAGGGTGAATAAGCCAACACTGAGACACCTGAATATATGTCCTATAATTAGGGGCACAAAACATTTGGGTATCAGACTAATTCTACCCACAGGGGCCATTCCTCACAATTAACTGAAGACAAATTTCTTTTAAGCAGTTAATGGTGCGCAAAAAAAGGTTTATATTAGAACTATCACTATTAAATAATGTGTATACATTCTAAACTATTTATTAACTTGCTTTACTTCCACATACAGTGTCTCCAGCAATTTCAACTATGGAGTGGTTTGTGAACTTTTCCTACATTTGTATTTATAACAGACTTTAGGTACTTGCCTTGTCCACTGGAGTTCTTTTCTTTTGACTTTTCCCAGTCAATCAAAAATAGAGTGACAGTTAGCTGGGTGACCAGAAGGTGGAGCAGTTCTAGCGTCTAAAAGAAAAAGGGAGATAAAGTACAGTGTCCGCTAAACTGCCACCCCTCAGAAGCAGTCACAGCTATTCCTAGGTTACCTTTAAAGCAAAAGCGATGGCGAGGTAAGTGATGAAATCAGTCTCGACTTTGCCGCCAGCAGGAGGTAATGTGACGGTTATTGTTGAGTTCTGACCCTGGCAAAGAGAAAACGAGTTCCAGTCAGTCATGGGAGTATATTAACAAAAACACGTGTCATTACAAGAATCATAAATCTTAAACTGTTATATCCAATAATAAAAAATGAAGAGGAAGACTATAAGAAAGTAATGGCAATATAATTATTACAGCGGTTATGGTGGAAAATATTCTCAATACCTTAAAAGCAATCAGCCAGTAGATGGCAGTGCCCAGCACAATTAGAAAGAAGGTATTTGCCAGCGATCCGGACAGGAAAGCCAGGAACTTCACTATTACCTGAATCAGAATAAGAACATGTTAATATATCATGGAACAGGAGCCAAAACAAAAATTCAACTTCTCCTTTTAACAAGGTTTCTTCTGCTGTTGTGAACTACTATACCCATAATGCAAAGCATGCAGGTGGCTGTTTAAAGGGAAACCATAATGAATGTAGATGCACTTTATTACTCGGATACTGATAAACGCCAGTGCACTTATTTATGTAATAGACGTTTTAATATCTGCAGATTTGTAAAGTTTGCCATAGGATTTTCTCCAGCTCTCTGTTGTCCATAAACGAGGGTCAGTGTCGTCCACTAAGCAGAGGTCAGACTGCTGCCTCTGATCCAAACAGTTAGACAGACCAACTGCTGTCTGTAGAATACACTGGGAACACCTCACTCTAGAGAGAGTGACATCAAAACTCCAGTATTTTTTACACTAAAAAGAGATATGGACATTACAACTTAACCACGGTCTGTAGAATACTGCGGGAACTCTACAACTCACAATGGAGAGAGGGTAACTAACTAAAAAACAATAACTAGCTTATAGGAACACTCACACCCCCATAACAACTTAAGCTTATTTAAATTGCTATGGGGGCTGAAGTTTCCGAGTGCCATCTTACCTTCAGGGGTTACCTAAAGTTGGTGCTTATACGCCGAGATTACGATAATCTAAGCCTATCACTGGGCAGCTATTGATGGGAACTCACCCCTACCAAGAAACAGACCAGCTGTAAAAAGGAGTGTTCTTCACCCCAAGAAAGTGCCTAAGTCAGAATCTGTTTCAGCTAGCTTGGAAGCTCCATCAACGGCCGCATGTATTCTTACCATCAAACCATTATTCTGCTGTCCCGATCGCCGCATCCAGCTGCTGGTCTCTAAGATGGCGTAAAGCGTGCCCAGGGATCCGAGAACACCCAGAGCAATCTGTTAAATAATGAAGAACTGCTATATCAATATACACCATGACAGAGTAAAATGCGACTCCTTGTTAAAAAAAAATATACTCACATCCGTGTTTGTCTTATATGTTCCTGCACTCTGTGTGTACGACACTCCAAAGGAGACCTAATGGAAAAGAAAGTGGAACCAGTGGTCAGCGCCCATCGAATATCTTAAAGTAGCCAGTTACAAATCACGCTGACATTCCAGGAGAACTGATAGAGCAATGTTACATTGTTACCAACAATGCACGAGTGCTCGTTTTAGATCAGCCAGAGAATGTGTAAAACGTGCATTAGTGCTGGCACCGAATAATTCATTTTGAACCTCTGAACAGTATCAGGAAAAATCCAACATAAGGCTCCTGTCTGATTTCTAGCAAATGGATATCAAAATGGCACAACGTAGTTGTAACTATTGGTAAGTTAACGAATTTTCCCAAATCGGCCTAAATTTTGCTATTTGGATTTAAACTGGCTATAATTCGGATTTAGTGCAATGATTAAAAAAAAAAAAACAATCCCAGTAAATTAAAAAACTAATTGTGCAACATTATATATATATTTGTATTCCCACTTTATAGGGTTACCCATGAAAACGTGAATTTTCAAGAATGTTCCAGGTAATAAATTTTTTTGTCCAAAACAGCCAGTTTGGAAAAAGTCCATAATGTTGCGAGTACATTTAGTTTGGCTGATAATTTGAGGTACTATTTGCCCACTAGCAAGTGCTGGCCAACCTCAAAGTTTTTTTTTGTTTTGTTTAAGGGGGTATAAGGGGAGAAGCCACCTTAATGGTGGTTTTAACACTATAGCATCAGGAATACATGTTTGTGCCCCTGACCCTATAGTGCTCCTTTAAGAATCACAAATTTCAAGAGAAAGTAGATAAATTATTTAGAGTCTCCAGATAAATTATTTAGAGTCTCCAGGTCAGCTATTTAGCCTAAAATGTGAACATCCCTTGGCAATAGTCCGTTAAATGAATAACGCTGATTCTCTGTTCCAGCTGAGATGGGGGTGCAATAGATTGTAAATTATAATGTCAGGGTGTAAAATATTTATTGTTCTAAACATATAAAAGGAGTAATGCTTTCATTAAATTGGAGTTTGCTTGTTTTTGTGTGCAGTCATTTGACATATGAATGCCTTTGCAATTTCAGCGATGAATTATTCAGCCATATATTCAATATTGCGGTTTACATGTTTTTTTTCAGATGTTCTAATAGATTTCTGGAGGCCTCTATTATAGTCCGACAGTATACCTCACAGATGACAGAATGAGAGTAAGAACACAATATCTATGTCACGTTACAATGTGTTCCACACCTACCTGTACTGTGCCACTGAGATTGGTTATCCTTTCATATTTCACAGTCAGTTGGAAAGGAGGCTGGGTTCCGGGACTTGCAGTTGGCAGATAAACGCTGTTTCAATGAAGAAAGATACAGGGTTCACACACAGCAGTATAAAACCAGAAAAGGTATTTAGCTAGATTTAAACACGCGATATGGGTCCAGTCTGCAGAGCGTCTCACCTCAGGTTAAATCTTGTAGCTACAGTTACGTACGAGGGCTGACTGGAGAGACTGCTTTGCCTTCCCAAGAGAGTGTCTACCAGAAAGAAACGTCTTATGGCCTGTGTGCTATATGAACCTGGGGGGGAAAAAAAGCATGTTTGACAGATATTAACTCCCTAACTGCCAAGCTCAGAATCAACACTGCCCTATCCCACTTCACACCATCTTTCATTTTCCCTCCTCATAATCTATCACAGCTCTGCAAACATTCACAAAGTAATCACAGCTGGTTTCCATTAAACAGCTCTCAAAGATTTACAGAAATGTTTTAGAATTCTAATGTATAGTCTTCTTAGGTCAGTGCGCAGAGAGATTTAGAGCTCTGAGTCCGTGTAAGGTCTCCTAATAGTTGTGAATGGCATAATAGCGGTAACGCGTGGAACTTAATGAGATCCGCTCCCTGCAAGTCAGTGGAATGTGTGACAGTAAGAATTATCTGAACCTTTTTATGGGGATTTAAAGTTGAAAATGAAACACCGGACACAGGGAAATGTTACATTATAGGAGCCTCACAGTATTGGCACATGGGGAACGGAATGTATTAAATACAGATCGGTAAATATGTCTTAATCTCCAGCAGCCCCAGCGTAATGTCTAATTCGACTTATGGAGATTATTCAACTCTTACCAAGAAGAAGAAAAAATAAAGTTTCCAATTTCACACTTTGGGCCAAAAATGTAATTCTTTTTTTCCCTTTAATTTTATCTAGGAGATCCTGGCTTACTTGTGCTGGCTTGAAGATTCTCGTTCCAAACAGGGATCGGCCATAACATGCTGGCCCCGCTGCTATCGGTGTAAGCCAGGAACAGCTCGTAAAATACCGGTTCTGGTACTTTCAGCATGAGATCCGATACCTGCAGCGTACACTGGGAATACGAAAGCAAAGAAATTACTGCTGGCATTGAACAGGCAAAGACAAATCCTTCCGTTTTTAAGGCAATCAATATATATGATTTCTTTAGGAATATACAGTGGATACATATTCACATTGGGTCTTTCTACAAAAAAAATAAAAAAAAATATGGCTCTCATTACAATATCGAATCAGACACAATTTCTGGTAAAACTGTTAGAGCTTAAAACAGCAAGTTCTTAAAATTTTGGAGGAAAAGTCTGTCTCTTTGAAGGGACAATGGAATGAAAGATTTTTTTAAAAATGATTTAAGCTACAGAAGAGATGGGTTTGTGTGATACATGGATCAGAGATTTTTGAGAGGAGGAGGAATGATTACTCACAGACAAATTGTACACTGTCCCGAATTTAAAGGCAGCGCCCAAAAAACTTTGCGTATTCGAACACAGCTATATAGGCATAGGGGGAAAAGAAAAGAGAGATTAAAGAATGGTAACAGCAGCACATCTCATCACATGGTTCTTAGATTTTAGCACCAAACCTTTTATCTTATAGACAGCAATTCCCATTATCCAAGGTCAATCTATATGTGATTAGTTTAGCACAGTGTCAGTTAAACTTTGACATTCCAGCTGTTGTGGGCTAAGAAGCAGTGATCATCGTCTTCAGCATGTGGAACGTGAAATGTTAGTGAACATGGGCTGACAGGGACTGTAAATTTATGTCAAATAAAAGCTAAAAAATGATGGGATTCCCTAAGCCCTGAATTGTGATGAACTGAAACCAAACTGCAAAATGTAGACAAAAATAACGATTTAGCTATTTCTGCAATATGATTTTTTTGTTTGCTGCAATTCGGTGTTTGGTGAGTAAACCCCAACACCTCCGCTTGCGTATCATATGTAGGTAGCACAGCTCTTGGTGGCAAAACCAATGCACTCCAAATACCATCATCTGATCTCAGCCAAAGAAGACATTCCAGTTTTGGTTTGTTTTTTAAATTCTTTATTTTTGTAGTGCGTACAGATATAACAATTGCTTAGGAGGTACCCCAAAGGCAGTCCTCTAGCGCAGTATGTACAGTGTAACATAGGGGTTGGCAGTAGATATCGCACATTTTTGTTTTTTTTGAGTAAGGAGATTGATGGTATAGGTTTACATTGCCTAGGTTCAAAAAGCAGCATACCTTTTGTTTATATATGACAATAAGTATTTACAAGGGTTTCGTTGCAAAGTCTGGCATTTTAAACATTACTAGTTTGTTCAGACCCTGAAAAAGACAGGTTATGAGGTTTCAGCAGTTGGCAATAAACATGCTAGACTGGATCTCTATGTGACAATTCTGTCTACGCTTAAGTTTATATCATGGTTTTGAGAGAACAAGTTACTAAAATGGTGGTTAACTATGAACGTGGTGCTGCATGTCCCGTAACCTAGTACTCAGGGTTCCTGTAAGGTAAGTTTTACACGCTACAACAATCCTGCTTGATCTGGCGTTGTGTCGCCATGAGTCCCACTAAGGTGATAAGTTGCATGTAATTATCTTGGTGTTCCATACCATGTTCTACTTAGATTGGTGTACTATGTCTGCTTATTTCGTGTGAGTAGGTCTTAGCGGAGGCCATGGAGCCACGGGTTCTCACCACACTACTCGCCAATGTATCCCTAGTCCAGGGCATTGTGGCTAGGTGTGACGTGTATAATCTTAGGTTTCCCTATCATGAAATTGGCTCGTGTGCCTCCTGGGTAGGTGTACGATGTGTGTGTGTGTGTGGTCCTTGACCCCTAACCGACGGGGGCCTCGGGGGGATTGGTGGAGAGGTATTATTGATATATGAGCATGCTCCGGCTTAACGGTGGCTGTTGTGGGGATTGCGGTGCCCCTCAATTGTGGTGTTGGTATGTGGGTCAACTCCTGTGAGTCGGCCGTTTAGCTTAAGTAAGTGTTATATGGGTGTGTGCCCTGCTAGGTTCCCTCTATGGTGCTAAACCCTTGGTATCTATGTTAACTGTGAACAGGTAATAGAAAAACATTATGGTTAACTCTGGTAAATTCCCATCGGCGGGCTGAGTGGTTGTCATGTACGTCAAGTGTCCACTATCGGGATTTCCCGTCTCCTCGGTACAAAAGGGACAGTTCTGGTGGGGTCCCATGTATGGGAGCTGGTGGGCTCGTCAGGTGGATCTGGTCTCGGTGAGAGCTTCAGCGCCTTGAGGAAGGAGTCCGCTTCCTGGGTAGAGGTGAGATGCATAGTAGTGCCGTTGTGGTCCACGGACAAGGTTTTGGGTGTTGTCCAACGGTAGATTACTTTGGCTTCTTGGAGGCGACGGGTCACTGGGCGTAGGTTTCGTCTCCATTGAAGTATGGATCGTGTTAAGTCTTGGTAAAAGGTGAGACTTGCGGATTCAAAGTCCAGTGGCGTTTTGCCCTTTAGCGCTGCAAAGATGGCGTTCCTGTCTGCCTGAGTATTGCACCTGACGATTACGTCCCTGGTTGCTTGGGGGGGTGCCTGTGGTGATTTGCGGATGCGAAACATCTCTGCGACGGCCAGTTTTTTGGCCTGTGCATGTGGCAATATGGTGGTCATCAGTCGCCTGAGATAATGCGGCAACTCTGACTGGCTGATATCGTCGGGGACTCCCCTTATTTTTACATTGCATTTGCGGCTCCTCTCTTCAGTTGCCTCAAGTTTGCTGAGCAGAGTTGAGTGAGAGGATTTTAGGTGTGATACCGTTTCTTTAAGGCCTTGTATTTCTTGTTGTATGTCGTTGATATCTTCCTCTGAGGCTTTCACACGGTCCGTGACCGCTTGGACCTCCGTTTTCATAATGGCCATGTCTGCCGCTGTCATTTGTTTTAGTTCCCGCAGAAGGTTTTTAATGTCCAGTTTGGTGGCTGGTGTTAAAGCATCTGGGTCCGCTTGTATGTCTTGGGGCAACCGATGATCTGGTGTATCCCCCTCAGCCTGATCCGAGCATGTGGAGATAGTCTCTGGGTCAGGCGTGGTCGCCATCTTTGAGCCCGCCGGGCGCTGGAGCATGGTGCTAATGTCATGGGTGTCTTTGCACGCACCTGCTGCCGTCCGCTGGGATTTTCTCCCCATGGTGTCCGGGTCGGTGGGTGCTGGCTGTGCAGTTAAGGAGAGTGCTGCGCTGTATAGTGCCGTATCAAGGGCCCTGTAGTCTGGGTAGGCCTTGGTTTTACGGCGGACTCTCCGACCCGTCTGCTGGAATGTAAAGGGCATCAGTCGGGTGTCTGTTTTGCTCTCCCGGTCTGCCCGCAGGGTTCCGGAGGTATGTGGGCTCTTTTGGTTTTATGTTGGTTGTATTTTCTCGTCGATTTTGTCGCGTGTTTGCCGGAGCTCTCAGTGTGTGCGACCGCTCGGTTCCGCGGCTAAGCTCCGCCCCCCTTGGTTTGTTTTTTTTAAGTCTTTACTTTTACTGTGCAAATGGTAACAAACAAGCTTGTGATGCCACGACAGCAGCAACAAGCATTATATAATATATAATAGCAGACAGGATAAAATATTAGCATGGCATTCAGAGAACCTGATGAGTTTTTGTATTAATACCAGGCTAGTAATAGAGTTATGTCAGCAGGTAGGTAGCACAAGGCAGTATATAAATCAGGCTATAGGGCAGTTTTACTTTTTTAATCCGTGTTATTCGCAACAAAACATATCTCAATATACAGGATGGCCGTAAGTCCTTACCCATCCATATTTCTTATGTATCCAGTGTATCTGTGTGCTGGATGGGTAGGGACTTATGGGCCACCCTGTTGTAGGAGAAATAACATTTTTGGGAAGCACCGATCCAGTGTTGCAGACATTCAGTGTTTGCTGAAATGCCACTCACATGACGTCCAGGCGGTATATTTTAATAGTATGCCTAATTTGTTTTTTTGCAGTTTCAATTAAGTAGATGAACAGCATGTGACTGGCTACATTCACTGTTACGACAAAGATGAAATGTACTGAATTGTCAAGAGTGACTTCATTTTGAGCTTTTTCAACATGTTAGAGGTAATATTTTCTTAAATCATTACTTAAATGTACTTACCTGCAAAGTTCCTGATTTCAGATTTTCCCACCCCAAAAACGCTCCACGGGCATCATATTTCACAATCCTAAACTGGACCTGGAAATTAAGAAAACACGGTTTGATGAGGAGAGCAGCACAGATAACTGGACTCCCACACTGCATGGCCAGCTACAATCCGTATGGACATTGTAGTGAAATATAAGCTTAAACCAAGTCAGGGAACGTGCGACACATGTTGAGGGACTCTCCACATTTGAGACTCAATTCTCTCTGTCACAAGAAGTGAAACATCACACATCAGGCACCAAGTGCTTTGGTCTGACTGGGTGTGTATCCTGCTGATACATGCGCACATTAACAAGCAACAACACTACCGATGTATGTGTATGTTATTACCAAGTATACGTGTCATCTGTATACCTCCTAAATATTTATTTGCATTGCAGCCTGTAGACTATATATTGTTTTTATTTTTGCTGTATAAGTAGATATAGCAGAACGTGTATAATAGCCAGTTGTATCTTTAATTGGCTAATAATAAAAGCTGATTGCCAATTCAGTGTGTATTAAATAATGCCCATCACTCACAGCCTGGTCAGGCCACACTTACCTGGGAGTTTTTGGTGTAGGAAAGGCCTGTCGGTGCAGTGCTCCCCAGCTGTACTTGGGAATTGTAAAAAAGCTTTGGGAGAAATGTGTTTCTGCAAATGGAAAAACAAACTATATCAAAAACTGTATATAAATCGCACCCATTGGCAGTAACTGAAGATGAGATTTAAGAAATATTTTGTAACATTACAGCTGATTCTTGAATGTGTGAAAAGTTTTGGAAACTGAAATTTTTTTATGACATTGCTGGGTATTTTTGGCTCACTTTAAATAATATTGAAATATCAGTATTAAAAAGACCTCCAAAATATAGCCCAGCTGACTATCATGGGAGTTACAGTCCACAGCATCCTTTAAGCAGATGCCCTCTAACTGCAACTGCTCTCTGAGCTAAGGGTAGGCGTAACGAACGCTGGTATTGCAGATACCCGTTAGTCTGTTTCCTCCCGAACGGCTAGAGGCTGAGTGATTATAGCTCGCAGTTCGGGTGTTGATTCGAACGTTCTCCAGACGAAGTACAGCATTCAAGTATATTCCACAAGCAAATCAGACGGATACCCAAACAGCAGCCTAAACTAGATGAAGGGTACAACAGGAATGGTTTATTCAGGCTAACCGCTTGGTTTATATGCAGTTACAAATGTACAGGGTTTACGGTGACATATTCAAGGGGCATTCCCCACTGGACCTGAGAGGGGACAGTAACAAAATACATTCTGCAGTTACATTGGCTTTCAGTTCCAGGGCACTCCTACATACAAATAGTATAATCTTTCCCCTGTGCCTGGGAGATAATTGAATCAAGCACTATACTAAACTCAATTATCTCCAAACGCACATTTCCACAAAACCCAGAAAGTACCCCAAACTCCATGGAAACCCCTCAAAAGTCATATCCCCGGATATGATCTGGGGGACCAACAAATTAAAAAAAATCACCCAGATTGGTTCAGGGGTTCGGGAATTACATGGAGGTCTTAATTTGACCGACCGCAAACGAGGCTCCTGCCCAGAAATAGTTCCATGAAATTAGGCTGTGCGGTTGGTCTATTTAGAAAAGTCTAAAAACTGAACAAATCCACGAACGGTTCCCCTGGCTCATAGGTATCGTTTGTTCCCCTACTTCATGAGAACATATCAACCGAATAGTGCTCTCCTGGCTGGTCTGTGGAAAGAAGTGGGCTTTCACGAAGTTAACCGGCGTTTCGGGAAGTCGAGTGTCCGATTTTAGTTCCAGACACTCAACGACCAAGTCCTGCTGTCTCCTTTCGTGTGAACAAGATGGCCGCCGTTTTCTCCTGCACGTGACATTCGGCCACACAGAGAGAGCACTTAACTTGCGGTCTGCTTTGTAGTTTATGAGGCAGGGGGTCGGTGCTTGGTAGTTTTATATACCAAACGAGGAAAATCAAAGGTAATGAAACAAAAGGTAATTTCTTCACAGTAGGCAACCGTCAGCACTCTAAATGCTGTGGAATACATCGTACTTTATGCTTTGCCGGCATTATGGCTGTAAGAGCATTATGGGAGATGTAGTTCATAATATCTGGAGTGCTGAAGGTTGCCTATCCCGCTCTAAGCTAAAGGCCCATCTCAGTGTAGCCCACTGACACCAATCTGAAGAGAGATATCCTTCTGATTGGCTTCAGCAAATCATAATCCCAGACAACCGAGAGGACTTACGTGATCTTGTTATAGTAGGTGAATGCCGTACTGTCCCAGGAGAAGGCGTTCAGGATAACGGTATTGGTGAGCAGCTGGCAAGCGGTCACATTGCTGTAGGACTGAGAAGGAAGAAAGGATACATTGTTGGCTCGCTACAATGTTTAATAAGCAATTACATCGTCATTGTAAAATCTTTACGTTTCACTATTTATCTTTTAAATCGGAATCACAAAGTTTAGGCTAAAATTGTCGAACAGTGACTTTAGCAGAGTTGGAGAATTTTTCCAGATCTTTTATTTTAGCCTAACTTTTGCTGCTCAGATTTCGGTTTGCTAAAATTCAGAATTTAGTTAATAAGGCCCAGAATGTTTCCAATGACAGTACAGCAGAGTTAAGGACCTGTCTAACTCACGTTGCAAGCCTGGTAACTGGAATACAGATAAAGAATCTCCCAGATCGAGGAGGATGAGACGGCCTGTTGGACAAAGAGACAGAGCATTAAAAAGGCTTAATCTGCATGTTATGTGTACATCGTAAATGTGCCAGACAGCTGTGGTCGTGTTTCTTAAATGCAATTCCCATTATCCTCAGTCAGATAATGACTGGGGATTTAAGGGTCTACATTTAAAGAAGAGTCAGATATTCTGGGAAGGGGCACTGTTCTCAATACTATTAACCTGCATCTATCTTACATACATAACATAAGATCTGTGAATTGGCGCAAGTGATAAATGCAAAACATACTGTGATAATCAGAAAAACTGACTACATACAGAACAAAAAAATCTACAATAAGGAATCCGCAGGGAGAAATCTCTAATCATCTAGTTTATAATGTTTCACTTGTTTCATTTCTGGCAAGATTCCATGAAGTGTGAGTAAAACATGGCGTTATATTATGGAGGGTCAGTATCCACGATTAGGACAGGGGTGTCAAACCTCACCCCACTTCCAGTAGCTGTTGCTGGACTACACTTGCCATAATTCTCCACGATCCATTGGACTCTCCACCAAAGTTGGATTCATCTAATGGGTGGCTAAGACGACATCGAATTCTACGAAGCTGCCATGTGGTTATATATCACACGCAAACATCACAGTAACAAAACTAGAACATATACATTAAAAGCATATAAACAAAAATATGGCAAGGGGTAACTCCCAAGCAGGAAAGGTCTTTCTAATGGTCGAACTTTAATTAAATTCTAAAACGTAACTTTTATTACTATGGTACTGAACACAGGAGATATTGCTGAAAGCTAATAGCTGGTAGCGTGTTTGAGGGACATCTGGCGCTATGAGGCCTTGGTGTCAAATATCCCGACTATTATAAAACCACCTAACAGACAGACCTAATAGAATGCCACGTTTCATACCCTGATGCCAGTTCCCAGTCTAACGATCATGACCAATATAAAAATGCCACAGACAGGTACAACAGGGTACTCTTCACCTGCCCAATATAACTATTTGATACCTCCAGTCTAAGATATAAGTGTTAAAAAATTCAAAAGAACCCAGGAATTGAAAACCCTCTTGGTATGATAAAAAACACTAAACGCCGGATGTCCATTTTGGATAGAGATGAATGTTTGGATACCATATCCCTTTACATTCTGATAGTGTGAACATTAAATGTTACCTCGACTGCAACATGGAAACAAAGTCCTCCGCTCTGCAAAAGATTGAGACAAAGTATGATGATGTATCAAAAAACAAGCCTTTGAAACATTTTATTTTTTAAATTAGAAAGTTACGACTGGTGCTTTAACAAGCCCTGGAGATCAAATTCAATGAAAATGTTATCTATCCACAAATTCAAACATATGTTTTAACTTTTATTCGGTTTTAAATCTTGCCCTCACCTGGTCACTTTGGGGGCAGTTACAGTTGTTAACCAAGAATGTTTGCTGACACGGAACGCATCTGGAAAACACAAACAATATACAATGTGATCTCAGTGCCACCTGTTCGTCGATCACTTAATAACATTTGCTCTGTCTGGATTGGTTTCTGATTCTAGTACTAGAAGGTAGCACAGAGAAACCCAATAGATCAGATTATATTACTTACTGATTGCCGATTGAGTTTGGCACTGTGGACCCAGAACACGTTACACACGTGTAAGTGTTGTCAATGAAATTCTCTTCTACAAAAAAAATTCAAAATGAACTCAAAAGCAAGACATTGAAGATGTATAAGAGGCAAAATAAATGAAATATAAAAAAAACGTGGTCTATTGTTTTTTTTGTTATTACTATTATTATATGTTATTAATTGCAAATATCAACCTCCTAAGCCTCCGAAATTCAGGTTTCCGTCCCGCTGACCCAGATGCGTTACTTCATGTCGTGAGTCCATGCGCAGAGCTTATAAGAAGTGATCTGTGTATGCACAGCACTAAGTGTGGCTCGGCAGCTAGATGGAAGACAGTCTGGCATGAATATATGCCATGCCTGCACACGTTCTGGGCAGGATACTCTCCTAATGCCGTCCCTGAAACATGCCCGCCAAATCGTGGCCACTCATACTGATTTCATATCTCCCAGTGTTGGTAGGTATGTAATATGGCAGTGCAAAGTTAGCTGTTATAGGTTTGTGCATGGATCTGACATGAAGAAGCAGAACACATGAGCTGCCAGCAGGGGGCACTGATGGTATTCGCTTTCTCCAAAGGAAAACAAAGCACCATAACCCTTGGTTAGACCCATGGTAGCCGTATTCTGGCCACACAATAGACAGAATGAAAGGATCACAATATTTAGCCGTTCGTTTCGTTTTACCTCTCACTTGATTGCTCCCACAGGTGCAGTTGGGGGCTGCACAGGTCAGACAGGTAGTCTGGTCAAATGACACCGATAGATTCTGCAAAGAAAAATCACATTACACCCCAAAAAATCATATTCAGCGAATGAGTGGAGACCTTAAGCCTCAAACGCACAAGCTTTATTAATAATGTATCAATACGAAGACCCTCCCTGCAAATAGCAACCGAAATAAAAGTTAATTAATAAAAATTATTTTAAATCAATTATTGAAAAAAAATGTCCTCTTTCCGCTGTGATCCCAACTTGCATTCAGATCCCGTTACCCGGCGTCTCTCTATGATTACTATGATAAGAACATCACGCAGTTTATCCACTAAACAGTGAATTGTAGGGAAACCAAAATTGCAACATTTACAGTAAAATAGCTGAACAGTTAAGTTTGGGCTATTTTAGCCTGAATTCTGCAATTGTATTACTAATTCAATGTTTAGTGAGCAAACTGTAAAGAATTGAATATTTCCCGCATGGATTATTGTAACCCTCTCCTGATTGGTCTTCCCAAAAGCCATACTGCACCACTACAGTCTGTAATGAACGCTGCTGCCAGACTGATTTTCCTCTCTAGTCGTTTCTCTCACACCTCACCCCTCTGCCAGTCCTTACATTGGCTCCCTGTATGCTATAGGTGTCAATTCAAGGTACTAATTCACACCTATAAATCACTGAACAACTCTGGCCCCTCATATCTCCTCACAGATCCATAGGTATGTCCCTTCTCGGTCTCTCCGCTCTGCCCGTGACCACCTCCTGTCCGTTGTCCGCACCCGTATGGCCAACTCGCGCTTGCAGGACTTCTCGCGGGCGGCTCCCTTCCTATGGAATAGCCTGCCTACGCCATCAGACTCTCCCCTAGTCTTGCATCTTTTAAGAAGTGCCTTAAAACCCATCTCTTTAGGAAAGCTTATTGCCTCCCAGAGTAACCTCTACCTCACATACCGGTCTCTTGCTCTCTCCTAAAGGGCAGCCCACCTTATTTGACTGCAAATTCCTGTCCTAATGTGTTTTACACCCCACCTCCTATAGAATGTAAGCTCGATTGAGCAGGGTCCTCTTCAACCTATTGTTCCTGTAAGTTTATTTGTAATTGTCCTATTTATAGTTAAATCCTCACTCTCATAATATTGTAAAGCGCTACGGAATCTGTTGGCGCTATATAAATGGCAATAATAATAATAATAAATAATTATATATATATTTTTTTTAAACATATTCATTTTACTACATTATTTAAGTTTACTATGTTAGCGAATAACTTTACAAAGAAAGAAGAATTACTATGTCCTTTTATAACAGAAAAAATTAATAATGTAACTGTAAGTATTAACCTTTTGCATGCAAGAGCTGAGTGACAGACTGGTCAGGTAGAGGTTCCAAACTATGAACCGCTCCCCAAATAACATCATCTGTCATTTTTTCCAGTATAGAAACATCCATGTTATCATAGATTGCGGTTTCTGTCCCTTTTTATCAGTTTCCGCAGGTGAAGAGGACTGATTGCACACAGCAAATTGCTTAATACTCACAATACTGTCACACTTTGTGCAGGTCACTAGAGGCGAGCCAAGGTCAGTCTCAACAAATCCACTGTTACAGTTACAGGTCAGCCCTGGGAAGCAAACAGACCGATTTACTAAACAGCACTGAGCTTTAATGCTTTATTCACAGGACAGAAAAAAATATAAACAAAAAAACTCTCTTAGCCTAGGTAAATACATTGCTTTGACACTCCATTCTATAAACAACAATATGGATTCTTTTACATTTCCCAACATCCCACAATCCCACTAATAATATATTATACATGCACCTCCTGGATCAGTGATGGCCAGCTACATGTAAACCGTATATTTCCCAGGATGCATTATGTTACATTGTATCACCACAGGTGATATTTGTCAAAGAATTTATTTTGACACAGCACTCACAAGCTGAGCTCAGAGGGAACTCACCAAGACCCATCCTGTGACAGTCAGCAATGAAAAGGGCACTCAAAGTGAGCAAAGACTCATGGGGGCAGGAGGAGGGTTATTGCAACTATCCACATTGAATTATTCACTACTGAGAACAATTCAGCATGCAAGTTAGAGATTTCTGCATGATTCTTCACCTTAGTAAATGCTGCACTATTTAATGGTTTGAGATTCCAAAACAACACATTAAAGGGCACTCATTTAATAAGATACTGACAACGTGTACATCGCAGAATATGGCACATCATGCAGTATTATATCACCTAATTTTACAAGAGATTAACTCATTTAATAAGATACTGACAGTGTGTACATCGCAGAATATGGCACATCATGCAGATTAACTCATTTTTACCTGAGATGAATTACTTTACATATCACCAGCCACTTTAGGCAAAATAAGAGTTTGGGGACTTGCACATGACTACAAAAACATTCCATTCCAAGCATCTGCAGATTTATCACCAACATGTGGAGTGGGGATGTACAAAACCTTCTATAATAGCAATGTGGATTAACCCTGTGAGTGCAACTCAAACAGCTCAAAGTACGAACACATGGCTGAGCTGCTTGGGAGCGAATCCATGGCTCTGGGGCAGTTCTACATGTGGCTCAGTCACCATGGAAACCGATGGAACGTTCCTTCTGATTGCTCCACGTTTAGAACGTTGACCCAGGATCACTCTGCGAACATTCTAAATGCATTTATTTCCAAACAGATAAACAATGTTAGTCAGACTTACCTCCTGAGCCGCTCACCGCGTTGGCTGAGCAGGGGTTACAGCTGAAGGTGGCTATGTTATAAAACTGATCAGATGTGCAGTCCCCAGGCTGGACATTACTGATGGCTGTGGGCACAGCCTGACACAGAGCAGGGGACATTATTACACACAGCAGTCTCAGAAACCCTAAACACAGCATTGTGCTATGGGAATGGCTACTAGCCTCCATGGCCTGGGCTAGCCCTGCAGCTACTGTATTCAGTATGTCTCCATGGTTACAGACATGGCAGGATCACATTACAACAAACTCCAGGATTATTGGCTACAGGAACCAACTGCTACTTTGTAACTCCCACTTACACATCCCTGTCATGTGATCACTGTGTTACAAGGCTCCTGGATCCAGGCAGAGCCCCTGGGGTTTAACCATTGATATGCCTAAAGGGGGAGAGCACAGGGCAGGAAAGGGTTGATTTTCGCAGTTTTCAAAATAGAGGGCTACATAGTAACAAGGTATACAGTGTGTAGAGTTTATCATACAAAATAGGGCGTACAACACTACAGAACATGTTGGTGCTAAATAAATAAATAAATTATAGGCACAGAGTTTTCTCAATATTAACCAAGAATAATAATTTTTAATGTGAATGTACCCATTGTACAGCGCTACGGAATCTGATGGCGCTATATAAATAATAATGTACTATTGCATTAGCCCCACACTGAGGATGAAAGAATACTCACAAATCTTGTCGATTGTAAACTCTGATGATCAGGAATCCATTAGTCGCTTTATAAATCCAATATATTTATTTATCCACTACAAAATGGAATGCTCCCCTATTGTACTCCTGTGTAAAACATGTTGGCATTGAGATCAATAGATGTTATAGGAAATATCTGAATCACACCTCACATGTACAGATTTTTTTTAAAGTAGACAACCCAGGGTATTCAATATGGGGTATGTCCAGTCTTTTTTTTTTTATTCTTTATTTTTGTAGTGCAGAGCGAGGTAACATACTTGCGCGAGGTACCCGACGGCAATCCTCTTGCATTGTCAAAGAATCTATAACAGTGGGGTTATCAATAATACATGCACAATTTTTATATTTATAAATAAACAACTGCTTAGTAGCATTCAGTTAAATTACGTTGAATGTGCTTGCGCTTGGGCCAGCAAAATTTTTACAACATCAGTGAGGTTTCAATGCCACAAGCTTACATTTTAATACTATTGTCAGTCGCTTCAATACTGTTTACAGTCGCATCGATACTATGATCAGTCGCTTCAATACTATTATCTGTCGCTTCTATACTATTGTCAGTTGCTTCAATACTATTTATCTGTCGCTTTTAACATTAGGTACATAAGGATCTATGTGAATTAACGGTAAATTATATAGTATACTGCAAATGCCAATATATAGACACGTTAATAATAAATGATAATTAACGAGTAGTACAATAGTGGTATTTCACCCTGGCTGGTCTAGAGTTCTAATGGTAGTTTACATCCCAGGGGCCTTTGGCTTGGTGGGCCTGAGGCCTTGTTAGTAGTCGCGGGCCTGTGCTTAGCCGATGCCCGATCTGCCGTGCCGGTGTGACCTGGTTTGGGTGTCCGTCGGTAGTGCCGCTCCAGGGGTGTCTCTGTGGTCCTTGTGGGTGTCCCACGGGCTGTCTCCCCAAACAGCCAAGAATGCTTCCTTTGGATGTCCGGAGGTGAGTGTCTATTAGGGAGGATGTTTGGAGGCTATTTGATACGTCTGTGTGCTGGTGGGCCCTGTGGTTTCCCCTTCTGGGCCTCTGTGCTGCGTGATGCGTGCAGGGTAGGTTTGCGGTCGGCCCTGTTGTGGGGACTACAGTCACTGGCATGGGTGGGTATTGGGCGCTGTGAGTCAGTGCAGCAGCCGTTATGAGTCTGGATAGGCCTCTGCCGTTTGCCTGTTATACGGCCCGTGGGGTGGGTGGGTGAGTGGTTGCTCGCGGGGCTGCGGGGCTTGGTACGGTGAGCTTGGGCTCTTTCTGCCCCCTGGACTCGTTTCTGGTGTCCTCATCAGTGCTCTGTTCTCCGCGACGGAGCAGTCCCATCCGCCGGTCTCGGCACACATGGCATCCGCCATCTTGGGTGGCGCATTCATGCCCTCGAGCGGGATGGCCCTGTCTTCGGGCCCTGGGTTCATAGCCTCTGGGTGAGGATCAGGATCACCCCCGCTGGTCCGTATGGGGGAAGAGGTGGGGGGGGACAGGGCCGGGTCCACCCGGGTCTCCGCTTCCAATTCTGCGCCATTAGGCAGGATAGAGGGGCAGCGGCCGTCCGCCCCTCTCACTGTCGGCTTAGGCCCCACTCGGTTGGCGAGGGCTTTGCCTCCAGAGAAACACACCCACAGGAATACACACAGACACAAACAGATACAGACACACACATACTAAAAGATACAAATACTGAAACAGACATACACACACACACACTGACATACATACTCACATACTGACACACATGTATATATGCAGACATACATACTGACAGAAATACATACATACATACTGATATAATCATACATACTGACAGACACATACTGACACATACACACACATGCATATACTGGCATACATACAGACATACATACACAATTAATTTTTCAGCCACCCTCCTCTTCCTTACCTTTGAAACATAGAAACATAGAAACATAGAATGTGACGGCAGATAAGAACCATTCGGTCCATCTAGTCTGCCCTTTGCATTGCAGGAGGGTGGCTGGGGATGATGGGCCTATCCTCTCGGCCTTCAGACTCTCTCTCCTCCTTCCTGTGCAGGTGAGCTGGGAGGAAGTGACCGGCCATCACTTCCTCCCAGCAGCAGTTGCGTTACGGCTGACTGGGCCCCTGAAGATAATAGGACCCATTAGGTGGCCCTAAATGCTGATGGGCCCCAGTGCAGATACACCGACGGCAGTTCCGCCGCTCCACATGGGGGCCGGGCCCCCCAGGGCCACTGGGCCCGTGACAACCATCATGGTTGTCACCCCCTGACAGCGGCCCTGATGCCTGTGGTTACGTTGATACGTAGATTTCAAGTTTGAGCACTTTACATTAGGTTTCATGTGGTTATGGGTATGTTTTATAGTGTGTGCATGCCTGTACTGTATATTGCGCTTTGTATGGTTTTTACGGTTTCATTGTATGAATAAAAATCTTTATGTGAATTACTTTTGGGATTTAGTTATTACCTTGGAGAATACTGCAGTCAGAGGCTTCTTATTAATCTCAACTTCCCACCGAATGAGCTCAATGGAAGGGGGAGAAGGTAGGTAGGCTAGCTCAGAGCACCTACCACCATCATAAGCCCTGTGGAGATAATGTTGTTAGAAAAACATTTGTCTGTTTTACCAGGGAGGTGCATTTATAAAAGTGTCACATTCTATTAAGATTTACAAATCTATAAACAGTCACAAAGGAGACAGACTCCAGCCACGTGAGGCACTTACCAAGCTTACGTGCTGTGTGTGTCTGGAGTGTTCTTCACTTCTTATAATAAATATATTTTGATGCACATAGGCACACTCCTACTTGAAAGTCCATCTTAAATTTCATATTTAATATCAAGCTTACTGCTTATTATTATGCTATTATTGCTGGCAGCTAGAGGGCGCCAACATACAAGCCATGCTCAGAAACCCTATAGAGTAGACAAAGGTCCTGTAAAACACTCCTCAGTCCTGTTTAAAAGATTGGTCAGACAAATCAGTGCTTTCAAAGTACTTACCTACAGCATAAAGCAATAAGCCCACAGGCATGGGCATCCTCCGGCACTCCAGATGTTTTGGACTACACCTCCCATGATGCTTTGCCAGATGTAGTCCACAACATCTGGAGTGCCAAAGGATGCCTACCTCTGATAGGAGATGGATAGCCAATAAATGTCATGGTGACCCAGGATGAGCATATTGGCATCAGTAAAATTTTACGTACTGGTCAAAAGGTATCTATAACAAATAGGTTTGTATGTTTCATGGTTGTTACTGTTCCATGGCTGACAATATTGCAGTTTTCAAAAATGACATATGTTCCATGAAAAAAAAAAAAAAAAAAAACACAAAACATTGTGACATCCCCTTGATGTGGGGCAAAAGTAACACCCCAGGACGTGTTTGGAAACCAGAGCAATCTGAATGTACCTTTCCTGGTTAAATACTTTGTTATTATTATTATTACTGTATACATCATAATAGTAAAAGTTCTAATTAGCCTCCATCAATATTAAACAGATCACAAGAAAACTATAACCGTAAAGACAAAGCAGCCTTGATTAATTATGTAATTCCCAAAAATATATAAACACATGAATAAAATGAGTAACATTGTGTCCCTGGTACTTGGATTGTTACATTAAAACGCTTCCATAGAATCTGCAGTTTCAGCATGGGTATGTCAACATCTATCGGACTGTTCCTGCTTTCCAATGAAGTTAATTTTGGGCTACCTACCTGAACTTCTTCAGCCCCCTGTAAATCATTCCAGTGGTCCACAAAATCTCAGTCTAGTGCCAATAAAATTGTACATTGTATCAGAGTAGTAACATTATTTGACCACCAGGTGGCGCTGGACATTAAAAGGATGATGTAGCTTGCTTCATATTTAAATATGTATTGCTATACAGTACAGTAGTACACGATGATGGATTTATAAAAAATAAAAAAATAAAAAACATTTGGATTTCTGTAGAACACTTTTTAGCTATTATCTATATAGAAGATATGGTTGGACACAGTATTGGCTATGACTATGCTCATACAGATATAAATTTGCTGCCTACCCAGCAGTTAAAGGGGTTTATCTGCTAAACACAGATTTGTAAAAGCAATGACCCAAATAAAACTGGGAGTTTTTTAAGTGAATGGCAGTAAATCCAGGATAATGGCCACTCTCAGCATAATACAAAGTCCTGTAACTGTTCCGGGATGTCTTCTTCACCTTGTCTCTGTTATATTCTGTATCCAAAATGACTTGTTATCAAATATCCCCATTTTATAATTGTAAAGCTCTGCGAAATATGTTGGCGCTATATCAATGCTCACAATAATAATAATGACTAGATGAATTCAAATCAGATATCTGCTCCTGTGTGTGACGGCCCAGCTAGAATAGAAATAATCAGCTTTCTAAAGATTCTCAGCTCAGACAGCAGCACATTTGGGGCATTCTGTTAACTTATCAAAACCACCTGCTTTTCAAAAACCAAAACATTGCTGCTCTATTACCCCCAAAGCAGACTTCTGCTTTGACACAGATAAAAGTTTTCGGTCCCCTGGGTCTAAGCCATCTAACCATTACCCACAACTTTCTGCAGGACTACAAATCCCAGAACTCTCTAGCCCAGCAAAACCTGCATACACCTAGCCATGAGCTGTGTTTGATGCAGTAATATCGTTTTATGTCCACAATTAAACCTCTGAATTTTCTCTAAAGCAGGCAAAGTATTTTGGGAGTTGCAGTACTAGAACAGCTGGGGATGTATCATTTGGCCACCCTGCTGCGGAGAGAGCTTTTACCATCGGTTGAGTAAACTTTGCTGCGGGCATGAGTTGTTGGTAGAAGCATATTCCAGTCTCCTAGTGCTAAGTCCTCTAATTAAACCTTCCAGATGAAATATTAATATACCTGCAGGGAGTCCGCCCCGACTGTTATTAATACCATCCCTTACGTTGAGACCTCAAAAAGTCCCCCAGCTGATATTATGGAAACCTTTAGATCCATCTGAAATGGTTTAATTAGTAATGAAGTGTACACAGCAAGAAGCGGCTTAATACGGCACTAGGGGCTGGTGTACCGAGGAACAGACGATGATGCTCAGACAGGTGGAACAGCAGAGTTTAGTCAAAAATATCTGGTTTCAGGTCTGATCTCACCTTATGGTTAATCCTGCTCTGGTGGCTACAGGAGAGTCAGAGAAGCTGGGATTGTGGGAAATGTAGTTGCAAGAGCAGGTGAAGAGCTACGTTTTGGGCAACTTTGGAATTGATGTTGGTGAAATAACTGATTTGGACTTTATACTTCAGGGGTGCCCAAAAGGTAGAACCCCTGATTTTGTAGAACTACAACTCCAATGCATGCTTTGCATGCCTTTAGAATGACAAAGTATCATGGAAGCTGTAGTTTTAAAACATCTGGGGATCTACCTTTTGGGCACCCCTTGTTCTATTTCATTCTAATTATAAATCTCAAATAACACGCACTTACAACAGAGAGGACATCTGAAGGTAGATTTGCCAGAACTACCATGTTTTAGTTTTGTTGATGGGCAGCCCATGAAAAGGGCTCTGCAGTAAGTAGAAAGTTCTGTAAGATGAATGACTATAATCCTACCTACAGATTTTAAATTCTATATACCACACGGCAGAACTGTTCCTGTGCTGCCTCTCAAACCATGGTGGATCTGCGAACCCATTTTTGCAGAGCTCTCTCGATTATGTGATAATGGTGGAGTGAAAGCCAGGTTCCTAAATTAGCTCAAAACAGATTAGTATAGAAGCCTCGGACTTAACTGGATTCTAAGAATTTCTACTTTCTCTTATAGAGAGGAGTAAAATATTCCCCAGGTATAAAAAGGTTTCAGACACAAGCTTTGTAAAAAGGTGAGAAAGCTGAGGTAGGAGCCATTGAAACGAGGCCTTTATTTCCATTGCACAGTCCGTTTGTAAATTACATCCTGATGACGTTAATTCGTTTATTAAAGGTGAGATTCCCTAGCTAATTGGTGGCCTTTATCTGAGCTTCAGGGCCTGTTGTCACGGTAACAGCATCCCCGTGAAAGGTATTTATCAGAGAAAAGATGACTTCAATACGCAGAGACACACATCACAGCCCAGGATAACTGTGTCCAAGAGGCACAATAATACGGCTTTGATGGGTTCAAGGCAAGCATCTTGAAACCAGAAAAATAGATAAAAGCAGGATGCCCTGATTCATTGTATTGCTCCATGTGCCGAGTACAAAAATCAGGTTTCATCAAAGCCGAAGCCTTCTGTAAGATAGACGGCCGTGGGGGTTCATTTACTAAAAGGAGGAATGTGGGAGACTGACACGGGAAGCACACAATTTAGACCAAATAAGATTTGGGTTATTTTAGCCTCGTCTGTACAATTTCCATACCAACTGCCCACCAACTCCCTGCATTACAGCATTTAAAATCAGGTGCCCTGCAGTGAACACAAAAACTGCCAAATGTGTTTATATTAACTAAATAGAGAATTTAGAGTAAAGTGCATTGCAGAATTTAGGATAGGATAACCAACTGACAGGAATAGAAATTAGGTCTAGAGATCTTTTTGATGTGATCACAAAGAAACTAATTTTCACTGGTTTTACTGATTAGTGCGTTATTGGCCATAAAAGTTCATCACAATTGAAAAAAAATCCACCGACACATGACAGCTTTAATTAATAATTTATTGTTTCACTTTATTTTATTTATTTTAAATCCAGTGTTTATGTGTGTATATATATATATATACACACACACACATACACACACACACACACACATATATCGTAACATTTTACTCACAGACAACTGTATATCCTCACTGAACCATCTTACAGGATTATTCACCAAAATACAAACTGCCAGGAATTCAAAGTGAAATTTTACCCAAAATAGACAGAATTGTTTTTTCTTCTAATTTTGCCTTTTTCTGGCAGAAAATTGAGTTGAATTTGAAGTGAATAACCCTGCAAGATTTATCAGAGTATTAACTGCAGGAACTATCAAATGTGAACCTTAAGTGGTTATTAGACTACATATCCCAGAATTCTCTACCTAACATTGATGGCTGGTAGAGGATTATGGGATTTATGGTACAACAGCTGTAAGTCAATATCTGACTGCTCCTGGGTTAGCGATTCATCCACGCCAAGTAACCTTCATCCTACTACCATATGTGCATACTCACACGTACACCCTACAATTATAGACGTAAAGTCTTACAACGCAGCCACAGTGTCACTATAAAATCCAGGTCCAAATATGAGATGGTTAAGCAACAGCAACAGCATGACCACTAAAATGGATGGAGGTCTCTTGGATTAACTTTATGGCGGCTATAAAAGATGCTAAATTAATCTGCACTGCAAAATATCCTATTCCTCTGCACGGGAAGGCGGTAATAATGCCCGGTGTGTGTGGAGCCAGGTTTCTTACGATATCATGTACGTTATGCAGTTATATGGAATGTCACTTTAAGTGTACCACAAGATACAGGTGGACACGATGCAATGGAAGGTCTCTTTGCCCCAGAATACCAATGGCCCAATAGCACTCCTTCCTCTCTCACTGCCCTGCCAAATACCCATTTCCCTGGTAAACCAAGCTCAGTGCTGCCCCCACTGTGCCTGCCAAGCCTACTACAGCAATCACTGGTCCTCCTAAGCAAACACTGCGCCAACTGACCAATCTAGGCCAAATACTCGTCCAACGGCCACTGAGTTACCTAAAACTTCTGTCACTGCCCAGTAGAGGCCAAAGCGCCTCCCACTGTTCCTGTTAGGCTCTATAAGCCACCCACTGTCCCGCCTACATCTAATAAAGCTCCCTTTTTCCCCACTTGGCCTAATCCCGTACAGACCGAGCAGGGTGGATCCTTTGACCTTTCCTCTTGGCCTTGGCTCATTGCCATTGTGGCCAACCAGGCATTTGCCAGGTTTGCCCAATGGCTAGTTCAGGCCTGCATACAACCCTTCCAATATTTCTTACACATTTAGGCAAAATAACCAAGATTTTATGATAAATAATATGTACAAAGTGCAACACTAATTAACCCTTCTCACACCATTCCTAATGTGTCAAAGTAATACTGCCCCATAGCAACCCATTAAAGAAATCTGTTTTGTTTTTAAATCTGTCTCTATGGCAGGAAGTTTGGTATTGAAAATTAATTTTCAAACACACAAAAAAATAAATAATATTTTGTGCTTTCCATGTTTAAAATATAAAGCTACGTTATCATTTAGTTTATAGAGTGTTTAAATGTCTCTTCCTCACTCTGCTGTGGGAAAAGAAAACAAAAAAACCTGTAGCAACGCAGCAAAGTATAAAAAAAATAATAATAATTTAGATAATTAATAGAGCTCATCCATTTTATGTGTTGCTGTGTGCGAACACATACTCCGGGATAAACAAAATGGCCGCATCATGCTCTAGCAACAAACTTAAAATGGCAGAATGACTGATCAACTTTGTCACACAACAACACAAAGCAACAGGTAAAAAACACAAAAACAACTCTGCAATAATAATATTAATTCTAGTCACCTAATAATACTTTAGCTTAACATTTCACAGAGATTCAACTTGACCCCGAGCATCATATGAATGACAGCAAAAAGTACAGACACAAAACACCAGATACACCCAGAGACACATACACACCTTAGAAAAAAGATACAACAAAGATCAATTAAATAAGCAACACAGTTAGACACACGCTGCCCTGGGGGTGGTTGGTAAATTGCAGTGTAATTTAAAAAAGTATAAAGGTAGAAGGGTGGACATAGTTCTGGCACACAGGGCAGTGATGGCCCAAATCTGGTGTTCTCTAAACCGTGGCAGTAAGTGTATTGAGTAACCAGTGTCTTCAAGCCATAATTTGCCTACAGTGGCAAATTCCCAGCCCGGCAGAGGCTGTTAAACAGGAATTCAGGAGAAATAGCACGCCTGTCTATATAACTTGTCTCCGGTTGATGGTCCAAAGCAATGCCACTAACTCTTTGTGAGCCAGTTGCAAATACGAAGGTGAAATTTTTTATTTTTTTTTTTTTTTTAAATAAAGAGATTTTGGACAAATTGGGCAGATTATGGACAAATTGGCAAAAGAGGCAGAGTGTCAATTTCCCTCAATTCTAATGTAATGTAATTTTACTAATTTGTGTGCCGGTGACTTATGGTTTGCTTGGAGTTACATATCTGACCACAGAAGGAGCTTGTATTAGCATCACTGCTGCCTGGTTGACTCCATTATATGGTCTCCACGAATTTAATCCACAGCCATTTTATTTGTTGGATGTGATTTTGGGTCAGTTTACGAGCTCGTCTCCAAAAGCTGATAGCTTCCAGGCGCCCCAACTTTCAGTAAAACAATGGGGTACATACAGATGCCCACATTAACTTCATCCCAGCTTATATGTGTATACCGTAAAAAGTCGCTTTGCTAGTATAACCGAGACCAGACATGCTCAGTTAATAAAATATAGGTGTGTATTTAAACTGTTCCTAAGGACCTACAAAGCACAACCTAGTTTATAAACATATATATTGAGCAGGAAAATCAACGAAAAACACGGCGTAGCTGGTAAAATGCGGGTTTCTGTCACAATTGAAATATAGAATCATTTAAAATATCTGTTTTATAGGAGTACAAGCACACAATATGTTTACCAGAAACTATATTAAATCTACTGGGCACGTCGGGAATAAATTATAGCCTATAAATATGTACATATATAATTGCGGTTAAGCATTTAACAATCTCTGCACCACAATACCTACTTCTAATGAACATACCACGGAACGAGTCTCTCACAAACACCACCTTTCTAATCGGCAGCTATAGTACCGGATTACACGCAACGCTAGCGATGACAGGGTTAATGACTAGTAATAAATCTTTAGGGCTAAATATATATATTTATGTTTTTAAAAAAATAAACAAATTCATATAATCTGTTCAAAGAACACTGCTCAGTTTTTCCCCGTTTCCTGACAAAGTCCACAGAAAACACAAATATATTAAATACTTAGATTCTTCATGTGTAGACAAAAAAAAAAAAACTCCTTTATCTCTCTTTCAAAATATATACTGTACAGGTAATTTCTCGGATTTCAAATCATGACGACTGCCCTGCGCTTCAGGAGAGACCAGAGCAGACTCTCCCTAGTACGGCCATCTGCCTTAGCTTTTTTCTTCCCCCCCTCAATACTGGTAGAGAAAATCCATCTTCACCACTGATCTATTCAACCGCCATTTGATCAATGTGGTCCGTGAGCTCCTTGAATTTCTCTGTAGGAAAAACAAAGAATACATGGAGAATAAATGCAACAGAAAAGAAATGAAACCTGGAGAATCAACGTCTTACACGTTTGTCATAATCAGAAACAAGAAAACAGAAACAGTTAGTCTCCTCAATGGGTTCGGTCCAGATTCTGTCACTCAATGTGCGAATATTTCTTTCATTGTGGAGAAACATGGAATTATGGGACAAGTCAGAACGTTAACCATAAACAAGAAGACAACTTCTCACCTTCATCCAGGCTCCCAATCACAGCTTGTTTCTTCAGAAAGTCATAACACAATTTCTTGTTGAGCCCAAAAGCCACCATGTTGTGTGTGAATGTTCTACAAAGAACCCAAGACAAGACAGACACTCTAAGCTAGAATGCAGTAGAAGGGCAAGGCGACAAAAGTTAAACGATACTACTTTACGGTGGTCCACCAAGGACCGGTATTGCATTTGGTTAGACAAACTATATAAATATCTTCATGGGTCTCAAATGAGGTTTATCAAGTAGATGATACCAGTGACACGGAGTGCCGGTGGCCTCACCGCACAGAAATCCCAACATGCACAACCCGGTAAGGCCCCCCCAAAAGCCATCACTAAAACCCACCAAAACACATTGCATATACTAAAGTTTAAGACCAGCTAGTGCAAGAATGGTGTAATAGACATTGCAGTATAGTAAACATATTTTTATTATAACGTTAAAACAATAAGATTGCAAAGCTTTTTTAATTTTTTTATATTTTTTTTGTTGTGCATTGCATTACACAGATACATATCTGTCACTTTAAACAGAGTGATATTGTACATATTACACATATACAGTGATTGTGATTATGCACATTTTTTGTTTAAGTATATCATGAGTGGATCCCTAGGGGGCTTCTGGTATACTGGTGATGTCTGTTCAAGCCCAGGGAGGGTGATACAAGAGGTGCATGTTCCTAGGGCAATGTAGGTGTTTACGAGTAGATTGTATTCGCTCATGTGTGAGCAAGCTTGGGAACATGTACAGGTCTTGAGTTAGATCAAGCGATTTCTGCACTTGGGTGTCGTTAGTGTGAGTGCTGCCCTCCTGATTGGGGGGGTGGGGGAGTGGACTACCTTCGTGCATGGCTGAACTCTTGGTGGAGGTGTCGCCCCTAACCAAAGGGGTGGTGGGGGGGGAGAAGGGGTGGGTGTTTGCGATTCAGTGACTGGTTATGTGTGGCTGTATGAAACTGGACTAGGGCAATAGATGGCACTGCTTCGTGAGTGCTTGGTTGTGTTATAGTGAGCCTGGTCTCTTCCTAGGTGACCCAGGCCAAAGATTGTATCCTCGTACGAGTGATTCTACAGTAATAAACAAAAACATATGGCAAAAATAGGTAACCAAAATCATATCGTTAAAACTTTACAACTCTGCAGCCTTAGGCTGCTGGATCAGTGAGTCCCTCCAGTGGGTTTGGGCTGGAGACTGCAAAGCTTTTAAGCCATTTCTCGCTTATTGGATTAGCTAATTGTGTTATTATATTGTGTCTAACATGATTTAAATGTATTTGACCACATACAAAAAGCCACATGTATTCTGTGGTCAGTACCACAGCTTACCCCAGCTGTCCAAATGTAATGTTCTCATTGAACTGAAGACTGTCGTCTCGTTCTTCTTGTGTCATGTGATTCCATTTATCTCTGTTGGAACAGAAAGGAGATTAATTGTAACGATGTAGGGTTTATATATTCCAAAAAGAACAGGTGTGTACAAGTCTGGGTCTGTGCGTACCGTTAAAGTACATTCTCTACCTCTTGGCTACTAGTAAAAACCAGCCAGGTGAATACAAACACAATAAATGATCTGTGGGAAGGATTTTATTTTCATTCTACAATCACACAAACTGTGGATATATTTCCTTGCTCTTAAACACCAGTGAATATTAGTGTCTACTCTATTTCCTTTAACCTTTGGCAGGAGGACGAGATGTTAAAAAGCAATAGATTCTGTGCTGTTAAATAACTACATTTACTAAATCTAATTATAGGTCCGATATAATCTCCTTCTGAGTTTACTCTTCGACATGTCGCTGCCATTATTATTAACAGCTTAAATATTAATCTTGTATAATAATAAAAAAAAAATTTGTTTATTTCAATAAGTCTAAAGGGATAGTAACGTATTTACAACTTGTTGTAAATCGTATTCCAGGAAAACCTCAACTGAAGATCTCTAAAATTTCCAAACAGGCCAACTGCTGTTTGAAATGTAATGAAGGCAGGCAGGCTGTCACACAGATTACATTGAAGATCTTCAGACCTCACAGGGGTTTTAAAAACCTGAAGTGGGCTGCAGTATCACAATGTACTAGAGAGGAGGGCAGTATATGGAAATACACTGCTAAATGTAGTTATAAGTTGATAGTAAAGTGCGTCCATTCTGCATCAAGTCTTTGAACAATTTTGTGTTCAAAGCTTTTTTTGTTTTTAAATAAAATAGCTTTGTGCCATTACGGTCTCTCTAATTATGAGTGCAAATCTTTGAATAATACAACAGTTGGCAGCACTCATCATGCTGGGAGGGAGTCTTATTTAATGAAACGGATTGTGCCAATTAGCAGTGCTCAGATCCCATTTGTCGTACAGCATTATTTAGAATTTTGGGGTTTTCTGAAATTAGGACAATTGCAATACCTCAAGGATTCACTGAGCTGATCCTTACACAGCCTTGTATAATTTAAATTTATGTGACGTGTCGCACAGCCTGCTCTTGTAGCCTTAAGTTATCAACCTCTATTTGATGCTTGCCAATTCTCCTCTTGACTTTCAATAGCAAACTGGGCAGTCAATCATATTGCGACGACTAAATGCGTACAAGGCAATGATCTGCAGGAGCTGATCCTGAGAAAGATGGTATATCTCATAATCTGGGACATGTTGCACATTCTCCCAGCAGCTATATAGCAGTTATAATCGGTGTGCTAAAGTGTATATAATCCAGAACCTGGCTTCTACATGTTAATTCAGCCAGTATAGCGTGCAGTCCATGCGTATACCTCTTATGTTTTTTTTTGTTTGTTTTTTTTTATTCTGATTGGCTATTGAAAATTCTGCTGGGACCCTAAAATCTACAAATATTTATTTGCCATAAATTAATAAAACTAATTGGGTTGCTCCCTGGATGAGACGTTTTCTAATTTAATGATAACATTATACGGATTACATCAGTCTACTACAACAAACGCACCACCAAATATGGCACTGAATTCGTAAAGTCTGCGGTGCTAGCTTTAAATCGTACCAACATCAATTTCTCCATGATAACAAAGAAAAGATTTATAAAGAAATGGGGGGAAAGGGCACATTTCTTACTGATCTTTTGTTCAGTAATTACTGAGCTGCTGCGGATCTAAGGTAGTGATTAGCGGTTTTTGGAAGTTTTCATCTTGTCATAAGCTTTGCGCACTCCCTCCGCAGCTGCAAAATAATGATGTGTCAAACTCCTATCCATTGAAGGGTGCTGCGGTTTTGTGTAAGTAAGGAGGGGGCAGGGAGTTGAAAGTTAGCTCTGAAAGCTGCATTTATCTTTTCAGTAACCTGAATATGGAGAAAGGGATGTTCTGAACTCATCGCAGCTGTAAGGACCAGATTAACTCTAACTGCCAAAAAAAAATTATCAAAATAAATTCAAATCAAATTATAGTATCCAATATTCAAAGCGTGGATGGTGGCGCAAACCGAATAATAAAATCAGTACATGGTTCTGCAAACTGCTTATTGGATCCGTAAGATTATTCTATACTCTATATAGGGTATATATTATTAGAGCTCTTTCACCACACACACACACACACTGAACGCACCACAACCACCTCAACTGATTGAAGTTGTCATGGTACCTAGATAGGTACACTGGGTCCCACATTGGTCTTAAACAGTTTATTCACCATTTAGCAGAGATGCTCAGTCAGCCTGTTTCGCAATGATGAGATGCTCTGCAGACACCCAAATATGGAGGATTCTCGTTTCTGTACAAATCTGGATTTCTAAATTGGACTACAAGTACTGGACTATGTCACGCCCTACGCTCACTGTCTATCACTGCCATCCAAATGTAAAAATGATTTTGTTTAAAAAAAAATAAAAAATAAAAAGATATGGTTCTTTAATTTAAATTTTTTTTTTCTTCTAATTACAGAGATGGAGATAAGTTAGTAAATTGACGTCAATCATTGCATACACAGCACATTTTAATCATTAGAACATTACAATCGTTACGCTTCACATGTACAAAGGGTAGCTGGCTGGCATCGTAGCTGCTTTCATATTAAGGAACGGGTTTTAGGGCAATACTCAGAATACTTTCAGGGGTCATTGAGATAGATGTAGGACACCAACACACCCAAGACACAGCAATGGTGCAGAAGACAAACACGTTGCACTATGGCTTTCTGTCGTGGGACCTGTACAGTGCACAGACTAGGGCTGGTAACACAACTAAGTAACACAGGAAAACCAACCTCTCCTCCTCTTCCTCCCCAGCATTCCCTCTGGCGCGGCAGCAAAAATAGGGTTAGGAAAGGTTAAAAGGTTAGATGGCAGAGTTTTCACGTGGGAAGAAATTAAGAATGACATCATTGGCAAAGAAGACCGTTTGGACCAATAACAGTCTGTTGGTGGATTACAACAGCATGACCCGTCTTTGGTTGGCAGTCATGATCCACCAATGGCAGACCTGCTTTTTTGTTTTAAACATCTCTATATACAAGCGGAACACAAGACAGAAAATGATCCCAGCTGACATCTCTACCACCAATAGGACATTGTAAGACTTAGAATTTCAGCAGGACGCACACACTGTGGATAAATCATTGCAATGACTGTGAATAATTGGCTACATTGAATCCAGGTTTTCCCTATAGAGTATACAGATTCCTTTACAGCCCCTCTGGTTAATAAAGTCTATACATCTTTCATGCTGATTACACATTATGAGCAGATGCAAATGTTCTTGCGTAGACCATCTTTTTTTTTTTCTCCCCACCAAAAATTCAGCTGTTGCTGGGAAATCAGGTAATAAACCACATGGCAGAGAGACAATAAGCAGTCTCAGAGGATGATGAGAGGCATAATTAGAACGAGAATGTCAACATGTTTATGAAGCCTGGTTTATAGAACTGATTAAAGTCTGATTATCCATTTTGTGATGCTGAAAAAAAGGTCGTCTTTGGTAATGAGATGAGATGGAATATTATTGAATGTTTGAAGCAGCAATGGGCAATGACAGTCTGTCTCTATGTTTTTCTGGGGGTGGCAGAGAGACCGCCAACTACAGAAATGATAAAATGTGTTCTCCAAACACGCAGGAGATTTTTATTTACACAAAACTAATTGTTTCATTACATCTGCGTGGGGATAATGGATGCACCTGATAATGATTATCTATGTAAATGCTGGGTAACCTTGCCAGCCCATATGTTTATGAACTACAAATCCCTGGATGATCTCTCCATATGAAGGCTGGCAAAGCAGCATGGGAAATATGGTCCACAAACTTCTGCAATTCAAGATTACCCAACAATACAAAAGGTAAAACGGTGGATCAGTCATATTTAACTCCAAGAAATGAGGTCACTCATATGGAAGCTGAAAAAACACCATAGGATATTGTAGGCAAGATGTGTGCATGACCAACCAGTTAGGCTAACTTTCAAAGATAAAAAAAAACACTTTACAGACATTTTAATAAAACTATTTTCTAATAAATTTAACAGTGGAATTAGATATAACGATTAACATTGAAAGACAAATATAGGATAACTACAGTCTCTCGTCACTAAATCCAGTTACCGTGATGACATCATTGTAAGATTTAATCCAAGCTAGCCAAAATTGAAAGATTTACTTTTTTGACCCACCCTGCTATTTTGGCAAACATTTTGATACTTTTGTATGAACGGTTTGTTGCCCCAATGATAAATATTAATATTATAAGCCGCCATATTGGTGAGAAGATTGTATAAGCAAAAATCTTTACTCAATGCCACTTAAGGAGTGTTCTAGGGATTCTAAGTGCTCACAGGGAACATCTAAGATAACAATCCCAAACATTTCCAGTAATCTGCACCGAACGGTTCTGCGTTCGGCCATTTACAGATACGATCGCATGTGAGCGTTAAAGGTGGGATTTTGGGCTGTATTTCAAAATATGTGGAAATTCGAACTTTGTTGGTGACAATCAGACAGGACTATGGACATCCCTTTTCCCTAACAGGAAGTGACATCATGACCAGCCATGTTCCATCTGCCATACATGTGCAGAAACCACCATGAGGCAGTGATGTCACTTCCTGTAATGGAGGAGATCTGAGACGTCATTCCTGTCTCAGTGTGAGGTTGTTATTATTACCACAGACTTAACGCAATATATTTTTATGCACATTCACACTTTTAAGGCTCCATACAGAAGTATTGTAAATAACTCACATGGTGTAAGTTTGTATTTGCCTTTTCTCTCGCCAATTCTACAACACTGGACGTGGTTAAGCAGGTGTTTAGCCAAGATTTCCCCCCTTACCTTGTAGTGGGAGACCTCTTCCTCCTCTCGCAGTGAACTGCGTCAAAGAATGCTGCGTTCCAGAACCGCAATGTGTGCCTGAAACAGAGGTCAGCGTCAGTTTAATCGTCTGTACCAAGAATACGACAATATCGCCACTCTTTCGCTTACCATCCTCCCTCCAAAACTAAAACAATAATTAGTCATTTGATACTACCAATTGGCTGATTAAGCGTAACAGGAAAACGAGTTCAAAGAACATCTCCAATTTTAATATTAGCTGTGTTAATCTTTTCTTTTTGACCTTAAAGTGGCACGGTCAGGAGAATCTCTCTCCATATCACTACAGAGAGAAGTCAGCAGTCAGTTTAATTCTATAATCGGGTTCTGTGTCAACATATGCACTGCTTGTTCTGGGAAGAGACTGATAATGGATACATTATACACACTGATCGGGTTATTCACAAAGTAAATTTTTAATTTAACGCCAAAATAACCGAACTAGAGGCATAGCGGACAGAAAATGTTTCCGGTGCGGCTATTTCTACCTTGAATTTTGAATTCTCCCTTTAGTGAAATAACCCTATAAACGTTACTGAGCAATTCAGAGATCCGGGCTTCGTAGAGGAGCTAATTCTCCGTTCTTACCAGATCGGCTGTTGCTTTAGATGTGTATAAAGATAAATCTTCTCTCCCTTCTTTTCGTCTGGACACTGTGCAGAAACTGGGGGTAAAGAAAACAATTATATATAGATATTAAAAATAATAAAAATAAAAAAAATACACACGCATATCTACATATTCTGAAATATAAAGAAGATTAAAAACAAAATGCAACATAAACACAAATATCAATCTACTTACAGTTATCGGATGGCTTCTCCTTTGGCTGGTCTTCACTTCTAAAACAAATTAGAGAGAGGTAAACATATTAATAAATGGCCGATGTAGAACCATGACCTTCTTGGGCTGAGTTAATAAAGTGAAAGAACCAAGAATATGATGCTTGACAAGGTACACAACAAAGATATCTGATTACACACGATGTATATCAAAGTACACAGTTTTCAAGGTCGGCTGAAAGAAATGACTCACAGTAATTATATCTAGCAAAGAAAATTAAAATCCAAACAACAAAATGTTTCTCAATCATTTAACCAATACATGTATGGAAATGAAATGGTAATGATAAAAATACTAAAATAAAAAAAATATTACTGTTCTGGGACAGCTGGGATACCCTAATCTAATTTTCAGATTCTCTAACATTTCCCTCAAATAGTTACCCCAATCTCCACTTATTTTACCAGGTTTTGAGTCCTTCCAACATTTTCAGTGTCTCTACGTCACTATTAGTACCACAAACCATCCATGCCAGCCAGTACCTCTATGCTCCAACATTCCGGACTTCTCTATATCCTTCAAACCATCCTAGCTTCTCTATATTCCCCCAACATTCCCAGCTTTACGTGGTTCCCTCAATATTCCAATATGGCCCACTAGTTTTACTCTAATCCATGTGAGTCAGTCGAAGGTAAAAAAAACACAATATTTAGTAAACGTAGCACCATGCTTGACCCTGCCATACTTACTCCCTCTTAGAGAGGGGACCCTTCAATTTGCTCTCCAGACCACCTAAGAAGACTTTTACGTTTTCGGTGGTGGTTGAGGAGTTCCTCAGGAGTCGTCCAACATTGTCCTTTTTCTCTGCTAGCCAACTGTTCGCAGATTTCAGATATGCATCAATACTGCCGGTACTCACTGGCTTCTCTCTGGACTCAGTGGGCGCGACATGAGGTTTTCCTGTGAGGATACATAGCTGGTTTGTTACATGTGAAAATAGATCCAGAGAAATAGGAAACAGACACTCACATCTCCATCACCCTTAAGCCCCACAAACGGTGCTCACCAACATAGTAATATGTGAAGCACATAGTCATCAGATTCTTGGCCGGACCAAAATCATCCATCTGGTGGCACCTAATTGTAGCATGACAAAAAAAAAGAAAATGAATACTCAGGATGACTGGCTTCTCACCAGAAATTACCCCACAAATGTAGGGCAGAAACTTACTCAAAAAGCACTACAGCAAAGGACTGGACCAGCCGGTAGAAAGTCTGCTCCGAGACACATTTGGAGTTGCAACGCTGAAAAAAAAAAAAAAAAGGAACAGTGACTGTGGGCGTAAAACAATATATATTACAAAGAACAAACCTGACACACAGACATTAAGAAAAAAAGACCCTGCACCGTAATAGAGGATGTAAAACGTGTGTTGGGCATGTTGGATAAAATTGGACATGCAATTAGGTCCTGAGGTAGATTTATAAAGTGATTACATGGAATAGTTATGAAAAAATAAACTGATCTGGAATGTAAGAGTGAATCTGAGTGAGACTTTGACCTACACATGGCGATAACCTGATAGCAAATGTATTGAAAGTTACAATTTCCACTGAGTGTTCTCACAAGTAGCTAGAAAACAGCTGGCCAAAAAAAGGTCTGATCAAGATGAATTAATAAAATAATGTAATCTATGGATATTAAATCAACTTATGCTAGATGACGTGTATATAGTGAAAGCTGTCCAAGGCTCAATGAAAATGTGCATTTATCTACAGTCCTCATTTACTACACTACAGGTAAATCGACTGCAGGCGGAACCTCAACCATCAATCAAGATGCACAAAATACACAATAGTGATTCAAAAAAAAGCTAAAAAATAAATACAAACCAAACACTCATAATGCAAAATGTAAAGACATTACGGATTGATTTTAAAGATGTAACAGGGGAGTGTTCGTTAATTAAAACAAAACAGGTAAGGTTTAATTTGTCATAATATACAATAAAAATGTGCTCACCTGAGCACTGACAAATCGTGCAAACCATTCTCTGCCCTTTCCATTTTCCGTACTGCAAAGCTCGCCAAACCTGGCTTTATCCTCCTGGTCTATATCTTCCCTACAAAAAATAAATAAAATAAAAAAATATTTTATAAATCATAACTCCTAAATTAATTATGATTATTAATTTTTTAAAACATGACCCAGAACATCTTTTTGGATTTGTATTCAGCCATCTCACATAAGTAAACTTTCGAAAGTTTTGTAACATTTTGATTTAACAAATACCCATACAGGGACAATAGGTTTCAGGATTATGTTGCATGATAAATGAAAGATACAGTTGCAAGAAAAAGTATGTGAACCCTTTGGAATGATATGGATTTCTGCACAAATTGGTCATAAAATGTGATCTGATCATCATCTAAGTCACAACAATAGACAATCACAGTCTGCTTAAACTAATAACACACAATGAATGAAATGTTGCCATGTTTGTATTGAACATACCATGTAAACATTCACAGTGCAGGTGGGAAAAGTATGTGAACCCCTAGACTAATGACATCCCCAAGAGCTAATTGGAGTGAGATGTCAGCCAACTGAAGTCCAATCAATGAGATGAGATTGGAGGTGTTGGTTACAGCTGCCCTGCCCTATAAAAAACACACACCAGTTCTGGGTTTGCTTTTCACAAGAAGAATTGCCTGATGTGAATGATGCCTCGCACAAAAGAGCTCTCAGAAGACCTACGATTAAGAATTGTTGACTTGCATAAAGCTGGAAAGGGTTACAAAAGTATCTCCAAAAGCCTTGCTGTTCATCAGTCCACGGTAAGACAAATGGTCTATAAATGGAGAAAGCTCAGCACTGCTGCTACTCTCCCTAGGAGTGACCGTCCTGTAAAGATGACTGCAAGAGCACAGCGCAGACTGCTCAATGAGGCGAAGAAGAATCCTAGAGTGTCAGCTAAAGACTTACAAAAGTCACTGGCAAATGCTAACATCCCTGTTAGCAAATCTACAATACGTAAAACACTAAACAAGAATGGATTTCATGGGAGGATACCACAGAGGAAGCCACTGCTGTCCAAACAAAACATTGCTGCACGTTTACAGTTTGCACAAGAGCACCTGGATGTTCCACAGCAGTACTGTCAAAATATTCTGTGGACAGATGAAACCAAAGTTGAGTTGTTTGGAAGAAACACACAACACTATGTGTGGCGAAAAAAAGGCACAGCACACCAACATCAAAACCTCATCCCAACTGTGAAGTATGGTGGTGGGGGCATCATGGTTTGGGGCTGCTTTGCTGCGTCAGGGCCTGGACGGATTGCTATCATCGAAGGAAAAATGAATTCCCAAGTTTATCAAGACATTTTGCAGGAGAACTTAAGGCCATCTGTCTACCAGCTGAAGCTCAACAGAAGATGGGTGTTGCAACAGGACCATGACCCAAAGCATAGAAGTAAATCAACAACAGAATGGCTTAAACAGAAGAAAATACACCTTCTGAAGTGGCCCAGTCAGAGTCCTGACCTCAACCCGATTGAGATGCTGTGGCATGACCTCAAGAAAGAGATTCACACCAAACATCCCAAGAATATCGCTGAACTGAAACAATTCTGTAAAGAGGAATGGTCAAGAATTACTCCTGACCGTTGTGCACGTCTGATCTGCAACTACAGGAAACGTTTGGTTGAAGTTATTGCTGCCAAAGGAGGTTCAACCAGTTATTAACTCCAAGGGTTCACATACTTTTTCCACCTGCACTGTGAATGTTTACATGGTGTGTTCAATAAAAACATGGCAACATTTCATTCTTTGTGTGTTATTAGTTTAAGCAGACTGTGATTGTCTATTGTTGTGACTTACATGATGATCAGATCACATTTTATGACCAATTTGTGCAGAAATCCATATCATTCCAAAGTGTTCATATACTTTTTCTTGCAACTGTATATTTAAAAACCAGCAGATCTGCATTTAACACAGCCCATATGTAACTAGTACTCCCTACACTGCAAAATGCTAACTTTTTCAAGGTTCTGACAAACTTCACATTTTTTATTTTGGAGTAAATTAGTGTGTACACCTCAATAACATTTTCAGCAAAGACATTTCATTGTAAACATTTGTGTTACGTGTGGGGGGCTTTAAACCCCACAGAACTACTCTCTCTTCCTTTTTAGACTGGTTTATCTATTTATTGTAATGCCTTTACCAAACGATGTCCTTTTAGAAGTAAAAATATTGCTAATAGCAGGAACAGTGAACGGACAGGACCACTGATTCGTTCTTTGCGACTCTTGGAATCACCCTTTTACCCCCTATAATTATACAAAAAACCCTAGACTTGGGTACCAGTTAAAGAAAGGTTCATTCTGAAACATCATCACATATTGTTATAGAAACAATTTAGATGCATTTAAATAATTTGTTTGTTCTTGTCACAAGTCCCAGATTTGTTCTTCTCATCAATAATTCAGAGCAAACAGAATGCCCACAGGTCGAGTTTATCGCTGGGGAAAAAAAATGATTTTTTTCTGGTTTGTACTAATGGAATAATCAGTCCCTGCATTTCTCTATCTGGCTGAGGTTCACACTGCAGAGCACACCCCTCTCCCCCTTTCCCTGGAGCATGATTCTGCTGCGTTTGAAGTGGTTAGTTTCGGATGGCTGGATGGAACGATTGGGTTTTAAGAACACAAATCATCTTTGGGAGACATGTAACTTTCTGATCTTGCTGGAATTTTCTTTATTTTGGCTTTTGAAAAATATCCCTCATCTCGAATATATACACAATTCTAAATTAAAGGAGGTACCTTGTTCAGGATGGCTTCCCTTGGTGCCTTATTACATTTGTCTGCTATTGATAAAATCCATGCCTAATTTCATTTTTATTGAACGGTACTTATATAGTACTCTTACCCAGAGCACCTTACAAAAGTTTAATAAATACTATTATTTATCAAGCTGCACCAACACAACCCATAGCAGTGTAGAACTGGAGTGGGAGGAGATACAGATATACAGTACTCACATTATACAAAAAGGCAGAGCGTACACTGTCCGTGAACAGAAACTCTGCATTTACAACACTTTTAAACAAAACTCTTAGTGGTGTAGCCTGTGAGTTTAAAATGTACAATATTAACATTGCAACGATACAGAACCAAAGGTCCAGGGTTTATGGAAGTTCTGTTTCAAAGGAATAGGCACGTGCTAATAAAAAAGTTTTGGTAACTACTCATCTAAAACACTCAGATTTCTAACCTTTGCTACATGTATCCTTTGGAAATATCTCTAAAGGGGCAGTGGTATGTTTTGGAACAAGTACAGTTTCAGAATTGAATTGTACTCAGTATGTAATTATGCCATTAGCAGTACTTGTACAATAAATGGGGAGATAACAGAATCCGATACACAAGACAATCTCGGATAAAGAAGTCCCAGTACTTGTCAAAATAATACTCGGAAAGATAGGGAACAATGCGGAAATTACAGGCCGATCTCACTTCTAAATTGCGACATTAAATTACTGGCCAAAATTCTGGCAACCCGACTTACAAAACACATCCCTTCACTGGTCCACCCAGACCAGGTAGGGTTCATGACAGGAAGAGAAGCTCGAGATAACACCATCAGGGCGCTCACCCTCATGCACGGGAAAGAGAGTATGAAAGGGGGTCTTCTCCTGCTGTCAACGGACGCAGAGAAGGCCTTCGACAGAGTATGCTGGACATACCTCTTCGAAACACTGGCCCACGTAGGATTAGGACCACACATGCGACAATGGATAGAGGCACTATACCGAGAACCAACGGCCCAAGTGCTGGTAAATGGGGCACTGACAGACGCATTCCAAATACACAATGGCACGAGACAGGGATGCCCTCTCTCGCCACTCCTGTTCGTCCTTGCCCTAGAACCGTTCCTTACACACATCCGAAATAACACTGACATAACCGGCCTAACGACAGGTAACACACACCACAAAGTGGCCGCTTACGCGGATGATCTACGCTTTATAATAACCAACCCTGAAATCTCCCTCCCGAATATCCAGAAAGACCTACAGATATATGGGGAAATATCCAATCTGAAAATCAATAATAGTAAATCATTCATTCTCAATGTTAGCATCCCTACTGCAAGGGCGAACCCCCTCCGACACAGCTTCCCCTTCCAGTGGGCCGAGCACAAGATTAGATACTTGGGAGTCTGGTTGACTAGGCAGAGCGGAGACATACTTAAGGAAAATTTTACAGACACACTTCAGACGTTCCAAAAAGACATGCGGGAATGGTCATATCCACACATCTCCTGGTTGGGGAGAGTACAAGTAATAAAAATGAACTTCCTACCACGCCTCCTCTATCTCCTCCAAACCATTCCCATCGAGCTCCCGAGCCCCCATTTTAAAACCCTCAGAACAGAAATTCACTACCCTGACGCGGCCTAAGGACAAAGGAGGCTTAGCCCTCCCAGACTTCCACTTATACTATGTGGCCACACACCTACAGAGAATTGTAGAGTGGTCAAAAGACAGGGTACACAAACTATGGAAGACGGTGGAGGAGACAGAGGCGGGTAGACCACTCTCGGGACTGCCCTGGGACCGAAACGCGACGAACAGGGACGAAATGTCCATCTACACCAAACACACCCTGAAAATATGGAGGAGGGTAGCGGTGAAGGGGAACATATCGCCATACCCCTCTCCCCTCCTTCCATTGACGTATAACAAAGACTTCCCCCCGGGACTAGACCCAAGAGCCCTCAGAGACATCCTTCCAGACACTCACCCATGCTTACATCACGTCCTACAGGAAGGGAAATGCAAAAAGTTACCAGACATGATGGGAGAGGTACCCCCGACCTTTATGCACAACTTTAGATATTCCCAACTAACCAACTACATCCAAACTCTACCACAGGGATCAGCACTCACTAGAGAACACACCACATTAGAGGTGGTCTGCATGCACCCAGACCCGCTCCCACACGGAGTGTCCTTCCTATACACCATGTTACAAACGGACATCCCAACCGAGACACCCTTATTTATGGGGAAGTGGGAGAATGCCCTAGGATACACATTGACAGACACAGAATGGGAATCCATTTGCTACCTCACACACCACTGCTCCACACACAGTAAAACACAAGAGACAGCCTACAAATTACTAACGCACTGGTATAGGACACCACACCTCCTCCGTCAGATATACCCAAATCAATCTGGCCTATGCTGGAGATGCCAACAAGAAGAGGGAGACATAAAACATCTGGTGGGACTGCACAAATATTAAACCATATTGGCAAAACATACACAGAATGCTCGAGAAATTCACAGACGAGCCACCCCCCCTGGAACCGGCAGCAATGCTCCTACACCTCACTCCTACTCCACACTCTAAATACAAACGATCCATGACCATCCGAATACTTAATATAGCCAAGCGAGTAATCCCCCAATTTTGGAAGCAGAACATAACACCTCCACTTAAGACCTGGTTCAGCCAAATGGAGGAACTCAGGATAACAGAGGAACTGACCATGACGACTAACGCGACCCCAAAGACCTACATGGATATTTGGACATATTGGATCCTAGAGACAGCGAAGGAAGGATTCCAAATGGAACTCGGATCAGACGAACGCCAAATCACAGACAGTTAGGACTTAGAACACCCACTGGACGACAGATGACGGAAGACAATGACTACAAACACCCCTCTCCCCACCCTAACCCCGACTTTCCCCACCCCCACTCTTCTAAAGACCCACACGGGACAATAACCCCAACCCAAGCAGAAATTAATACCTATAGAGGAGACACTAGTGCCCTGAATGAAAAATCCATACGGGTTCACACCCATCCCATAACCCACAAGAGACACAATCCTACTGGAACACATGCCGAGCAGACGTGACAATCACAAAATAGCCTGAGAACAGCAACAAGCTACAATCACACCCTCCCGAAATGTGAGCCATAAACCTCTCAACACAGATACACCATATCCCATACACATGACATCCAGGACACTAAGTGGAGAGTCGCACGAGTCCGCCTAGGACACAATACCCAACCCAAGACGAAGGGACCTGAATGTCGCCTAACAATAAAGGTTGGATAAGAGGTCTGCGAGCCTCAACACAAACATAACACGAATCACAGCTGCTGTACAAGAAATATATAAACCACATAAACACGGTTCAATTAGTAAAACAAATGGCAGATGGTAAAATGTACATGAAGTTACTTGTGAAACTGGAAAATAGGGACTTGCAAGTCTGTCAACATTGTGGGCCTGCGAGCCCAAACATACATTGATGTTTTCTAAAATTATGATAACTCACCTTAGAGACCTGCGAGTCTCCAACCTTTACGTAAGTAATATAAATAAAAATTATATTCACAAAAAAATAATACTCGGCCAAAATAGTTAAAAACAAAAAGTTAGCATTTAGGAATTATAAAAAAATCCCAGAGTGAGGAAGACAAAATGATCTATAAGATTAGGCAGAAAGAGGCTAAGCAAGTTATAAGAGCTTCCAAATCACACAAAGAAAAGAAAATAGCAGTGTCAGTAAAAAAGGGGGATAAAACATTTTTTAGATACATAAATGAGAAAAGAAAAGTAAAACGAGGATTAGTTCGATTAAAAACAAAAGAAGGAAGGTATGTAGAAGAGGATAAAGGTCTAGCTGACTGCCTCAATGAATATTTTTGTTCTGTATTTACAGATGAAAATGAAGGAAAGGGACCTCAGTTAAGAAAAGGGATATACGACTGATTGTTATTTGTGCACAACAAAAATAAAGAATTTTAAAAAAAGAAAAGGGATAAAGGAGTCATTTATTACACGTGAGTTTACAGAGGAAGAGGTTCTACTTCAACTGTTAAAAGTAAAGACAAATAAGTCAATGGGACCTGATGGAATACACCCAACGCTATTAAAAGAGCTTAGTGGTGTACTAGCAAAACCATTAACAGATTTATTTAACCAATCACTGTTAACAGGAGTAGTCCCAGAAAATTGGAAGTTAGCGAATGTTATACCCATTTACAAGAAAGGTAATAGGGAGGAGTCGGGCAACTATAGGCCAGTAAGCCTTACTTCAGTAGTGGGGAAAGTGATGGAAACCATGTTAAAGTATAGGATTGTTGAACATCTAAAAACACATGGATTTCAAGATCAGAGACAACATGGGTTTACTTCATGCCAAACTAATCTTATTGATTTTTTTGATTGGGTAATTAATATTATAGATCAGGGTGGTGCAGTAGACATTGCTTACGTAGATTTCAGTAAGGCTTTTGACACTGTTGCACATAGAAGGCTTATCAATAAACTGCAATCTTTAAGTTTGGATTCCAATATTGTTGAATGGGTAAGGCAGTGGCTGAGTGACAGGCAACAGAGGGTTGTAGTCAATGGAATATATTCGAAGCTTGGACTTGTCACCAGTGGGGTACCTCAGGGATCTGTACTTGGACCCATTCTCTTTAATATTTTTATTAGTGATATTGCAGAAGGTCTTGATGGTAAGGTATGTCTTTTTGTTGATGATACTAAGATATGTAACAGGGTTGATGTTCCAGGAGGGATAAGCCAAATGGCAAATGATTTAGGTAAACTAGAAAAATCGTCAGAATTGTGGCAACTGACATTTAATGTGGATAAGTGCAAGATAATGCATCTTGGATGTAAAAACCCAAGGGCAGAGTACAGAATATTTGATAGAGCCCTAACCGCAACATATGAGGAAAGGGATTTAGGGGTGATTATTTCTGATGACAAAGGTAGACAGACAATGTAATAGAGCAGCAGGAAATGCTAGCAGAATGTTTGGTTGTATAGGGGGAGGTATTAGCAGTAGAAAGAGGGAAGTGCTCATGCCATTGTACAGAACACTGGTGAGACCTCACTTGGAGTTTTGCACACAGTACTGTAGACCGTATCTTCAGAAGGATATTGATACCTTAGAGAGGGTTCAGAGAAGGGCTACAAAACTGGTTCATGGATTGCAGGATAAAACTTACCAGGAAAGGTTAAAGGATCTTAACATGTATAGCTTGGAGGAAAGACGAGACAGGGGGGATATGATAGAAACATTTAAATATATAAAGGGAACCAACACAGTAAAGGAGGAGACTATATTTAAAAGAAGAAAAACTACCACAACAAGAGGACATAGTCTTAAATTAGAGGGACAAAGGTTTAAAAATAATATCAGGAAGTATTACTTTACTGAGAGGGTAGTGGATGCATGGAATAGCCTTCCAGCTGAAGTGGTAGAGGTTAACACAGTAAAGGAGTTTAAGCATGCGTGGGATAGGCATAAGGCTATCCTAACTATAAGATAAGGCTAGGGACTAATGAAAGTATTTAGAAAATTGGGCAGACTAGATGGGCCGAATGGTTCTTATCTGCCGTCACATTCTATGTTTGTCTTTTAACCCTCCTGCAATAATGTTCTATTCTTACCCAAACACAGAGGAAGGTGGTTCTGTTCTATAGAACAAAACACTGTGGCTGGGGTTCAACAAACTACGGACGACAATTTATAAACGGCAGAACCTGCTACTTACGGTTGTCAAAGAAGGCGGTTCTGGGTGCCAAACAATATATACATTTTTTATAATTTCACTTTCCCATTGAATCTGGTCTAGAAAATGAGGCTCTCTTTTAACTTCTTTTGCATGTCTTCTCACAGTAAGATTTTCAGTCCCCCTACGGTGTTTGAAACTTCAGTGCCAACGCATATGGTCATAAAATCAGGAGTGCAGGCTCTGCAGATTTTCTGCATCGAGTCAAGAATATAAAGCTTTGAGGGCACAAAAAGGTTTGGCTGAGAACAAGCATTTTGCCAGCCCCTTGGGTAAATCTTGTATCTAGGGCTTGTTATTCACCAACTGTGTCACATGAAAACTTAAACTACACTGTGTCCAAGCTCATATTAACAAAAAGACTGACCGTTACATACAGGGAGCCATACAGGTTTTACATTGCTGTGATATTGCAATATAAATACGGTAAATATTATAACATTAAGGCAGTATTTGGTTGGTATTGTAGACCCATCCCCTAAACGTAGCCAGTCTGTGCTGGCTAAGACTGGCACACATAGGTTTGTACCCTACATTTCTCAGAGTACCTTACCACCCTTACGTCTGCCCGGGCACCATGGGAAATAATTTGGATGCTATGCTTAGCCAACCATGACAGAGCCGGAGTCAATTAAGTGGAAGGCCTTCAGTTTTAACATAATGTTTAAAGATTTTTATAAAAAATATCACTCTCATTCAGGTAGTTATCACAATGAATACAATTACATAGATGAAGGCGAAAAACCCCCCAAATCATTACATATAAAAACAAACAAAAAAGAAAATCTTACATACATACATATATATATATATATATATATATATATATATAATAAAAATAAAAAAAAGATTGTCAGATTTCAATGCTTGACTAGCAAAAAAAAGTAAAAGAACAGAAAATTATAAAACAATTATAAAATCTGGAATTCAACAAAAGACAAATATTGTAGCCATTGCTGCCGCCCAGGAGTGATGAGAGTTTGAGTGCAGGGATTTATTTTGTGTGTCTGTAATATTGCACATCTACTACACACACAGCATGAATCAAGACGCACACTATCCTGCCTGTCTTACAATGACAACACAACGAAAGTAATACTCTAAAATCCAACTGCATACACAGGTAAACTAACCCCCTTCCATCTGACCCTGGCTCACCCTCCTTCGAAGATTTTCTGTACGTATCTCCTGATAAACTCCCGCTGCTCGGACATCTGCTCATCCCGGGCAGATTCTGTGCTCTGATTGGAAGAGAAGGATTCCGAGGAGGACCGCTGTGAATGATTCCAGCAGTGGCGGTTGGGTGACCCGGCCATGTCATTCTCACTGTCTGCCGACTCTGTAGCATCACTCTCTATCTCCTCTTCAGCGGCCTCATTCTCTGGGGGCTTGACCTCTATGTCTAAGAGACCATCCGTATCCAGTTGGATGGGACACTGTGGTACCACAACATCTAGATCCCCATCCAAGTCTATCAGGTTACCTACTGGGACATCTGGGACCTCCATAGCTTCAAACACAAGCAGTGATGGGGCAGGAAGGTGGGTGATGATTCCAGTTTGTGCACTGGACAAGTAGATCACCAAAGTATCTTAAAAAGATTTTCAAAACTTGAGTCCAAATCACATGTCGTATCGTAGACAGCTGACGGTATCTGAAAGAGAGGGGACAAAAAAAAATGAAATATTTAGATGGCAAAATATCTAGAGAGTATCTGAAAGAGAAATTAAACAGTGATTTAACCCAAGGTTTATAGTTAATAGTAATCAGCAAAACCTGAGGTTAAATAAAAAATAAACATTAACCTCAACTCAAAATTTAATTCCCATCTGCAAATTCTGACCAAACATTTGTCAAATCTATTATGCAGAAGACATTGACCCGTGTCTCTGCGCAACATCACTCGATCAACTCTCAAATATAAAGTAAACAATGCAATATAATTTAAGCATCCAGTTTCAGTGATAGCTCCTGGGGCCATCTGGTAAAACTCAGCTAGTTCCTAAAGCCGCATTTTCCCTTTCTGTGCTCCATTTAAAGGATAGAATTGCCTCATGGATGTATGCCAAGATGCACGTACGACCAGCCCAAAACCGTGTTATGGGATATGGTATCTTAGTACAAAACCAATAGGATACCACCTAAATTGCACAACACAGCAACTACACATCTGTCTTCCATTGAACGGCTTTAGAGAAGTTAAATATATTGTTCTATGCAAATAAGCATGACCAGTCTTCACAGCAACTGGTGGAGTGGAAACGGCCATCCATATGATCTACAATCCCTTAGCAGAGCAGAAGGGGGTTAAACCTCTGCCAGTGTAGGCGTAGGTGATCTGTGTTGTCAGTGGAATAGTCATTATGTAGCGATTGTTTAATCTTAGGTGTACACTGGCATTACAGTCTTAGAAATATCTTTTGTTTAATATAAAAACCCAACAGATAAAATAAATAAAAAGTCCTTTTCCCAGGCCTCGTCTTATAACCTCCGCCCACACAGACAGATTAAATCACTGCCACTGTTTGTGTACGTCAAAGATCCCCGTCTACCAGGCTCTCATTAGAAGTCCTGATAGCGTTCAGTTCCAGGCTGTGCTCATTATAGGGATCTGCTGACAAATGCAGGGAGACCTATTGCTGATATATACGGCATCTGTTTAATTCAGACTAAATATATATAGATATATATAGAGAGAGAGAGAGAAAAATAAATAAAATCAGGTGACGTGGGGTGAAGGACGACAACATTATGGGCTCCACAAAATGGATACAAATATAGGAAAAAGGACCAAATGTGGAAAATTACAAATTAAAAATATATCTTATTCAACCTTTAAAAATAGTTGTGAGTTCTATATTTAAAGACAAGATTATTAAGAATTGTTGGACAATTACAGACAGATTTTAGAGGGTAAAAGTCTTGTAATTCTGTTCACGATGGACACACACATATATATATATATATATATATATATATATATATATATATATATATAAAAAAATTTAAAAAGTGACAATTCAGCATTATATAAACCAGCACTAGCTTAAACACTTTCATCTATAAATTATTTTATTACATGAATACTTAGATGTTTTCATTTGAGTAAAGTTGGCATTTGAAAAACCACTGAATGGATCAGTCAATCATCAAGGCACCAAAATAACATTAGTTTAGGAACACTATAGTTCTGGATTAAATATTTAGGTAGCCAGCCCCACTTTCCCTGGCTGGCCTTGCCTACATGGCTGAGATCATCAATCTTGATTATCTCAGCCAATGTAGACAAGGCCAGCCGCTAGAAGAGCTTCCTAACACCTCTATAGGGAGACAGGAAACTCTTTCGACAGATATCTGAGAGAGACTGGCACTAGAGGTCTTACTATGTTATAGACATCAGAGCAGCTACATTAAGCTGTACTGGTTCTGGTTATTATAATGTCCCTTTAATGAAGCAGTTTGGGTGAATTGATCATGCCCCTGCAATTCACTGTTCGATTCTCTGACATTAAATCACTTTTATTTATGGAGCCCTAGCCACACCTTCCTTGGCTGTGACTCAAACCGCCTTCATTAAAATAAATAAAAGGGTTTAATTTTAAATCAGATCTTTTTTTTATGTCCTGCTCTACAAATGGAACTTTAATCACACACTGGAGTCCATTGCTGGGTCGGGCAGGCTATTAACAGAGCAGCAGATATATATATATATATATATATATATATATATAAAAATTTAACATAATATTCTATAGGGAGGTGTGGCTAGGGTTGAATAAAAGTGATTTAACTTGTGAATGGTAGATAAATAAGCAGTGAGACAGCAGGGACATGATCTAAAGTTCTTTTGGGTACTTACAATGTCCCTTTAAATTCTTTCCAGAAGAAGAGAATATTGAGAAGAACATTTAGGGCAGACCGTAAATATTTCTAATTTCGCTCTCAGGGCATCATTGGTCACCAATGTTACGAATTATTAATTTATTTTTATTTGTTTACAATTCTTTATTTTTGTAGTGCATGTTAACAGTATGGTAAGTCAATAGAAGCATAAATAACAGAAGTAGTAATTCAAGACATTTCTAGCACTAATTTCTTAAATGATCAAGAACTAATCAGAACTGACTATCCTGAGCAACATGAAGAAGAGTGATACAAGGTTATTATTTATATAGCGCCAACAGATTCCGTAGTGCTTTACAATGGATGGACGAACAAACATGTAGTTGTAACCAGTCAAGTTGGACACACAGGAACAGAGAGATTGAGGGCTCTACTCAATGAGCTTACATGCTAGCGGGAGTGGGGTAAAGTGACATAAAACTTTCTTACAGCAGTATTGGAGCTTGAAAATTCTGAAATCAGGCTGTTGAATAAAGATATGTGAGGGTCAGCTAGGCTTGCAATAAAGCTGAGGGAGGGGGATATGTATCTAGGCACAGAGATGAAGGTTGTGACAGTTTGGGGTCCTCGGCTGTCTAGGGGAGTTTAGTAAATGTGCTTCGAAGGATGACATTAGGAGAGGTCATTCGTGTACCGCATATTGATAGAGAGATACAAGGAGGGTCATGATGTTCATGTGCTTCCAGCTACGGCCTATTAGTACAGCGGGAGTTGTGTAATGTGATTCTGTATACATGGAATGCAGAATGCAGATATCGTGTAGGTTGACCTATAGCTAGTTAGCTGTTGTAAAAAGCTTACCCCTGACCTAAAGGTTCATGGGAGAGGAGGGGGTGTGCGGGTGTTTTGAGGGAAATCTCACCCAAAATGGTAATTGATCAGCCAATCCTGTTTGGATTGTCGCTTTCTGAGGCTCACCATATACCTATCACATCCTGTAAGTTATAGCAACATTTGGACATCCTATACTAATGCAGGAGTAACCCATGGTAAACTGGAACTAAAATCAAATAGAAATAAATAGAAACTCGACAAGAGGAAAAAAAAGAAATAAAAAAAAAAAGACAAAAAAATAAAAATAAAAACATCTGGCTGAGTGTGAATTACAGTATAGTATTAGAGCTTCCAGCCTAAAGGGATCTAGGGCTCTGTAAATGTTGATCGGGCAGTCAAGTTCCTAACGAGATGAGACTAGTGGCCCATGGTATGAATGGGCTGACATTGATGGGGTTATAAATTGCTGTTGTAGTTAGGTGGGTTGTGGTCAGGTTCGGTTAGTCCCAATGCTATAAAGAATGCCTGAGTTTCAGTGGGGGACCGGAGCATGTGTGCAGATCCGTTGCGGTTCACAAGTAGGGTGTCCTGGGTCCCCCCATCGGTAAGGCACACCAGAGGATAGGAGGTGCGAAGTGACGGGTCCTGTGCCATTGCAGTGTTGCCCTGGAAAGGTCCTGGAAGAAGTTAAGAGAGGAGTCTTCGAAAGTCAGCGGGGTTTTACCCCGTATTGCCGCCATGATGCGGACCTTATCCGCTGTTGAGGTGCATCGAATGATGCCATCTCACGGTTCCGCAGGAGAGGATTTGGTGGGGCTAGCAATCCAGAATGTGCCATCCAGGGTAATTTTCTTGGCCACTGTTGGAGATAGAATGGAGGTGTGCAGCCTTCAGATGTAGTGTGGCAGCTCTTCTGCCACTAGAGTGGTGGGGATGCCGCGTATCTTTATGATGTTGTGCCGTTGATTGTCTTCGAGGACGGTCATGCGTTCTGCCATGCTGTGATGAAAAGTGTGGAGTTGCGGCACCGATCCATTCAGGTTAGTTACATCTGTGATATCCTCCTCAGTCGCCTTGAAATGTTCAGTGTTAGCTTGGATCTCTATTCTAAGCAGAGCTAGGTCAGCTGCCATCATTTTGTGCAGAATTGAGAGGAGATCCCCTTTGATGATTGGGGTCGAGCTCTCTGTGTGTTGCAGGCTTAAGGGTTCAGGAGTAGTAACAGCCTCTTGGTCTCTGTTTTCTGATACAGGAGTTTGTGCTGCAGCAGTGTGCTTGGTCTCTGCTGGTGATGGTTTGGTTGTTGTGGGCCTCTGGAGCATCGCCCCGATGTCTGTCGGGTTTTTACTTCCGGCGTCTCATGCTTGAGGTGTCGGGTAGCGAATTTGGCCCAGGCTGTTCTGGCTTGCTTGGGCTGTGGGCCTCTAGTAAGCTATTGAGTAGTGTCTCTAGGCCTCGCAGCATCGGAAGCTGGTAGGCTCCGGTTTTGCGCCTCTGTAGTGTCTCTGGGAGTATTGAAAAGGCATCTACCCATGTGGGAAGGTGTTCAGACATAATTTCTTGGGTCGTTAGAGCTGGACGGCGTAACTGGATTGAGATATGAGTTTTACAGGGCCTGCGAGGAGCTTCCAGAAACGGCGTCTGTTCAGGTTCATGCGTTAACTCTGCGCCCTGCCCTCCCCCTCTGAAATATTAATCTATATTCCGTGTATGTGCAGGCTGTGAAACCTACATAGGAGTCACTCCAACCCAAATCCATGAAAGAAAACAGTTTAGAATTAATTCACTATACTGTGATTTCTAGACAATTGAAATTAGATAATATTTGCAGTTTGGCTACTATGGCTTATATATGGACTTCCCTGGTCAGTTGTGAACATTTTCCGGTTTATAGAATAAACTAAGGGATTTTAGTCCCTGTACGCAGTCTGTGTGGATATTGGGTCACAGAGTATTCTAGAAGTCATTCATGAGTTTTGGCTTGAATTCTCCAAAATACACTTTCAGCAATACACAGGTGGCATCAGTTTGTCAGTCTCGACCTACCTGTGGCCAGGCAATCTGTGTGTTTTAACTCCACACCAGTTACACTCCTAGAACTACTGAAAATTCCCCTGCACATACAATAAATTAGTCACTGTTTGGAAGTCGAGCGGACAGCCCAGAAATCAAAATGTCTGCACTTCAGCTGCTCAGAACTGCCGCTCCGAATTACTGCTGTGAGTACGAATGGGATTCAGTGTTTCAGCCCTCAGCCTTGTCTGACAATTTCATTTTGCACTCAGCATGGACTGACATCTCTAGAGAAATGTGTTATATGAGGGGACACAAGAAAACAGGATTGGGGGGTTCACAACACTGACAGAATTCTTGTAGAATTATCTGCATCAAAAAACCAACAAAAAAAACCAAAAAAAAAAAACCAAAAAAAAAAACCCCACAACTTTACTTTTGCCATAATTACTTATAACAATCAGCAAGTCTTGGTCAAGGTTGGCAGAGCTGCACCCCCAGGGGGAGAACCAATATTACCATCCTAGATACCAGTCACTGGTTTCTCACCGGAAGTTTAAACAGGATTCATTACAGTCTAACACCAATACATTTTAGCCAACTTGTGGTCAAAACTTTTATAGAAGATTTTGTAAAGCAGAATTCAATTGATCTTAGCCCTATTTATTGAAGACACTGGAAGCAACACACGGCTCTGATTTCCCCACAAAGCTCTGGAGGGATTAGATTCAGACTGATCACAGTGATTGTAGTACATGTATAGATGTCCATTCATCCCTGCATTCAAACACCAACACTACACACAAACACACCCCAGCATTCAAACGCCAACACAGTGGCGTACATACCAGGGTCGCACCGGGGGGCCCGGCCGCCCCTGCGACCCGGTATGTACCCACAGGGCCAGCCTCTTCCCCTGGGGTACCCAGGAGCCGACCACCTCAAGGCCCCCCGAGGCTGGCCCTGCTGACACCCGGAAGGCGGGTGGCCGGTCGGGCAGGCTGGCGCGCGAGGGAGCACTCAGTGCTTCCTCTTCAGCTCCCTCGCACACTGCACTAATACAGGAGCCGGAAGATGACATCATCGTCCGGCGCCGGCATCCCTACGCGGCGCGCGAGGGAGCTGAAGAGGAAGCACTGAGTGCTCCCTCGCGCGCCAGCCTGCCCGACCGGCCACCCGCCCAGGACCCCAGGGAATCCCCCCAGCACTCCAAAAAGGTAAGGAGGCTGGGAGGATTACATTTAAAAAAAACAAAAAAAAAACATGAGTGTTAGAGTGAGTGTTAGAGTGAGTGTGTTACTGTGTGTTAGTGAGTCTATTTGATGTCTGTTAGTGAGTGTGTGTTTGTCAATGAGAGTGTATGTTTTGTAAGTGAGTGTGTATGTATGTCTGTCGCTGACTGTCTCTGTCAGTAAATGTGTGTGTGTGTCTTCAGCACTTACCTTTCTCCAGCGCCGGACTCCCTTGGCGCTGAGGATCCCTCAGCCTCTCAGCTCCGAATGCGACCGTGCACGCATTCAAACCGCCCATAGGAAAGCATTACTCAATGCTTTCCTATGGATGTTCAGTGTGCTCCTCTAGCGGCTGTCAGTGAGACAGCCACTAGAGGCTGGATTAACCCTCAGTGAAACATAGCAGTTTCTCTGAAACTGCTATGTTTTCAGCTGCAGGGTTAAAACTAGAGGGACCTGACACCCAGACAACTTCATTGAGCTGATGTGATCTGGGTGTCTGTAGTGGTCCTTTAAAGGACCACTATAGTGCCAGGAAAACATACTCGTTTTCCTGGCACTATAGTGCCCTGAGGGTGCCCCCACCCTCAGGGACCCCCTCCCGCCCGGCTCTGGAAAGGGGAAAAGGGGTAAAACTTACCTTTTTCCAGCGCTGGGCGGAGAGCTCTCCTCCTCCGATCCTCCTCTTCTCCTCCCCGTCGGCTGTATGCGCACGCGCGGCATGCGCGCGCATTCAGCCGTCACATAGGAAAGCATTCATAATGCTTTCCTATGGACGCTGGCGTGCTCTCACTGTGAAAATCACAATGAGAAGCATGCAAGCGCCTCTAGCGGCTGTCAATGAGACAGCTGCTAGTGGAAATAGGGGAAGGCTTAACCCATTCATAAACATAGCAGTTTCTCTGAAACTGCTATGTTTATGAAAAAATGGGTTAACCCTAGCTGGACCTGGCACCCAGACCACTTCATTAAGCTGAAGTGGTCTGGTGCCTTTAAGTGTGTGTGCATCTGCATGCACTGGCGTACATACCGCGGTCGCAGCCCTGTAACCCCTGCGACCAGGTGCCCACCGCCATGTGTTGCGGCCCTTGCCCGGGGGGGGGGAGGGGGGCCCGGATCAATTTTCACACCGGGGCCCCATGGGTCATGTGTACGCCACTGCGCCAACACTACACACAAACACACCCCAGCATGCCAACACTACACACATAAAGACACCACTGCATTCCAACACTACACACAAACACACCCCAGCATTCAAACACCAAAACACTACACACACACACACACACACACACACACACACCCCAGCATTCAAACACCAAAACACTACACACACACACACACACACACCCCAGCATTCAAACGCCAACACTACACACAAATTCATATTGCAACACTATATGTATGTATACACACACATACATATATATATATATATATATATATATATATATATATATATATATAAATATACATACACACACACACAAACACACACACACACACACACACACCCCTCCCCCACGTTTATGCATACTCCATATAAAAAAAACCATTTAAACGCACAAACAATGAACACAAATACAGGTAGATCCCCAACTTGCAATTCAGTGAAGGAATTGTAGGACAGTTGAGAATCTAGAATTTGGCCACCAGGCTCTCTATAGGTGTTCCATCACTGTCTGAATTAGAACATTGTTGCTCTTTGTGGATCCCTTGCATCACTAGGTTTACATTATCGGAAACTCTTGTACTCTATCTTTAGGCCAGATTTCAATACAAGAATAAATAATTCTCCTAAACCTTTAGCCTTTTGTAAACTCCTAAATTGAATGTTTAAACATATCATCAAAATAATGTTATGTTCATTTTAGATTCTCAACCAATCAATCTATGCCGACCAGAAAAGGGACTATCCACAACTGACAAGGACTATTGTTCTAGACCTGCATCAAAGCAAATTAAGTGGGTTTGCCAACTAACATTGTGTGTCGAAGGTACCTCATTAAGTAGTAACTCTGCATTAAAACATGCCTCCCTCGAGATTTTAAGATCACATAAACATGACAAATCGGATATAGAAAAGAGCAATTATGGACCTTTTACCAAGCATAATTTTTATGATTTTAGCACAGAAACAAGCTATGCCGTAACCTCAGCAACCGTCTCAGCTGCTACTCTGTTTTAATTGAATGGTAGTCCCCGTGGGTCAGACCAAGTACAAAGGTGGACGGACCTTGCTGGGTGATGATTTATCATCTTCTTCCAAAGAATGTGGTTTCCTGCAGGGTCCAAAGAAATTCTGAGAACAGAATTAATACAAGTCAGGGGTGAAAATAAATATTTGCTAAGCCAATTACCCACCCTAGCAGCCACCTGGAGTAAGGCTAAGGTCACCTCAGGGGGATCGTTTGTAGCAGGGGACATCTATACGAGTTCTAAGGTTATTCTAATCATTTGCTCAATGTCTGCATGCATGTGCGTAAGAAAAAAAACACGATTCATCCACCCACACATATCACCGGGCTTCAAACTCCAGCCAAATCATTTCACAGGAGGATTTCAATGTAAGAGGATTTTCCACCCACAGACAACTTTGCCTTATGGAGAGGAGACGTTTTAAGGCAAGGGGAGAGGGTAACGTGAACTGGGAATTACTAAATTATACGCAACAGGATAAATTAAGTGCGCATTGCAAACCAACCCCTTACTAACAAACGTAGCTTGGTACTTACCTCTGATAAAGGAAGAGTTTAATAAATCACAGGCTGAACCAAATTAAAATAGTAGGCTATGTGAATACATATATACACATTTCAATTATATAAATTTACGAATGATGAGTGAATTAAATCACATTTTTGCACGAGTGCTCGGCTAATAACTTGGCATAGCTGGAAAAAAACATTTTTAAAAAGGATCTGTAATTTACTGTGGGCAATTGTTTAATTGTATCCTTTCTCGAATGTCTCATTAGTTATGGTCTTATAAATGGAAACTTAACTTTATGGGCTGAAAGTACAGTTTAATGAGACAGACAGCAATAACCCAAAAATTAAAGAGGTAGATTTTAGCAGAAATGTTGGAATACCCCTGGCTATTTATGCTAATTCCCACTGTAGGTAATAAATTCATAATTGTGGATTTAAACAAAAACCTGTTTAAGTGAAAAAAAAAATGTTTTAAAAATCAACCAAAAAACCCCAAAAGGCTTGTCTCCCCGACAAATGTGCATCAGTTCACTAGTCTTGGCCTTTTCAGATAAACAGAAATATTCTAGTAACATGTACCACACAAAGGACCCATTTCAATCATACAAACTATATTTTATGAAATTAAATATTGGATTAAACAGAGCAGGGAAGGAAGGGAGTAAAATAAATAACAGGGATCAGCATGAATCGCACATAGACTAAGGGCTTACTGGCCTCTTGTATTTCTACTGAGAATTACCGTAACCTGGAAACACTGGGTCTGGCAGAATTGAATTTTCTGTACACCCGGAGTTGTGTATACGAGAAAGCTGTGAAATTCATTGTCAACAGAAACAAATATCCAAATATGACACTGGCACTCATAAGCTATTCTGGAAACTAAGCAATACGTGTGAAAATGATAAATTATTTGGGGAGGTAAAAGTTTATCAATTCTCATTTGGCCAGCCCCCCATACCAAGTTCCTCTAATGGTATATTAGACTGGCGAATGGCCCCCACTGGGAGTCGAGAAGCATCACCCCCTCTGTGTATGGCTGCATCCTAACTCAACCTGCTTCATTAGCAATAACTGGCACTGCGCCGACCATCTGCATTGATTTACCGGGCCAGTAACATCCCTCCGGCAGGTCACAGATCTGGAAACAAGACCCAACTCTTGTTGTGCTGTGAGGACATGCTGCACTGTGTATGTACTATAGCAATGTAAGAGGTCATGGGGTTTCCATGTTAAATTCTTCACAATAATAGACACACACGCAGGTAGGAGGAGGTGACAGGCACCTGTCAGACCATTCACAAACAGACTAATCACACTGGGAAGGTGCTGTAGAGACACTCCTGACACCATAATTATTACAGTGGTGCGTAGAATGTTCCTTTAACCCCTTAAGGACACATGACATGTGTGACATGTCATGATTCCCTTTTATTCCAGAAGTTTGGTCCTTAACGGGTTAAAAGGGTTATTCAGTGAAGTGTGATTGGTCAGGAATTCAAAGTGAATTTCAAATATTAATTTTTTTCTAAAATTTTAATAAAAAATAGGTGAATCAACTATTATGGCCAAAATTTAATTCAATTCGCAAAAATTCACACTTTAGTGAATAATCTTTAAAAAATTATCATTTTGAAACAGAATTACACAGTTACTTTACAAGCACAGTAATTTTCTAATGCAAGAATTCACGGTGACTTTTAAATTTAAGGCTGGCGTATCCAAACTGAAAGTATAGCAGACGAAGAGATTTTTCCATGGTGCCAGGAGGTCCTAGTGCTGACTCATCACTGTCGGACCTCTCTGTCCTTCCACTTGCTGGAAAATGGAAGTGTGATGTTGCCACGGACGGGGGTGATGAGGATTTGCATAGAGCAGTCAGTTGCCACTCGCAGCCATTCAGTGGGTCCCCCTTCAAATCTAGCGCTAGAACAGACTTTGGGGTTAAACTGCTCAAGAGCCAGAGCCAGCAAGGCGAACTAACACCTCCTTTCACTATAACAACAACAACTTAATTCCAATGAAGCTCCTATGGTGCCCAGAGTGTGCTCTTAAATCCAAAATTCACTTTGAATTCTCACTCTAGTTAATAACCCAATATCAAATTCTAGTGAAACACAATTTTAAAAAAATTAGGCTTAAATAGAAATTATGGAAAAATTATACAGCTCAGCTATAGTCACAATCACAATTTGGATTTTAATTCAATTCACTATAATTCAGAGTTTAAAGGAACACTATATTTCACCAAAACAACTTTATCTTAATGAAGCAGTTTTGCTGCATAAATCATGCCCTTGCAGACACACTGCTCAATTCTCTGCTATTTAGAAGTAACATTTAATTTGTTTATGTTTCTACAGTCCTGGCCACACCTCCACTGGCTTTGACTGGCACAGTCTGCATTTTCAAATCAGATGTAACTCACTTTAGAAGTTTTTATCTTCTGGCCACACCTCCACTGGCTTTGACTGGCACAGTCTGCATTTTCAAATCAGATGTAACTCACTTTAGAAGTTTTTATCTTCTGTTCTGTAAGTTGAACTTTGAGCACACACGGAATGCTTCTGCAAAGTCTAGCAAGCTAGTAACAGTGCTTGCTAGGCTTATAAAATAGACTGTGCAATAAAGGAAGTATAAACATTAGATCTCACTTTACAGGAAGTCTGTGCAAGTTACATACCAGGTGGTGAGATTAGATAGAGTGATCTAACTCCTAAATGTAAGAGAATTAAGCAGTGAGACTTCAGGTCTCACACATGATCTATACCAGCATTTCCCAGTTAGTGTTTCCCAGCAAGAACAAAATTGGGGTTCCGCCGTGAATCGCCACATCCAATATAGCCTCGGAAGGTCGGAAACAGCAGAGATCGCGCGGCCGCGATCTTATTAACAGATCGTGAGATTGCCACTCACTTACTTATGCATGACTGCCCAGCGTCATTTAAGGTAAGAATTTCTCCCGGTCTGCCTATTTTGTTCTGAAACACCCAATTCCCTTGCAATTCACCTCATAGTCCTGATTTGGTGAATAGCAGGCAGGGTTATTGACCAAACCATAATTTACTGGGAAAACTACCTGGAATTCAGAATTTAAAGCACAAGTTGCTGATGTGAAATTATAGCGGACTTTGACAATAATTAAACTTTGACTAATTTAGCCTAATATTTGCATTTTCGCTGCTAGACTACAGATATTATTGCATAACCTATCCTGTGTTTGTTTTGTATTTATTTATTTTTTTAGGAATACACCAATTTCTACTTCCACTGTTTTTGTACACCATATCAGATTTAATGAATTGACAAATGACTAATAAAGGTTTCTTATACCCAAACTAATGACCGAGTTTACATTGCATAGCATCAAACCCAGCAACCATGTGGTTTACAAAGACTTTACAGTTTGCACATTAACCAACTGAGCCCTCTCACTGAAACAAAATTAGTGACAGAGAGGGAGAGATAATTAAACAGCTACATCAATAGATTTTACTAAGAAATACAATTACATGTTTCTTACTACAATAAAAACACAGAATAAAGCATTTAGCCAATACGCACATAGTACATACAGTGCAGTGCTATAAATCTTATATTTTTTGTGATGTGGCACTATGACAAACGTCCAGAGAGGACACTGATTTCTCATTTTCAAGAACGTCCTTGAGAGAATTTAAAAAGGTAGACACTTAAAACTAAAAATAAAACCCCTTCAGCGCCACGGGAGGGGGACCCCGAGGGTGGGGGCCTCCTTAGGGCACTATAATGTCAGGAAAACCGCTTTGTTTTCCTGACACTATAGTGATCCTTTAAGTTCTTTCTAAGAGCATTATAAAAAACAGCATCCATTGCAGTCAGGTAATGAGATCTGTATTTCTTCAGGTTAGAGAAGTGTTTATTTTTTTTTTACCAACCAACAACCATGAATTTGGACAACTGGATAAAACAAGGAATCAAGAGAAAAAAATATTACTACTTCTAGCTGTTCGACACTTCTAGAAACTGAGAAAGATGACACAAGAAATCAAGAAAACAAGTCCAAAATAGTTGAATCAACTGTTCCTCAAATAGCAGAGACAAGTGACAAGTCAAAGAAAAAAAAAGAAAAAGCACACAATGCTGTCCAATCTTCCTCTCAAACAAAGAAAAGAAAATATGACAATAGCTACTTAAAATTTGGATTCACAAGTGCCAGAAATAAAAATATTTCTAAAGCACAATGCGCACTTTGCAATAAAATATTGCCAAACAGTTTACTAGCACCTGCTAAATTACGTCCTCATTCTGAGCAAAACCACCCAGAGTACAAAGATAAAGACATTGCCTTTAAGATAAAGCTGCAGGAGTATCATAAGACTAAACAGTTTATGAGCAAGATATTAAAAAATGATGATAAAAAAAGCTCCTTATTAAAAGTTTTGTGCTACAGCGCAAATTTCTTTTCGGGAGTTCCACGATGTTGGTGTACTATGTCAAAAAACAAAACAAAAAAAAAAAACAAACAAACTTTCTATTCCCTAAGAACTTTATTCCATGAGTTAGGATCTGCAAGTCTTGTTCAAGCAACAAGCCAACAAAACACAAGACATTTTATAATTAGTTTACCTTACACATAATAGCTATAATAAATGTATAGAACATGTAAAACATGACCATCAGTCTACTAAATTAAAGTCAGTCAGTAATTGTGCTATACATTTTATTAGATTACATTTTATTGGAAAGCAATTTCAGGAGTACACAACACGCAGTGAGTGAAACAAAAAAAAACAAAAAAATAAGTGTAAAGATTTTCGATTTGGATACAGGATGTTGTATACTACCACCATCACACAAATTATACTACAGTGGTAAGAAAACAAAATCGGTATTTCTAGCACCATACTTCCCTCTGGGCCCCCCTTTCTCACACGCCCTCTCACCCCTACCCCGGCACTGTAAGGGTTCATAAACCCTTACTGTACTCACCCGATTCCAGCGCCGATCTTTATCAGAGCTTCATCGGCGCTCTGTCTCCTTCGACATCACCCGATGGGGGGGTGCCAATGCGCATGTGCAGTGAGCACTGCAAGCGCATCAGGCAATGCTTTCCTACGGGGAAATCGCCAACGCTGGATATCCTCATGCGGGGCGGGAGGACGTCCAGCATCATTTAAGGGACAAAAAGTCAACTAGAAACCAAGAAGTGCCTCTAGTGGCTTTGTGACAGAGCCACAAAAGGCAGTCTTAGTCCGGATATGTAATTATTGCAGTTTCTGTAAAACAGGGACACTGCACCCAGACCCACTACAATGAGCTAAAGTGGTCTGTGTGCCTAGAGTGTCCCTTCAACTAGCAATGTATCAAGATATGGGGTTCAGTAGTTTCCCCAGGTGTCTCCCCACACAAAATATATTTTAAACTAGTATGGGGGATACCATTGTAGTACAAGATAAAAATACAAATATCGTACTGTATACTACACTAGGATGTGTGTTTTTTTTGAATGTTTAGCAAAAGAGAAAAGGTTGAAATTTGGGAGATACAGGACAGAATGAGTGAAAATGATGGAGTATATATGGTGGGACTTGTAGAGGTTATTGCAGAAAATGTTGATAAATGTAGTTTGTAAATGAAGGGCAGAAGATAAAGAAGAATTAAACACGAGATACATCTACTGTTTGCGCTGTGCGCCGAAGCGAGAAATTAAAGCCCCCAGAAGCTCCTGCCCTCTACAAAATATGGGTCAGCAGGAGAGGAGCAGATACAAAGGATTTCATAACGGAATCGCGGACAGATTCTTTGAACCATTCGGAGCCTATTAACCTACAGTGTGCCAAAGAAAGCAGGACAACACAAGTAGAGGAGAAACCAAAAGCTTTAATCCATTTCTTGATTACAAAACGTAATGGTTTAATAAATAAAAATTAAAAAAAACTTGTACAGTCTGTCAACCAGACAAATTGTTGTTTGTTCCATAGAGCTCACAATTTAAATTTGCAAATAAAGATACGAGATAGAATGCACAAAATAAAAACTATGAATTGTTAGAATCTTCTAATTTCCTGCCTTCCATTTCTGTTATAGAAGCTGCTCTTGACGCAAGCTAGCTAGAAATCAGTCTGTATAAATAAAAAAAACATTGTTCTTGTTCTAAATGACATTTTAGTTGTATAAATTATTAGTAAGCCACCTAAAATGTATGAGAACAGCCCCACCCCTGGCCACAACCCCCTTCATACCCCTAAAGGAACGTGTCCCTCTTTTTCTACTTGAAATGCTGGGAGTATGTACATGGCAAAGCTTTGCCGGTTGCCGGTACACCTATGAAGATGATCCCATATAATTAGAGTTACCTGATCCACGGTGTTTTCAGGGACATATACCAAGAATACATATTGATGGGCAGTCCTATAGTATGTAGAATTCAGAAGAAGGTGTATAAGATCATGTAATTAGACAATGAGGAATGCTGAAGAATATGCATTATATATACTGCAGGACAACCTTTTTCATGCATTTTCATAAATGACAAAGTTATATTGTATCCCTGAAAACATGGTAACCCTAGATAGAATGAGCTCATGGTGTGAACGGTGTCAAAGTAAGCTATAAGGCATTTAATCCTGTTTGTTCCACTGATGCCCCGCATATCTACACCAACTTTCTGATGGTCCTGTTTTGTAACAAAATGAACACAATAGCCACAACGTAAATAACAGCAAACAGAGGTTCAAGACAGTTAACACCTGGTAGATCATCAAGAGACAGTGACAGCAGGCATAGTTTGGTGTGCGCTGACAAAATCAGGGCCGTTCACACCTACAGACAGCTGGCTTTCAATCTAAATAAATATACCGTCATCTCTCATCACAGTAAAGTGAGAGCTGAATGATCAGCTTGCCTCGCTGTGAATTAAAGGTTGGAGCAACAAATAGCTGGTAACTTTGTTACACATTTAGTAAAGCGAACAAGGCACGAACGTCAGTATGAAGATCCTGTGAAATCACATTACGGCGGGTAGGAGATGGTCGTGCCATATCTCGGCTGCCAGGAGCTGCCCGCCTTTCCTTGTGCACAAATAGATTAGAGGAATGAGTCATTGCCGACAGAACAGGCCCAGGCCGGAAGCCGCATAACACAATTATAAATGAAATCAGACAGCAGGCGGAGGGTGATGGGTTGCATGGCATGCATGAAGGAACAGACGTTCAATCAGACAACATGCTAAAAGAGGAGTGTACACACAACGAGAGCCTGCCAACACTCACAGACGCAACAAGAAGACAAGAGAAGGCACCAGTTTGGATAACGGCTTTATAGATAGAATCTCCATGCAAATCTTGAATTAGATTTACTTCTTATGTGGGTATATGGGAGCAAAGCAGGAGATTTTACCTATTTGCAGGACTGAATGTATAAATTAAAAAACAATATCCAGAAATTGCACCGACTGTTTTCATTTTTGATACATTCGATCTGGAGCCGGTGTACAAGGTAGACAGGTTGAGAATCTAGTTCAGAAACAGCGTAGCAATTCACATTACTGTATTGTTAGCAATTCATATCTGTAGTTCTAACACTACAATGTTAAAGTCCTTCCATAGTTTTGCACCCTTTTCCCCGTGTTCGTTACGAAACCATCAAAATTTTTTAAAAAAACTATAAAAATAAATAATAAAAAAAAATTTAAAAAAATCAATTTAAACGAAAATACTCACTTTCTCTCCAGCACTGAGTCTCTTGTCTGCTGCGTGCCTCCAGGATGACGTTCCAGTCCAATGCTACTCATAGAGGAACCTTTAAGGCTCGCCGTGATGTGCCTATGATTCGGCCTTGGGGAATTATTGTATATAATATTTCTTTAAGGCAGAATGTGATGGCACTGCCCATGCGTGCATGTGGCGACATGGTAGCTTACGGTAGGAGAGCCATAACCAGCAGGCTTGGAGACAAAATATTAGTTTTTGGGGGCAGGGCAGGGCAGCTAGCATTTAAGACACTATAAACAATTTCAATAAGATGAAGTTGTTATAGTGCCTACAGTGTTCCTTTAATCCTGGGGTTGTGTGATGTACAGGGGGGTTATACCATCTCCAGTCAGACAGAACATTTAAAATTTCTCTCCGTATTGACGACCTACATCTGCAAAATGAGCTATAGACCCAGATCAGCTTGCAATCCATCAATCATGGCACGTGTAGTGAATTTGCAGGGCTTGGGGAATTAATTGGCCAATACTCTGATTCTAAATCTGTGAAACATCTCAACACATTGAGGGCAAAAAAATGGAATCCATGGCAAGCACAGAAAATGTGTATACCGACGTTCCAGCTCTCACAAAAGCAGCAAAAATGAAATGTTGGCCAATAGCAAAAGCTGGAATCATAACCTCACATTTGGCTTCTGAAAATACAAAATCCTCTGACAATCACGAAATATCATTATATAATTATATGGAACACTTCGCCCATGGTGTCACGGTTTAGAAATAAAACATGATTAGCAAGGCACCAAAGAGGATATTTAATACCATTATTTGTTTCCACAAGCTGATCACCAGCACATACCCTGATACTGAATCTTTACCGTATTTTTTTTAAATTATTTATACCTTGTGTTATACACGTTCAACATTCCCTGTGGAATGTTGGGAACTACTCTGCAAATCACAGGCTCTGATTGGCTGCTGCCACCGCATGATCTCTGCGGCCCTGTCCTTTTATTAATATTGGTCACCTCCACTGCGAAAGTATAAAACAGATCGTCAAGTGACAATTCCAAATAAATCTATTATGGCTTCTTCAGAATTATCCACAGTGTTGTTTCAAACGGATTTATGAAGCGGTATATTCTGACAATGGTGCCTCTAAAGAAATGTTACCAGTGCTGCAGTTATATTGGTGCAGGAGGGTCTGTATGGCTAGTTCAGTCTTTGGGCTGGCTCTTAGTAAGCACAGGATGACAACTACAAATACCCCTAGGGTAATATCTCCAAAGGCCGCATAAAAATCATAGACTGTTTAAAACTGTACAAATGACTAGCACTACCAGTACAAATTCACCCATTCATTGCTGGGCTCATGTTGTTCAGCTCTGTCAAGACGCTTGTCTCCGGGACTAGTGATAGACTTTGGCTTTAATCAGCAGAAGGGTTATGCGGTTTGGTTGCAGCCCACGATCTCTGCATAGAATTGCTGGTAAGTACATACACAATGATTCACAGCAATCTTTCAGTTGTTATGGTGCATGGCCATTTTGTAAACTAAGCCATGTGACTGCTTCGCTTTGAAGTAAAACAACATGGATGTGAGATATGAAGGAATTAGAAAAGGCCAGCTATAGTCTGATGAGACATTTGTAAAGACCGATTGCCTGCAGGGCAAACTGCTTCGTATAATACAGGAGTCATGGCCTGCAAAGGAGGGATAGATCACATTGTGCTCACAACCAGCATCCCAGTATGGAACGAGGCTCTGCCCTCCTTGTCTTCAGGAGATGTATGAACAGAATGGAGGGTGGGTTTCAATTAGGTCACATTAAGATAAGATAAGATAATAATTTCAGGGACAAAAAAAAAAAAAATGGACAGTTTATTGGCTAATATTTTTTGAAGATCAATATTTGCAAAAACAGGTGGGTTTTTTTTCAGGGTCAAACACTTGTACGAGGCCAATTACAAAAATTATTTTGAGAGCTGAACCACCACTAGAGGGCACAATAACAGAATGATTGTTCCATATATCTCATGATAGGGAGCCTGTGGCCTTATTACCCTATGAAGCAGCAGACACTTTGCGTGCTCACTGAGAAAGGGCTGATACTAGCCCCGGTAAGGGTAGAGCCCTGTGATGGCTAGTCAGTGATCAGTCCTGTGATTTGCTCTGAATTTAAATCTCCAGGCTCACGCTAGGATTACCACGATGACTACACCCATACATTTCCTGAGTAGTATAATGCAGTCACACGCAGCCCTGGACGATGTAGTAGGGAGACACTTTCTTTGGATGCTTGTACTAATAAAAACAGTTTTCTCCTGTCAAACCCTCTGTTATCTTGGGCTATGTTTTAATTGGGCTTAAAATAGGTGGTCCTTAGCTACTATTTAGGCAGACAAGAAAGGCTGGATCACAAGGTTCTGATCTGCCATCACAGTCTATGTTTCTATAGCCAGTCCTAAAAGTTACTTGCCACTGTAAGCCATAGAATATCCACCAAGAGTGATTTTCTACACGCCAAGGCTAAATTTTCACTCACCAAGTGCTAGTGGCAAGTGGATATTTTGATCCCAGACTCGCTGTGCAATAAGTTTTATGTTCACAATTTGTTCGGCTTGATACAGAGGCATTGTTTATCTGTATTACTGATCGCTATGCTAATAATGTATCAACTGCTCCAGGGGCAAGTCAACTCATCAGCGGTGCAAGTCCACATCATCAGCATGGTATCAGCCACAAACCAACCTAACAAAGGACACAGCTCGGCAGACACGCACCGTGACAGCCACTGCGTCAGCTATCAGTGGACGCACATTTGGGCAATGCTCTTTGTATGGTGACAAAACACTTTCATCGAAGACCCCAGACGCCGGTCACTAGGGCTGAAGATGGGCATTAAAGCTATAATAAACAGGACGATCAGCTTTGTCCTTTGAAGCTGCAGTTTACCAGAAGATCCGATGCTGGCTTGCACTCTGTCAATTTCCATGCAGAGTTAGAGTTATGTAGCAGTGGCACTGATGTGCTGTATGAGGTCCCATCGGAAGGGCTGGGGTGATAAACAACGGACTAGTTAGCATGTTTCTTGGTTAAACTCATGGCAGCTCGGAGAGTCGTGTATGACATCAGACCTGTCCTGGCTCATTGTTACTAATGACGTAACCGCCTTTAATTTTCTAAATTAACAAAAGGCCTTGCTGCTCTGATTGGGTCAATTTGCAAATCTTCTGTTGCCGTTATGATAAAGGTCTATCTAAAAATAAACTAAGTAAAGAAACTCAAGGTGAGACAATAAGGTCACCTGGGGCAGGAACGTACACGTCACACCAACCCTGACCCCCGAACCTCATAGGATTAGTTTAAATTGATGGAATATTGTGTCATGTTATAGAATTACGCACTTAAATTCCTTGATCTGTTTCCCCCCCTCTCTCCCCCATTTACAATATACACACACAGAATGAAACAGTATTTATTTTATAGTAAGCCATCCCCTCCCCCCCTTTTTTATTTTCCCATTGATCCCTCTGCTTATTAGATTTCAATATATTTTTCTAATTATTTTGACACAGTTACATTAGATATTTTTTTGCTTTGTCCATCTCGAGTTTTGAAATAATAATCGTCCAATTTGTTTAAATGAATTGATTTCTAGTCACATTGATTTACAGAGTTCCAGAATACGGTATCCTTAGAGGATAAACTCTGCTCAGAGCTCTGGGAAAGAGAGCGAACATTAACTCCGTATCTTAATGGCTATTTATAAAGTTTATTTAAAGGAGCTTCACTTTATACGCCATCCACTGATAAGCGGTATTAAAAAAAGAAACCAAACCACACAGGGCAGTACTGCTGCTATACGTGGAATGAAATCACCTTAAACAGCTGCCAAGTACTCTTAGATACTCAGGGCCACAAGCAATGTGTTAAAGGGGAACGGTCTGGAAATTACAACGCTGAATATTAAAAAAAAATTAATTAAATAAAAATCACCGAAAAACTTTATTTTCCTTGTGATGCATTTTCATTTAAATTTAATTTATAGATTCAAAAAGGATCACTCCAATCACCAGAATCATTACAGCCTGCTGAAGTTGTTATGGTGCAAGGACTGTTCATGCATCCCAGTGTAAGTAATCAAATATTTTTAGAACAATTTGACAACTTACCTGGGGTTTGTCAAGCACCCGCCTCCTTCTCGTCTTCTCACAGAAAATCCTGCGGTGCAGGGCTGGTTGAATTGGCCGAGTGTGTAAGCCGAGCTCTTAGCCAATGAGTGCAGCCCTACACTGCTGGAGCTTTTATATGAAGAAGTGGCGGTAATAGACATGCGGCACACCCCATGTAAGTTGTCAAAATGTTCTTAAACAGTTTAACTACTTACATTGGGAAGGTGCCAGGCCTACGATGTAACAGAACCAATTACTTAACCCTGCCTCTGGCAAAATCTTATTTTTCCACCACAGACAAAAAACAAAAAACCCAAAAAAACCTTCTGTGTTGTGCCCGCTGAAGCCCCTGCCAAAGACAGCTGGTCTATTATTATTCTGTTTCAAGCCCACTTCTGTTCTCAAACATGAATATATGTTAATCTACTTCACATTATTACATGTCCGAAAAGAGAAATCTATCAATATATGGAGGAGATTTTCCATTTTATTAGAACAAAATTCTGAAATCATCCAGGGGGGCCTTAAAACCATGCCGCTTTGATGATTTACTTAATTACATCCTAGCCATGGCCAAGTACCTGCAATACTCCCCTATCCACCCACCTAGCACTCCCAGGTGGCCTCTTGCGACATGCTGGACATTTTTGAAAAAAAAAAAAAAAGACAAAATGTTTTTCTTCTTTTGTTATTTACCTGGACAAAAAAAATAATAAAAAAATAAAAAAAAAATCACATACTGGACATCCTCGTTCAAAGGAGACTCCGACAATCCTAACATTCACTCACACAATGACATCAGCACATGCCTAAATTGTGAACGGTCATTTTGCAGGTTTTATTTTTTAACCTCTATTATTCAAGCAGGATTTTTTGGTTACACCCCATTTTATTTAAAAAAAAAAAAAAAAGCAACAAAGAACAGATTTCCTTAAGTTTTAACTTTATAAACCTACAGATAAGACTTCCTACGATCAGTCTTTTGTCAGCAATGTTGATTATCGATGCTTAAAGCCCTTATATTAGTAAGGCCTAAATGTCACAGACCACTGCAAACCTCCACTTGGATGTGACCCAGCGAAAACAAACATGGCAGCAAGATATGCTGACACTCGTCCCCAAATGACTCGTACAGTATCCAACAATTCCTCGCATGTGGGTTAATGCTACGAGTTGCAGGATGCCCTGGGCAAGTCCTGTCAACTTCATAATATCTGCAGTCTTTACAGTAATGCTGTAAAGGCCAAGGATGTCAGAAGAATTAAAATGGAAATACCTTTTTAGCTATACATTTACAAATAATTTGACTAGTGCATGCTCTCAAGAATTGGTTATTAATTGACTTTTGTAAGTGTTCCTACACACCCACATATCTAGGAGCAGAGAGGATCCTGTCCATGATCTCCCTACATAAATCATAGATTTAGAAATCGTTCGGCCAGTTTCGGAGGGCAGGTGGATAACTGGTATTTAAAAAAAAAAAATAATTTTTAACAAATCTCTGCAAACCTGGATTTATCCAAATATTGACATCCACAAATATCTGGTATTTAGTTACAGTTTCACAAACTGCCGGTTTGAAATAGTGCAGTGGTGCTCCTCTCAAGGCAGACTTCGCACTTAAAAATGACTAGTAAGAATTGAGGTGGGGTTATTAGCACGGATAACATATATTGATGTAAAATGATTGAACACTGGAATATGCTCCTGAAAGCAGCGGCGTTAAGGGATCTTCCATAGAGATCCGTTTGTAACACAGCTCCTAGTACACAAAGCTGTGGCTGTAATTCTAGAGCGAAATGAAAAATTTAAAAAAAACTTATCTGATCTGTTTCTGGAGAGCCTCAAAAGGCATTTATGGCCTCCAAAGCACTAAATGGATTTATTTCTGCAAAATCTCTTAAATTAGCAAAATCCATGCAGAATTTAAATCAGATTCCGCAACGTGTCCATTTTGTTTGTCTTTTGTAACAAGGAAATCCTTAACTCCTTAGAGCCCAAGGTTTAGAGCCCTAGAAATGCAGTAAGTCTTTAAGGAGTTAAAGCACATCCTCACACCTGATACTTTGTTTTCCCCTTAAACTCTTTCAGTAGACTAAAGATTATGCTAATCCTGGCTTTAGCCTTCCTAATGCAGGGTCTTACGATCCGTGGCTGTGCTCACTGCATGTTCAGGGTGAAGCTGGGACCCTCCGGCACAAACAATATATCAAACTGAAAAACATGACTCACCCGCTGTGGGGGCAGGATTGACAGGGGCGAGGAGGGAGATGGGGAGAGAGAGAAGCTGGATGGGAAAATTGGTGTGAAAATTAGAAAGATCGCAGAGAGCAGGAAGCGAGCAGTCTTGTTTGGCACACAACATGCCATCTACAAGGCTCATTGTGTGTTTGCTCGGATATCAAATTCCTATAAAAAAATGTTTTAGTTTTTAATAAGTACACGCAACGCAACAACCAGTGAAAAATATGCAATATTTGAAACGACAGAGGAAACGGCACAAGCTCCATAAGCTTAACTGACTCCAAAGCACTGTTGGCGCTCCGAAAGCTGAACGGCTTGGCCGCGCTCGTTGGACATTACTGAATCTTGAGTGCAATAACCCTATACTCAACCTTGCATCTCTCTATAGAACCAACAATGAACCAAGCTCTGCAGGCTTAGGGTTGTCAAATGACTATTCAGAACCACCGAACATTCCAGAAGGTGGGAGACAGTGGCAAAAAGAAAATGAGATTCAAAGATACCTAAATAAAATCTCTAAAATCATGACAACATACACTGTAAATACAGCCTATAGACGAAAGGAAGAGGTTACTTTACAAGACTGACCCCATGAGAATGGAAAGGTCCTTCTGAAAAACAATCCTTGCAAATTACAGGTTCTAGGGACAATAGTCACTAAAACAACTTTAGCTTAATGAAGCAGTTTTGGTGTATCGATCATGCCCCTGCAGCCTCACTGCTCAATTCTCTGCCATTTAGGAGGTAAATCCCTTTGTTTATGCAGCCCTAGTCACACCTCCCTGCATGTGACTTACATAGCCTTCCATAAACACTTCCTGTAAAATGTTCTGATGTTTTTACTTCCTTTGGTGCACAGTCAATTTAATTTAGAATTTCTTATTTCCTGCATGGTAAATAGCTTGCTAGACCTTGCAGGAGCCTCCTGTGTGTCATTAAAGTTCAATTACAAAGCAGGAGAAACGTCTGATTGAAAATAAAACCATTTTTTCAAGCAGGCTGTGTCAGTCACAGCCAGGGGAGGTGAGGCTAGGGCTGCATAAACAGAAACAAACTCCTAAAAGACAGAGGATTGAGCACGGAGACTGCAGAGGCATGACCTATACACAAGAACTGCTTCATTGAGCTAAAGTTGTTTTGGTGACTATAGTGTCCCTTTATTAAGTTAGTTTGCACGCTAAGCCCGATCTGTCCCAGGAAAGCAAGGCATATAAAGTACGTTTAAAAAAAAATGTAAACATAAGATTTTTTTTATTTTGTTTTTTAAATCCTTGTAGTTCGCTTTAATAAGCTACTGAGTTGAGTGAAAATTAGTTCCTCTTTAATATATAAAAAGTAATTTATTTTTACAATTTAAAAAGCAAGGGCATTCATCCTTATATACTTCAAGACCCACGCATGACTATGTGCCCTTGTGTTTTCCTTTTCCCAAATTCTGCACAGTCACATTTAGTAACCTGTCAGTTGTTGTCAGACCAGATTTGTCAGAAGAATTAGGCTGAGCTGCAGAGGGAGGACTCCCCTCAGGGCTTCACTTCCTGAGCAGATCAGAACGGCTCTCAAATGGAAATGGAGCCAGCCAGTAGCAGCAAACCGACAGAGTGCCTGATCCTCTCACCTGTGTTCAAGCAGGAGCTAGGTACAGTGGTATTTACTCAGTAAACCGTGGGGAACGGATTACACATTTTAGGACAAAACAAAAGACAACCAACCTCCAAATTAGAATAAATATCAAATACCGTTCAGTGAATACATTTTACAGTCTCAGATCTAGACAGACAAAAAAATAAAATTAAATATGGACTGGGCCAACTCACTGACTGTGCACAGAGCGTATTTAAATGCCGTATTCACATACATTCTGTTAAAGAGCAGGTCCCACCATGCATGTCCAACATTCTGGGAAATGTGGAGCGGGTAAAACTAACTCCATAGAACATTTTCTAGCTGGAATCTGGATAATTCATAGTGTTACCAAGAGGGACATCTATAAACAAGATGGAAAGTCACTACGACCGAACTAGAGGTGAATGTCAGCAAGTAAGACGCAGTCTGGAGAACGGTCATAATGCGTTATTATTAAACGACGATTACATGTATTACAGTCATGTTGTGTATTATTGTCTAATTAAAATAGGTTTCTAAATAACTCTTTTCAGTGTATCTCCTGGCTCAGTCTGTGGGAGAGGCCATATTTAAGCCTCTTTGGTGAGAAGCACTCCTTATCTACAAAGATTATACACAATTTAAAGGCGTGTAATGGTCCCAGAGTGCATTGATATTTCAGGCTGAGCACAATAATGTCAGGATTTGTAAATGCACTAAAAAAATAAAATAAAAAATATATAACCGGATTACCTGCATGACTTTTGGTCAGAAAAACGGTGTGACTAAATAGTTTATGGCAAACAAGGAGACAAGCAGAAGACAGACATTTACTTATATTGATGTATTACAACATACTACTAGCTGAGGCCAATACATATAATCTTCTATTTTAAACAATAATAAAAAAATTTAAAAAAATACTTTTTGCTTTAAGGACGCTGGAAAGTCCGGATTGGATCGGAGGTTTGCAAAGCCTGAAGTGATTCACCCGATATTTAATACAGTAAAAGTCTATCAAGGCCCAGTTTGCGTTACCACCCGTGAATATGAAATAAACACCAGACTTACATTATAGAAATTCATTTTATGATTCCAAAGAATTTCGATCATCGCCTCAGGTATCCACTTCCTCGTTCACTTTTTGTTTTTGGAGTTTATCACGAACGTGTTTGAGAAACAACTTGGCAACACAATTCTGTAATATGAATATTCTCACACCCGAGATAAGAGACATTAATATAAATTCACTTCCTGACGCGTCTTACCACACTTTCCTGTCCAGAACAGCAGAAAATGCCCATGAAATCTACTTCCTTCAGACACACAAACTATTACACACATTAATGCTTTTTCACTATTTAATCGTCCTAAGAGCTAGTTACAATGAAGCATTTAATTTACACAGGCAAAGCCTGATTCTGGGACAATTGGCTAAATTTTGGAGCAATCAATAGAACAAGATAATGACTTCCACATTGATTACTCTCGTTCACAGCCGGGATAATAAGAATGGCTCTTACAAACAACTATAGTGTAATGGGAGATAAGGGGACAGTATGAGGTCCCTGTAAGGCACTGCTCGCTAGTGGGCAATGTGCCAACTTACGGCCCCTGTCCTTGGACCTCTATGCGTAATTCAGGGAATGGGACGCTGCCAGGGTTAGACATTAAAGTTTGAAGGGTTAGAACCCGAAGTGAATTTCAAAATTTAGGCCAAAGTAGCGTTTTCAGATGAACTATTTCAGCCTAGAATTTGGATAATGAGAATCGCTTCGCTCTCAGTCGCAGAAGACAAATTGTCAAGCGCTCTGCCTGCTCTAGAAAGCTTCATATGCTCACCCACGAGTACAGTGAGAGAAGAGACAGACAGAATGGGCTCCGTACTTGTCATCCTTATAGGAACTAACTTGCTTCATTTGGGACCAGTGGAGTGTAACGTATTCCACCATGTCTTATGATGAGGTTTGCCGTGGTCAGAAATACTTTATTATTTATATATTCATCTCAGAGATACAATCCACACACTTTCTACTCACAGCAGAGTGGAAAGGTTTTTTTTTTTTTTATTGTAATTATTTTTCTACTCAATACATTTTTTCCTTTAGTAAAAAGAACACATATAGACAGGGGATACAATACCAGATGCTTCTTAAGATGTATGCTAGTGTATAGCAGTACAGGAAACTTACATGCTTTAGTACAAAGCCTACAGGAGTACCTAGCAGCCCCCAGACATGTCAATTCCATACTGACAGAATTCTGTTTTGCTTGCAATTTAAAAGCAACACTCCAGGCACCATAACCACTGTAGTGTGCTGTACTAGTTATGGGAGTGCCCTGGCACCCTGCCCAATGTAGATACTGAAACCATTTACCAACGGTCTGACAAATTGCCTGGGTCTGCTGGTCACTTCCATCATTCCATTAGCTCTCATGAGCAAAATCCTGCTGTGCAAAACTAGCTCATTGGTGGAGACTATCAGCTGATTGCTCTCAGCCAATGACATAAACCCTGCACTGCGCCCAGCTCTCATGGTGGAGGTAACTGGCACCCAGCGAACCTCAGGCAGGTTGTAAAACCATTAGCAAATGGTGTGACTACATACACTGGCCACTAGGGGTGAAATTCACATTTCTTCTTCCTGCAACTGGGGCACGTCAATCTTAGCTTCCTGTTAGTCGTTATTAATATTTACATTTTCCGTTAAAGGTTCTCCTCATTTGCATAGTGTGCCTGGGCTGTGCCAGGACTGAACAGGATTGTGATAAACTACATGAAAAATAAGTGAACACAAAGTACAGGTGATTTTTAGTGTCTTATTTAATGGTGTCATTTCCAGAAATGTGAGATACTCTTAGTTCCCAGTGACAATTTCATCCAAAATAAGGCCCTCACAATGTGGGAGCAGTATAGAGGGACTGCATGGTGGCAGAATATAGCCAGCAACCGGTTGACCAGACGTCTCCAGGATGACCAGACAGGAAGATACAATCCGTGTAATAAGGTAAATATCTGCAGATACACTGCACAGACAAACAGCTGTCTAACTTTTGCTTCAACCAAAATAAGTTACTATAAATATTTCATTTTAGAAAGGAAATGTCACGTTCAATATAAGAATATTTTTGGATTCCAGCAAATCAATGCAGCAATAACGTGCTTCAAATATTAATATAAGGTTCCGTTTACCAAATGCACAGGCTCATTCACTATAGTGGGAATTCAAATTCAAGGTAGAAATAACTGGAATGGAAATATTCAGCTGTGACACCAAATTGGCTACAATGGACATAAATTTAAAATTCACTCTGAATTCTCACCTGATAGTAAGTACGCAAAACTACTCTGATATAATATTCTTCAGAAAAGGCACAATCAAGGCACTTTATGCAAATCTGTGATCCTCAGGTGTCATCTTATTATGCACCATTTAATAGATTCTTCACATTTCCAGAGGTCAGTTTGCAATCCCTCTCCAAAAGAGCCCACAATGTGGGTGCAAACAGTATTCTACATTAGAAAAGCCAATGGGACTATTGATACACGGGTTATAGACACAATGTCATTGCACAGGAAGAGTAAAAGGGATCAATTTGTATGAGATGCCCAGAAGCACGACCTTATTTTTATATTATAGAAAAAAACAACACATTTTGTGTTCGTTCTGCTGTATGCATTATTACTCGCAGGGCCCGGTATAGAATGTCTATAATCGGTACATGGTTCATTTAAAGCAGCGCTGTCAATTTGCAGGTATTGCTCTTAAAATTAATCCTTTTTCTCTTTTTTTTTTCCTCTTTTTTTTTTGTTTTTTCCCCCCCCCCTTATACATTAGAAAAAATAGGGACTACTTTTCATATCGGGAGCATGAACTTTGGCAAATTATGGCAATGGGCGGCGTTTAAACAAAGTTCCATTTCAGTTTCTAAATTAATCTACCCACAATCCACCAGTCAATAGAATCCCACAGAAGGCGCTCTGCAGACATCACAGACCGAGGAGACCAAGATAGGAGTGTGCAGATATTGAGATTTGGAGCCCGGTAGACAAGATATTTATAAAAAAAAAAAAAGTGACAAAAAGGGCAGTAAAATCAGACACAATGGGCATAAGGAAATAAAAAAAAAATAGATGTAAAACAAATCACAAACAAAAATACCCCCAAACCCCATGACGGAGCCGCTTTAATGGCGGAATTCTTGTTTAATGAGATGTTTCAGGTGAGGTAAGTCAGACTAGAGTCCATAGAACTCCAAAGCACACTATTAAGAAGCTACTATAGCTCTGAGTTACGTGGATTTTGGGCACCTCCCTAGTTCAGTAAATTGGCTGGGTTACATTGAGGAAGCAGAACTCTGCATTGTTATCTGAGAATGACTCCATGTCCTGTTCTGGAGCTTACAAAATATATCCTGCTTGGCAGGCAGTATGCAGTTTCACTTTAATTAACATACTCTAACTCTCATCTGGAAACATTTGCAAAAATGGCCAGTTTGTAAAAAAAAATTATAAATAAAATTCAACATTTAATGAATAAAGCCCTATTTATGACTAAGCAGATAGGTGCGCCATGCAATGTATGCGAGGACAACATATCTTTTTAGTCATTGTTCCAGTATAACTCCCATCATGCTCTGACAGCGGTAATTAGCGACTGCGCAGATGGCTGGCTTCATTTTAAGAATATGGTTAAAAGTCATAGAATTTGGCTGGCTTACCCAAATACCTCGTTAAATGAAATTAACAAGAAACAAATCTCTTACTTTGGTGGAGAAAAAAAAAAAAAAAAATACAAATTGAGAGTAACGGTCATTACTTGTAAAATGTTCCAAACCCCCTCAGACAATTCAGATTAAAAAAACATTAAAAATGGGGATTTGCACATACATTCTCAAAAGGACATTAGGATAAGCTTGACAGCATCTATTCCACAGCGATCGGTCCTAATCCTTTTCTACAAGACAGACAATCTCTTCTAAATAGGAAAAAAAAAATGTTATCTGTTTGTAAGGAAATGCACACTAACAGAAATAGGTCAGGTTAGCTCACGCCTCGTTGCACACACGCAGTGTGCGGGAATTTTCATAGGAGGAAGTTGACATGTTAAGGGTTAAACTACACAATCCAGGGGAGTGGGTGTGTTTCACAGTTCTTAGGTTTTTGCCATTCCAATCACTGATATTTATTTCATTACACACACACACACACACACAAAAAGCAAGCTCACCCACCCCAATTATAAAGACTGTTGGATTAAAATAAAAATGATATAATAATTTATTAATTTTTTTCACAACCAATAAGAAAGAAGTAAAAAATTATTTGTGCCGTGTTCATCGATATAAAACTATTGATTTGAATGAAGAGGAGGGGTTGGTTAAAGCACCCAAACAGGTACTCTCTACATACCTGAATGTAATTTACCCTTTTGAGGCCAAGAGCCATTCTATTGAAAAGCAGTGGGCTACTATGAAATGACAATTAACCCTTTAAAGGAAGGAGCAATGCAATACATTTGTCACAACTATGTCACTGTAACAGTTACAAAAGTGATTACGCAAAGTGCAACGTTAACTCTGTAGTTAGAACATTGGATAAAAAGTTACACCAAATAAATAAAATTATGGGTCACATTAGAAACAAGTCCCACAATCTGGCAAACAAGTGGTTAACCATTATGTGACTACCAATTCCCAGACTAGTGATTAGAAGCATGTGAGTCTTAATAGTCATCCCAGCTGCAAAGAAGGATATTATTTGCCCTCTTTAAAGACATACAACCAGTTATCAGAGTGTCACGGTGACACATATGCATTCTGCTAAGGGCTAAAATTGCAGGTTGCACATTAAACATCTGCAAAAGCAATAATTCTACCTACTTATACTATACAGCAAACGTCCAATCGGGTTTCCCGGAGATACATTACTTCATCATGCTGTTGGTGAGTGAATGAAAAGTACTTCCCCTCTGTATATTAATATTTGCATACTGAGAGGTAAATCAATTAAAAATCGGTGTGTCTCTGGGCTCACTCCATGATTAATTGGTTTTCTTCCTGTGCCATATACATTTTACATATTTTAGGGGAAGCACTTTTCACGTGATAACCAGCAGTATAATCAAGTGATTTGTATGGCAAAACTGGAAAACCCAGCCTTATAATTATAATAGAAACATACAAGATGGCATAGGGTTTTATAACCTTAATAGACCTTACACTGCACGCAGCTGGGATTATGAACCCTTTAAATGCAGTGTACAGCTCATCCCCAGGGTAGAACAGAATGGGAAAGCAAATTTAGGCAGGGGGGTGTACACAAAACACCATGCTTGCTGCATCCCCGAATTCCATTATATAATGGCACGATATTACATACATTGGGAATTTTTAATGTCTTGTTGACAAAATGTTGATGAAAATGTAACACACATGGATCATTTTAGATTGTTCTGTCTGCTTTATCAATAACCCTTCGGCTAGTTTATCAGATTTGACCATGGTATATAATATTCTATATAAAACGGTAGTAGCCGCATATTATATTATACTATTAAACATTTGATAAGCAAATTTGTTAATAGAATATGGTGTGTATTAAAGTGAAGTCCTAAAAGGTATTATTTAAATGAGAAGGATTGTATTACATATAGATTATGCTAGTCTACGGTGAGGTTTATCTGTTGCAACATCTGTTACAAGACATTATGTCTTTATTTTGATAATTCATGAATTGTGCTGCCCTGTTGTATGTATACTTCATATGCTACAGGAGGGAAACACGATTAATTAAATACTGTAGTCCATTCGATCAGGAAAACATGGTGGGGATCTGCCAATACTGGTTGGAATACAGAAGATCGGTTTACATTTAGATAAAAATACAACACTTTCAGATTTACTTTTAACACAGTGAACGTAGAAAATAAAGAGACCATACCAGATGTGAAGTTGTCATGTAGGAAATTGGTTAAATAAAATATTGGCCTACCTTATGAATACATTAAAGTAAAACTGTCTCATAGAATATTACAAAATGCTTACTTAGAACGATACAAAATGTGATAAAATTTAAGTTTGAGTTGATTGTATTAAAACGACACATAGGAGGATTACTTACTAAACAATTAATAGTAAATTACAATCCAAATAAAATTCAGGAAAACCATAACTGACCTGTAATAATTCCCTAAATACACTATAGTCACAGCTCGGGTTATTCTACCCTATATGTTGCCATTTATCTTCTAACGCACTACAGTTCTGAGTTTAATAAATAAACCCCTAATCATTTTAATTAAAGTGATGTGCACTTAGCCCACCTGCTGCCAGATCCTATTTACCAGCATTTTAGTGAATTCATTCCAAATCCTCCAGGTGTATAAGTTAGGTCCTATTCAATAAGGCTTCTTTCTTTCACAGAATAGGTGCCATATGACAGCACTGACTCCTATAGCATTGACATGTAATGTACTACAGACACCTCCTGCTGCAATGTATAGTGGGGGTGAGCATGACTAAACACAGGACTCATCAATATGCAGATTCCCAATTATTACACACATACAGCTCCCTATACCTGGGCAATGCATCATGGACATTGTAGACCTACAACAGCTGGGAACCTACCTCTAATTACCCCTCCCATTAAAGACTAATCATCAGATAATTCCACTGTAGATATAAAGACACACAGTAAGTGATCAATGAACTTATCTCCCTGGTGTGGAATGTATACAATGTATCTCCCATAGAATGTTTACTCTGTGTCCCCAGCTGGATAGAAAGTTCACCTTACCTGCTCCTCACAGTCTTAGGGTTCTTCCTTTGGCCATGGTGAGAGCTCAGCTAGCAGGAATCCCTCTCTCTCTCTCTCTCTCTGTGTCTGAGCTCCACTCTGCACTGCCTGCTCCTTCTGCCCACTCTCACACACCTCCAGCAGCTGTCAAGGCTCCGCGCATGCGCACTGCGTCTCACACGCAGCCACACGCGAAAACGAAGCCCAGCCTCCGCCATATTGGTCCACCCATTCCTTTACAGTGTTTACAATGTTGCAAGGGATGCCGGAAGCTGTCGTCATGTGATAAGAAAAACTGTAAACAAACACACACCTGCTACATTCAGATTGTCAGCCTTTCCTGTTTAATGAGATGTCGCTTCTAAATCAGGCTGTTTATTGCAATGATTAAGTGTTTAGTAATATTAGATTGTAAGCTCTGTGGGCCTTTATGACATTGATAACATGTAGAAGAATGCTGTGAGCACACACTGCTGGTATAGGCAGGAGACTAATCATTGGGTAATAAATAAACCCAGAGATTTAAATGCACACTGACAGCCTGGAGAGCTCAAACAGCCTTTCTTTACATCTAAATTCATGGTTTCTGTTCTATAGATCATTGTAAAGGGCAGCAGAATATTTCTTTCATATTTGACTACTACTGAAATTTGTGGATTTCCAGTTACATTACTCACCATTATTTTATTTTATGTAAAATAAATAACAAATCAGACACACAAAAAAAACAACAAACAAACCATATTGTTCCCTGTAAACTCTTGTCAGGTATGGGCCTGCGATCTTCTTGGTGACAAACAAGCAGAGGGTCAGGGAAAAACAAAACAATAAAGGTCAGGGAATGCTTTATAACAACTCTGACTATATTTATCTTGCGCTTGGCTGTTAGAGGATAATGGGAATTGCAGTCCTGCACAGATGAGGTAGGCCAACGTTGGACACTGTGATTGCAGGAGTGAGTAGGGTGTCCCAGTGAACTATTCCCTAAACCAAGAATTGTGCAGAATGGACAAGGGTAAGGGTATAGCAAATTGTAGGCCAAAGTAGCAAATTGGAACAATTCTCCCATTTAGTTGGTTTTTCATACTTAGCTATTTAGGCGTCATTGTTTATATGTCCTTACAAATTCTTTACAATTCCAAAATTTGAGAATACCCCAGGCAGGGAACAGTAAAGGATAAACGAATATGTGTGTGAATAGGTTATTGATCTAATGAGAAATCTATGTGCTATTATGGAGTCCAGAATGAGTTTTCCCCCTTTTGTGGCATAATTGGCCATCGCTTCAAATTATGTTTTTTGTTTTTCTAGAGACTGAACTCTATAGACCTTGCATCTTTTCAACCTAGGATACTAGGTGCATCATAGCAATGGATTTGTTATGAAAACGTCTGTTAAAATGGCAATCGTTATGATAGAACACAAATAAATTCAGTGTCGTTACAAACACCAGTTTTAATGTATACAATGCCAATTATATTGTTCATGGTGTGACCATTCTCCCATGTCCCAAGTTTACAATGCTAAATCCCTTTGTCCCAACAATTAGACCTAGTTTGCAGAGGGGTAGTACAGGCAGTCTTGCTGGAATTAGTATACAATAGTTGGCATTTGTTCAAGAGGTAGAATAGAGATTAGTAAAATTCATCCTCCTGCGCCCTGGACAAAGCCTCTCCCAGCCGCCCAGAGATTAGCTCAGATACACAGCTATGCCCACACATGAGTGGGTGTCGGAATGAACAGTAAAAGGTGCACTCCAATGTAAATATGTGTACAAATACATTGTGTGTGTCTGTATAGATTTATTTTTAAACAAATTAGATATACCAAGATTCTTTTCTTTTTTTTTTTTTTAAATGTAATACAAGATACTTAGTATTAAATAGAGCGCTGTGCCAATTAATGACAGACTACAAATCCCTTGCTTCTTGGTGAAAATGTTACTAAAAGGAAGGGTACTTCAGAGAAATGATAGACAAATGTTCATCTATCCATATGTCTAACAATAGTGCCACCTCCTGGGGAGCTGCATAATGTGCACAGCAGACAACATGGTTTATTTAATTAAATTGAAATTGTTGGGAAGTTAAGGTGAATTTCAAGCCAAAATGTTTTGGATAACATCTTGAAAGTCAGATTTTCAATTTAACTATTTCTGGCTAAATTTGCTATTTTACTTTGAATTTATTTTACATACGTGACGATTCAAACTTTTGTGAACAATCCTGGGAGTGTCCAATGCAAAATGTGACAAGTTGCGAAAAAAACCAAACAAAATGAGTGTCTGTGAGAAGGCCTCATATGGTGGGTTATTGGTTTCTACTGTTACTTTAAATCCAGGAGAGTACTGTATTCAGAAAAATGGTGCAGAGTACTGAAAATGGGGCAATCACCATGGAAACCAGAAGGCACGTCCCATCGGTTACTCTTCTCCTTTTTATATCCTTGCAACACTTGATACTTAACACGGATAAATCTCCCAATACTTATTTTTGTCATTCCATAAGCACTATCCTCACCCTTGTGGGGATACAGGGTAAAGTTGAGGAGAGTTTAAGTACATTCACATCTTTGAAGATATGTGTTTGGTACTCGTTTCCACCAATTCCTGATGGAATTATAAAACATTTTCATTTGCATTGCATACCAGGCTGTGTTAGTATAACCTGGGATATCAGGTAAAATGCACATACGGTTCCTATATATTCTTTAAAGAACAGATCATTTAGCAGTTACAATGTGACTTTAGATTCAAAGGGCCCATACCCATTAAAGCTGTAGATTAATTAATTATGTAAATACATGGATCTGCATGTCCTCGGCCTATTTCTAAATGATGAGGGGAAAAAAAATATGCCAAGTGTCTGGAGTGTAGCACATTCATCTCACAAGGAATAAACCAAAAGTCCTATCAAAGGAAATTAAATCTGCCAAGACCTTTTAGCAGTCCTCAGAATGGCATGTAACCTCCAGGGAGGAGTAGATTTTAGAAGGAAGGCATCCAAAAACACACCAATATAAAGCCTGAGCAGTCGGGATGTTGAACAGGCCAAACAAAACAAATAAAATACATGGACTAAAAAGACAAATCATGATCTCCAGGAACATATTTGGATTTATAAAGGGTGGCACAATCATTCAGTGTTTATAGTGTGTGTGTGGCTCTATAATCCGCAAATGTTACTGCTATGGTATTATGCAATTGGACATTTGTTCATAGTATGATGTGAGGCACCAACAGTAGAAACAGACTCCACAGAATTCATGTTCATCACAGCAACTACATTAATATTGATGCAAGGCGAGGGGGAGAGGGATCTTGGGATAAGCCACAGATACAACAGGTACAGTGACTGACAATACAGGTTTACTGCATAAGATTCTAGATTATTCACAAAATCTAGAATTATGAAGAATTAACAAGGAAAGTGCAAATGTTAAGACAGAACGGCAAAAACGCAAATTACTTCTATTTCAGTGATTTTTAGTTTGGCTACTTTGGGTAAAACAATCAATTCTTCACAATTACCAAATATGTGAATAGCTCATGAGAATTTTCTCATTAGACTCCTTAATTCCAAGACACGTCACTTCCAATTTCTTTACTGTCTGTGTTATTCTCTCTCGTAAATGTGTGTGACACAAATGACTCCGCACTGTCAGAACGGAGAAATGTAAAATACAGGAGACAAGATCTGAATTTCAGGTGACATTTAATTAACAACATTTCTCACTCCAAATTCTTTTTCCTGAAGAGTAACACGCTTTATATTTTGACACATCAGTTTGAATTATGGAGAAGAGGTGGACATGTGTGCGACTCAAACAGAGTTTCTACAGACCTAGTGGTATTCTGATATTTTAAATAAATGAATGAATTAATGTTTACTCCTATACAGAAAATTCCTAACCCACAGCACATAGATCAGAGGCCCAGGAGAGATAAATACATTTAAAAACATTTGCTAAAACAAACTTAAAACTTCAGAAACACATAAAAAAAAACACATTAGTAAAAACAAAACAAATCAACAATATCAGTGTATATAAGTATCACTGCACCATACACTTATGGCTTTGGACAAGGATATTTATCTCACTTGTAATCAACGTACCAATCCCATAATGCCATGCTGGTCACCTGTTGAGTTTGTGGCTTGCATGGCATTATGGGTGTTGTAGTCCAGGACTGAGAAACGTTGCGGATATCTGCTCTTTTGTGTTTGTAAGCTGCTTCTAGTAATCCTCAGAAAAGAAAACAAGTTATTTAATTCTGTGTGATAATGGACTTGTTACAATCATTACGGCATTATCGCAGGAAGTGAAACCTGCAACGGACAGCGCTGGTCTTTTAACACTCGTTGATTGTCTTGTATTAAAAGGAGCACAAACCAAAATTTATAAAAAGGATTTCGACATTTCCCGCAAACCTGGATCTAAAAAAAACACAGTAAGACAGAACATGTAACTGTAAACTATAAATCAGTGCATACAATGGGTTGATGTAAAAAGGGATAATGTTAGGTAAAATTGTAAAAGTGGAGCTGTCACCATAGAAACTAGCGGAATATTTCAGTGGTTTATTCAACGATTAGCTCTGCTCTCCATCAGAAAGTTCTACGTTGGAAGTGCAGAGTAGTCGCCAAAAGCACACACTGGCTAATTCCATTGGTTTCCATCATGATTCTCCACTGTTAAACCTTCATATGACTTTATAGAGCACAGCTGTTTGATAAATCTCCCCAAATGGAATATTTTAATTATGAATTGAGTTCGTTAACATTTTACCAGAAAGTGTTTAAAATAGGGTGGTGATTTCTTATGTAGAGTAACCATGTCATAAAAAAAGAAAACTCATAAAATGAGCGGTGTTGTTCATTGTGCTGTCCCATAATATATTCAGCCATGCAAATCAACACTTTAAAACAAACTCAGGATTTGCCAACAATCACAGTTACAAATTATTCAGAGTTTTTGCTATGGGAAATCAACTCTACGTTTCTGAATGAGACAGATACGGAATTGTAACATTTAGGTGAAATTAGCAGAGTTGGGGAAAAATTCCACATTGTAGCAATCCAGCCCCAACCTAACTATTTTGGCATAAAATATACAATTCAATAATTCTATCCATAAGTCACTGTTTAGTAAATAAATTCCTTTCAATGTATAGGTCACACAAAGTGACAGGTTCCGCTAAAGTCCAAATAATATGAAGACACAAATGCAAGTCTTGGTGGAGTAGAGCAAATGTGATCTATTATTTTATCTCTGCTCACTGCGTGCGTCCGTGCCAATCACAGCCGTGAGACTGAGGAGGCTCTGTATTATGCAAGTATAAAGAACGGTCCAGCTCTCTGCAATCTTAAGAAAAGCATGAAGGTTTAAGAAAGTCAAGCAACGTTTCAACAAATGTTCTTTGTCAAGTTTGACTAACAGCACTTGGTAGGTGGAAACACGGCTGACCTTTCTGAAACCTCAATAAATTTGGAGTGCTTTCTTTACAACTGTGGAGTGCAGTACTGTTCCTTATACCTACCTGACAGCTGGACTACAGAACCAGGTTAAAAAAAAAAAATGAAAGCGTGAGTAGCTATAGTGTGCAGGCAGGTCACCCTCTCAATATTTAAAGAGACTGTGCTGCAGCTTTAATATAAACTCTGTTCAGAGGACAGAGTGAAGTGATCGCCTATATTGAGAACATGTAAAGCTGACACAGTAGGTTGCAGTTAGTGACCATCACAGAGTGAGGACATTTCTTAATACTTGCCATCTTAAGCTCATCCTAGGTTAATTCTGGATTTTAACTTTATCTACCAAGGTTAAAAGAGTTACTCCAAAGACCAAGTCTGCTTTTTGAAGTGGTCATGGTGGCAGGAATCTGGAAGTGCAGTGTGTCAGCTTGGAACACTGCATATCCAGAGATATATTTAATTGTGTGCTGGGAACAAGTTGCACCCCCAGCAGAAGTGACTAAGGCAGCCTGGAAGTCCCTCCCTTTGCAGGCCCATGCGCGCTGAGCCCTTTAAAATTCTCCAAAGGCTTCTCATTGAGAAGCTTTTGATTGGCCCTCAGAGCAACACCCTTGACAGATGGGGAACTTACCTTGGCACTGGATGGAGGCAAGCAAAACACCTTTAACCCCTTAAGGACCAAACTTTTGGAATAACAGGGAATCATGAAACCTGTCACACATGTCATGTGTGCTTAAGGGGTTAAAAAAACACCCTTTGAGTGTTTGGTTTAGGGATGCAAATAGAATATAGCCAATAGGGCTGGAGAAACCCTTTAGACGTGTTCATAGAAACATAGAATGTGACGGCAGATAAGAACCATTCGACCCATGTAGTCTGCCCAAATTCTCTAAATACTTTTATTACTTTTCATCCCTGGCCTTATCTTACAGTTAGGATAGCCTTATATCTAACCCACGCATGCTTAAACTCCTTCACTGTGTTAACCTCTACCACTTCAGCTGGAAGGCTATTCCATGCATTCACTACCCTCTCAGTAAAGTAATACTTCCTGATATTATTTTTAAACCTTTGCCCCCTCTAATGTAAGACTATGTCCTCTTGTTGTGGTAGCTTTTCTTCTTTTAAATATGGTCTCCTCCTTTATTGTGTTGATTCCCTTTATGTATTTAAATGTTTCTATCATATCCCCCCCTGTCTCGTCTTTCCTCCAAGCTATACATGTTAAGATCCTTTAACCTTACCTGGTAAGTTTTATCCCGCAATCCATGAACCAGTTTAGTAGCCCTTCTCTGAACCCTCTCTAAGGTATCAATATCCTTCTGAAGATACGGTCTCCGGTACTGTGTACAATACTCCAATTGAATATTGCACGCAGTACTGGAAACCGTATCTTCAGAAGGATATTGATACTATATTATTTCTTAGACTTATGTTATTTCTTTAGATTCCCCAGCATCACTCACTTGCTCACCAAATCAGGATTTATGGTGCATTGACAAGGTAATCGCAACATTTAGGCAAAAACAGCTACACTGGAAAATTTCTAAACTCCAATATTTTCTAGCTCAGCTATATTGGACTAAAATGGAATTCCCTGGTCAAGTTTATAAAATTTACAGTAACATAAATAAGCCAAGAGTTATCCTATAAAGGACTTACCAAACACATCAATTAAGGGTTTATTCACTAAACAGTAAGCTGAAGTTAGCGTTTCAAATGCTTTAGATATTTTACAAAATATTTTTTAAACACTATATTATATATGGAATTGAAATATATATTCACTAACAAACACATTGTAGTTAAAACCACTTTCATACAACTTGCGTATTCTTGCTAGCCTACATTTTGCATGGTTTAAAATATTCTCACCAATGTTTAGCAATCTGGTTTTTAATTTGCTCCAGTTTGCGATTTTCCTAGATACCTGATGGTATCCTACAATTTAAAAGTCAAAAATCATGTGACTCCCTGTTAAGATTGTAATAGGATATGGTTACAATACAAAAACAATCAAATATTAACAGGAAACTAAAGGAAAATATTAGTATTCTCATATAGACATCTCTAACATTCATACGACGCAAGATCGATCTCTCTTCATAAAAAAGTGGGGTTTTTTTGTGGCCGTTCCACTTTGACCTAGTGGAACATTTTACGTTATATTAACCACAGATAGAACCATATAATAAAGATTTGCCAGGAAAAATGAAATTGGCCTAATACATGTTCCGGTGAAGTGAATCTGTGCTTCTACAGCACTGGACTTGTGAATACCAACTGAAAACCTGTCTGTCTGTATCAGAATACATGGTTATTTCCAGTTCTGTATTCTGATTGGTTTCCAAGCCAAACTGGCTTTAGGTTCACGATCAGCCGTCTTGCTCTGCAAAATGTATACAGAGTTACTCTTACACTATGAGGAAATTCTCAGGGTGATATGTATAATTACTAAAAAGGCAGAATCTTTTTTAGAGAACATTAAAAATAACATTGAAAAATTATATTAGATAATACTGTATATAATTAGATTACTGTATGGGTGACTTTCATATTTATACCCTATATAATAAACATGTATTATCTAACAATGCTCAGGTCAATCACAAGTTTCTCCTACGGATTATTGATGGTATAAAGTTTGATGGCCAGTAATTAGGCAATTTATAAATCTTTTGAGTTTATTTGCTAAATTTCAGACCAAAATAGCTGCACTGGAAAAATTCTCCCACCAGCTCAACTAATTTGGTATAAAGCTCCCTTGTCCATTCTTCCAACAAATCCTCAATAAACGCTCATGGTCAAATAGCCTCAGCACACCATTTAATAAATAAACAAACATTGTTGTGACCGTAAACAAAAAAATAACAAACTCCCCCCTCCCCCCAATAAAATAATAAAACAAACATATTCTTAATCCTACTAGACTAGTTTCTCTCTGGATCAATCAACTTAACAGGAAGTCACGAGAGTGATTATGGAACCCACTGAATTACTGTAGGGGCTCTACAGATCTGCTTTGCAGAGTTTTACAAACGTGGCACTTTATGTACAAAACAATGCTCCCTGAATGTTCATATCCCTGGGACTAAAAAATAACGGAGGCAAAATCACCCTGGTAGTTAGCCCAAACCTATGGGTTATGAGGCCCACTTGGGAAGGGTCTTTGTAAAACTCAGCACCTAGTTGTGCACTAAAGCATAACATTTTGGAATTAAAAAATAAAATAAATAATATATATATTTTAGAATTCCAAAATGTTACGCTTTAGTGCACAACCCCGTTAGTGAACCACAACAAAGCCTCCTGAACACTGAACATGTTTTCATTACTTTCCAAATTAGGCATGATGCTTGGGGCATAGTTACTGAACAGTGACACACAGTAAATTGGCAAATAACCTGCAAACTTGCACCATCATGGCAGAATTGGATCAAACCTCCTCAGTAAAGGTAGGGTTTTTTGCTTTTAACTTGGCTTTTTAATGGTAATTTTTGCAAGTCAGATGTCATACTGTTTAGTAAATCAACCCCCTTTACTTCAGGTTATTTTAAAATAAATAATGATCACAACCTACATAATTCTGTTTTCGCTTCTGGAACCAATTTAGCATCACACAATATCTAACAGACACAATGTTGCTGGCCCACACAAGGTCATGGAGATGCTGTAATGATCCATCCCGATTTCAGTATCGAAAATATGCCGAAGGTTAGCAGCAGTTTTCCTATTTACTAAGGAAGTTTACAAAAATAGGACCGGTCACTCACAGCCTTGGGATCATTAGGAAGCCATACAATTATATTTATATATTTATACATTATTACAGTGTGAGGCTTGCTATATACACATGTTAAAGTTATTTAAGCAACATTGGTAAAAGCAGTTTAACTCTTGTTGCTCTGCAGGCCCCTCTGGCATAGAAAGGGTTAAAAATGACTGCGTGGAAAGTGCATGCATTGATTTTTCGAGGTACCAAGGTTGGAATATCGTTTCTTTGATCACAAATAGTGATATTTTTTTATTCTGGATCCAGTTTTTCGGCCTCTTCTCTCTCTGCCCTGTGTTTTGTGTTCCTCGGCACCTTCATGTTGTCCATGACTGCATATTCTGGAGCATTTCGTCAAAGGCTGCTTGAGATGGAGCATCTGCTCTCTGGAATTTATCCCTCATTCGACTGTACAAGCTAAAAGATTTGAGCTCTAGCCATATAAATCCAAATCGGTCTTCATCAAAGAGAATAAACAGGCCTGGCGTCCGTTCTGGACTACTGAATCCGTGGCCAGCGATGAGCCCTGTGCCATAAAAGCTTTAAAATGGCATGGGGGAAAAAAAAGAAAGGCATTTGCAAATGTGATACAAAATAATCTTATTTTATTTTAATTTGCCCTCCTATTTAGTAGTACTGAAAACTCAATTTGCATTTATGACAGATTTTCTTTTGTAAAAGTGTGCAGAAAAGGTAGGTGTAAAAACAGACTTACCTCCACTGCTTTTACAAGCCATCTGTGCCACATTTTGTCCCGAGTTTTCCCGTGACTCCCTGTGATTGGGTGGTCATGGGCCACATGCAGGGAAATTACATTGTATAACTACCATCAGACAAAAAAACCACGTAAAACAAATAGATAGAATGAGTTATCCATTGGGGGGGGGGGGCCCAGAAGCAGGGCCCTCTTTAACGTGGGCAAACGGGGCAGCTGCCCAGGGCCCAATTACACTTGGGGGCCCAAAGCAGCTGACCCGTGGCAGGTATTGTAAGCAGGGGCCCGGTCACACACTGTAGCCCTTTAACAGCGCGACCAGGCCCTTTGCTTTTCGGCAGCGCTGGGAGGCAGGGACGGCTGCGAGTCACTTCCTCCCACTAAAGAGAGGAGCCGCGCGGGAGACGAAAGTGGGAGCCTGTGCAGGGAGAGGCAGATCCCAACAGCCTCACCCTTCAGTCTGGACACTGGGGAACCACCTTCCAAGGTAGGAAACTAGAGGGTGGGTATAAAAGTGTAAATTTATGTCAGTATGTCTGTCCATTGTATGTTTATGTCAGTATGTCTGTCTGTGTATGTTTATATCTGTGTATGTGTCTGTGTCAGTATGTCTGTCAGTGTATGTTTATGTATGTCTGTCAGTGTATGTTTATGTCAGTATGTCTGTCAGTGTATGTGTGTGCTTGTGTCAGTATATCGGTCAGTATGTCTGTCAGTGTATGTTTATGTCAGTATGTCTGTCAGTGTATGTGTGTGCTTGTGTCAGTATGTCTGTCCGTGTATGTGTACAAGTATATGTGTGTCAGTATGTCTGTCTGTGTATGTCTTTGTATGTGTGTGTCAGTATGTCTGTCAGTTTATGTGTCTGCGTGTGTGTCAGTAAGTCTGTCAGGGGGCAGGGTCCAGGGGCCCCAAGCAAATGGTTGCCCAGGGTCCATTCAATATTAAAGACAGCCCTGCCCGGAAGGACCAGGTAACATAGCTCAGCCCCTGCAAATGGAAAGAAAATACACAAGGATTTCGGACCATTTATGGATCTCTGCAGCACTTAAACAGACCTGCCCCCTGTGTGCTATGAATTTATAAAAAAAAATTATAAAAAAGCAGAGATAAACAGCAGGAGAGATAAAAGAGAAATTAAGAAGAGGACTAGATTTTATAAATAAGTGCTGGTGGGGAGCACTGCTTACCACATCTTACAGCTACGGGGGTACTCTTCACTTCTTGCCGTCACCCCATCAGGAAGGACAAATGAGTGGGCTGGGGCCTCCTGTTCATCATTCTCCTCTGCACCCACTTTGTTTGCATCTTTGTCTTCGGGCCTCTTGACAGGTAAGAGCGGCCGACCAGGCTCTCCACGGACAGCAGCTACCTCCCTGCCATCTTCCTCATCACTGCCAGTCAGCCGCTGCTCTCTGTGTATCTGCGCCTGCACGTCAAGTACGAGACGGGACATCTCATCAAAATTCCGCAGATGCTCAACATCGGGGAGCTGAACTGGTCGCGTCAGATCGATTTCCAGGGTCTGCTGACAGGCAGGGACATTCGGATCTCCCTAGATGCAAACGAAAGCAAAACTGGTTAACAGCATACTTTTTTCTCCTCGACATGATCTAAGATGCACATACCTTTAATCCTACAGTATATGTGGCGTTACAAATTAGTACAATTTATTGGTTGTGTGAAGACACGCTCACTCACATCCCGTTCTCTGCTAATATATTATATATATATGCTGTTTTAATACAGACAGTGTAAAAGTGTAAGCTAAAACCATAAAAAGGGACTCTCTAAGCCCCATGACAGCCTATGATCACTGCAGTGATTTGGTGCATAGAGGTCCCTTGTCACTGTCTCCATGGAAACAACGTTTAAAAAACAGCAGAAAATTTCAAAGATGGTTCACATCATAATACTGTCCATTATCCCTCTTTCTATCTGATGTCAGGGGGTAGTTTGCTATCCAAAACCCATCCAAGTTGGGCATATGGCAGACACTCACTTCCATGACAGAGCAGTAAGGATTTCTATATTTCTATTCAATTTCAGCAGATAATGGTTAAATATAGAAAAATGTTGCCATAACAGAACGAGAAAATGAGGGCTCATCTGTTTGGAAGCTCTCACACATATTTGTGGTTTGTTTTTTTAATTCGGGGCCCTATGGGATTGCTTTCTATCGAAACCGGACTTAAGCACAAACGTTACAGCTTAAAGTTACTATTCACTCAACATCAAAACTATAGCAAATTAAAAAAGGAATGTCAACATTTTAGACACAAATTTGAATTTGATTTGAAATTTTTTTTTTTTTTTAAAACAACTCTCCCATAGTCACAGCTTGGCTATTTAGACCTAAATTTTGCAGATTGGTTTTCAGTTTATTACAATTTGGAATTTAGTGAATAAACCCTTCTGATTAGTGGCCAGGCACAAATGACAATAGGCTAAAGCTTAGCACACGCTCCAGTAAGTGTCATTAGACCACAGTCTCACCCCTGCGTGACTCATACTGTGACATATTGGCAGATTTCGTATCCCTGGAGAAGAGGGAAGTTTGAGAAGCCTTAAGATCTAAATAATTTGGTGACATCACCAATTCTCCATCTGTCTGTGCAGGAGGGAGAGAGGTTTATTACCTAAAAATAAACTCCCGTAGTGCAGTTTAAAAGATTTAAAGTGAACCAATCTTTTAACATTAGGTGGATCTCTCTTGTTTATAGCAGCTCACACGTGACGTTCCCTTTCAAATTGTTCACAAAGACATCTATGGTGTCAAAATGTTGGTTGCTCTGAGGCTGATGGGCCTCGTCCTCTCGCTGTGTTAACACCAAGAGTTGCTGTATTTTGCGAGTACACACGCACACATACTCACATACACTGATACATCACTCTAGGGCAAAGCTCGCCTACAACATTTCCAAACACGGAAAGGGAACACAGAACTTATACATTGACCAGTCATTGGAGTTTACGATCCTAGCGTGAATTGTTACGCTGTTATTATATTGCATTTACGCTTGTTTTTTATGACATATTGTTAACTTTGTACCTTTTGCTGGCTAGCGAGCCTAATTTTTGCTGACTTTCATGACTCAATAAACAAGATTTACAAAAAAAAAAAAAAATGTTGGTTGCCAAGTTTACATTTCTTTCCTTTTCTAATATAAAAAGAGGTCTTCTTTCCTGTGCTCCACAAGAAGCTGTTTAACTGTAAACTGTGGAGAGGGGTGCTAAAATGTTCTGTTCACTTTCCAAACGTATGGCGTCAGGCATCATCTTTCCACAAACTACTCCTAAGCAATCATGGGACATTTGCAATTTCCATCAAAAGCCGGCCTGTGCCAGCCCACCCTTGCATTTCACATAAAGCAAAATAAAAACACATAAGGTAGCTGATTGAATGCGTTATACCAGTGATAATTCATATGTATTGAAATATAAATTGTACAAATTTGAAAAGTTATCAATGATGTTGAATTTATTATTTTAGTTTTTAATTCAGTTATTACGTTGTTTTTTCCTGATGCATCTTACAAAACTCCTATAATAAGATTCAAATTTTTCATGGAAAAATAAACAAACCTAACAACCTAATCCTCACGGGCGTCAGGCCAAGGAAGACCTGAGTCACGCGGTACTCACCGTTATTTTTGTCACCTTTGCCAACGTCCCGTGGAAACTCAGCATGACTATCTCCAGTCCGTGGCTTCCGTACGTCCCCTTAAAAAATCCTGGACACAAAAGATCATCAGGCTGACTAAGTGGGTGATATATACGGCGGTAAGTAAGGCAGTTGCTGTGAAGAAAAGAAATGAACATTTTCTTTGCCAATTTATGCACCCTCAAAAAGGTTTAAACATCCAGAGGTTTTCAATGCCAATTTGGACCAATTGAAATGGAGAGTTTTAAACCGTGACACAGTATCGTGGATACATGTATAAGACCACAGAGGCATTACATCTCCATTCTAAACAACATCTGGGAGGAGAGGGTGAGGATAGGTTTGGAAGGACACTATATAAAGGCTGGATTTGGAGGTAGGTGGGTGTAAAGGGAGTCTGTAGCATTAGAGGTAGTTAGGGTTACCTTCACTTACTCATATTGGCAGATGTAGATAAACTTCATCAGGATTAGTTCCTGCATATGCTCATGGAAAATATCCTCCAGTGTCCGTCCCAAGTCTTCTCTCAGCCAGGTCCGAAATTCCTACAAAAACAGGAGCAGGATGCAGTGTTAATGAATTAGCTGTGACCATTCATTCATTCTCGGGATCATAGGAACAGTTACTCATGGTGGCCCTGCATCACCTCCAAAAATACACCCTAAAACACATAAAGGCCTCTGTTGGGTGTGGAGAACAGGGTGGGGTGTCAAATATGGATCTTGGTAGAACATGAGTGAAAGTGGGCTCATTAGTGTTTATTTATATCCACATGAAAGCAAGAATCTAAGCAAGATAAATTGTACTCTTCTTGAAATTTTGCTTTGATCCTAGGTCAGAAAAACACAGGTTTGATTTTCTGGATAGAAACCAATAGCGGTTACCTCTTGTCTTCCTCCGGACATCCGATGATAATCTGTTTGCAGGCACTTGGTACAGAATTCATCCTTTTTCACAATCTGTAAGGAAGAACCATCACATTATCAACTGGGTAGCCTGGCTTCACCAACTGTCAAAGACCAAAGCACACACTCAACTCAAAGATGTTAACTTATTTTAAAAAGTACCAACATCCTCCATGTCACTGTGTAACAGATGTCCATTACACAGCACGGTTTGATATAATTTGTAAAATACAATCTGTACGAATGTTACCTGGATCTGCCCATTGTGAGGTCCTTTATGTCCATACATGCATTCTACTGTCGCAGACTTCCTCTCCATCAAATGGATCCTAAAGACAGGCTTTAATCTCATTGGTTCATCGACATGGGGATCATGTGGGGTCAGGTACATCCATCCAATGATAAACAAGCCATCTACCTGCGTACAAAACACATCACCTGTTGTTGTCCAGTGACTGAAGAATAACAGAAATGTCTATAAAGCTATACTCAAATAAGCAAAATCAGTCTGATAATTCATAACTGGTGGGCTGGGTGGATAACGAGCTGTGATGAAGAGGGTTTTTTTCCAGCTCTGCTAATCTTACTTAATAAAATACCCTCGTGAATCATTCTTAATGAGTCCACTAATGAACCTGCTAAACACCCAAATGCTTAGGGCGATTTTTCTTTAATCAAATCAGGAATTGCGCCAAAAAATAATAAAAATAAAATAAAAGGAAAAAAATAAATAAATATGAACGGCATATTTTTCACTCCCCCCTAAGACGAACTAACATTTTTCCCATTCTGCTATTTTAGCGTACAAGATGATTCAGCATACATTCTATTGATGAAATGGCAGAATGCTTAGTGCTGGAATGCACAACACACATTTGACGTGTCTCAATTTATTCCTGCAATAATAATACAATGTCTTCTTACGAGAGGGGAGAGTCAGCAATGTTCCACTGCGACTAAATAGAAATGGATTGCATTGTCACTGCATGATGTGTCCCAGTGGAATGAAACATGCAGTGCTGTCTATACAGAGGGCTGAGCTCGTACTCCCCTGCCTTATCTGACAAGTACAGCAGGAGGCACAGTGTGTAGCGGTGACATCGCTTGATTTGCAGCTGCAGAGTAAGGTGCTTATAGTGCGATAAGACGCATGTAGCGAAGTGTTACTCATCCAAATCAAGCACAGAGATGGGGGATTGCAACGGAGCTCCTTAAGAAACTTTGCCTGGATTTTAAGGAAGTATATCAATGCTACAGGCAAAGCTGGAATGTGCTGCTCAGCTGTAAGTAGAGTTCATACGCTCCAGCTAATAACAGCTCCTTTGGGATACTGGCTGTGACCAGTTAAGGAGTTTGCCATATACAACAAAAGAATAGAGATTCAAATGCAACTCGCCCTCCCCCGCTACAAAGGGGGGAGAAAAAAAAAAAAAGGTAAAAACGTCAAACTACATATAAAAATAGATACATAAATAATCATATACTGTAAAATAAGTTGTCATGGAAAAGGATTAGGTAAACTGGAAGATTCCATGGCGACCCAGGGTGGAGAAGTGGTGAAGTTACCTAGTTCAGATATTTTGTGATTCAGATGTCAATTTTTCAACAATGTCAAGTTTAGGGAAATAATCCATAGCTGGTTTTACGGTTCACCCGATGTGCTATTTTTGATTGAGTGTCTGATATTTTGCATTGACCAATGAGAATCAGGACTGACAAAATATGAAGCACAGACCGGGGGGTGAGGGGGGGGTCTAGTGTCTCCTTATAAAATGTCTCAGTTTCTAATAACTGGTTATACATCTCCCGCTAATTAAACTACAGCAATGTTTACACTAGCAATCCAGCTAACATTCACGTGATGCGGTCTTTATTCACTAAAGAAGGAGTGGTGGAGAATTAATGGAATTGCAAGTTTTACATCGAATAGCGAAGGTGGGAATTTTTAAAAAAAAATGTAAATTTTTTTTTACCATTTTGTCCTAAAAAGTGGAATGCCTGGTCATTCAGCTCAGTGAAGAGGGAGAAATTACCCGCTCACTGCAGTCAGTCATTCAGCTGCAAAGTCACATTTACAGCGAACAAATTGGAGAAAATGTTGGTCCTCAATTTAACAGCGATACGGGATGACTGACACGGAATATTCATTCTTCTGGTCAATAGAGAAGGAAAGGGGAGTTTTTTCAGCCAGCATTACCACTTACCACCACATTCAGCAGTCCTCCATACGGGCCGATATCAGGCTGCCACAGTCCCAGGATATGGCGGTATTGATGCAGTACTGTGGGGGACAAGACACAATCATATTAGAGCCTGCCAGCCGGTCTCGGCATTTAACACACACACACACAGAGTGCACAGACATCACTAAACTGCAGGACACAAGGAATTATAGTGACTAACCTCTTCATAACAAGAAGAGGTGTGTGTATTAGAGTTAAATGCTGCCTAATATCCTACAGGATACCAATACATACATTATTTTTATTTTTTTAATTTTATTTATTATTTACGCTCTCTCAAAAAACAAGAATTGCACCCAGGAACAGGGGGTTTGCACACAACAGGGTTCACGGATTCTAAACTCCATGCTGCGATTTAGAGTCCAGGGTTTTTATCACTTCTATCAATGTGCCAACATTTTATGGCCAAATGCATTTTAATGTGTTTATAGTAAAAGAACATATTTTCAAAAGATAAACATCTGGACTGCATACCCCTCGTAGATCAGCATGGACCTGCTGGCCACTCCTCCAGCGCAGCTAATATTTTAGTTTCAGGAAGGTATGTACACTTAGAGTAAAATAAAGCACTATAACCACTACAAATCGCTGTAGTGGCAGTGGTGCCAAGAGTGCCCATTTTCAGCCAAATGGGCCAAGACCAGCATTGTAGGGCTCGGCTCAGACGAGGTAACAGATTCCCTGCATAGAAACTTCTGTCGCTTCGACATTAGCAGTGGAGGCGGGTGCAACACCAATGGACCTCAGGTAAGAAGGCAAACCACTTACAATAAGGGGGATGCCAGGGCACTACTGGTACCATACCCACTACAGTGAGCTGATGTGGTTATGGTGATTGTAGCGTTCCTTCAACATAACCTATGATGCACTTTATTTGAGTTACTTCTGTCTGTCAAGACGGCTTTCCTTTCAGTTACGTGAACTGACAGATGAGAACGTACTAGTGAAACCTATGATTTGCTTAGATCGGTGCTTTTTAACCTGTGGGCAAGGACACAAAATTTAATCCCAGTGTTATCGTCAGCATGTTCCCACCATTATATTGACCAGGCCCTGAGCGACTGATCGCATTACATTGCTTTCAAATGTAAATAGTTCATTCAACTACCATGACCACATCTGCTTTTAGACGTGGACATGGTGATAGGAATCTGTATGGGCATTAATCCTGCCTAAAATGCTGCACATACAGAGAAATATGGACTTTTGTAGTTACACACCCAGAACACGTCATCAGAGCTTCTTTATACCCTCCCTACTTTATTTTAGCCCTATCCGCCTCCCTGCAATACTTAGTCCTCTATTTAAAAAACACACACTCTCTCTCACACACACACACACACAATCCCACTATTGTCCATTGTCCATTGAAAAGGTAGGTTAGTGGAGAAACTCTGGAAGTTAGCAGGGAGCTGTGCCATCATGTATGCACGTACTATACAAAATATAGCATGGAACAAAATGCAACAAAATTATTTAGATCAAAAGAAAAAAAATGCTCATGATTTATTCACCTACAGCAACATCATAACGCTACGGTTATAGGGTGAGAATATTTTTCTTTATAAAAAAAGTCACCTGGGATATTCCAACAGAATGGAATAGTTTCCCTTCCGGAGACATTTCCTGTACATGGATCTGTAAGATATATGGAACGCCGTGTGACATACAGCGTAGTTATGTCCTTTTCGGGACAGGGAAATAGAGTCAATAATAAAGTATCTGTTTTTAAATAGGGAATGAGCAGATAGTTTTATCTGCTGTTGGGTTGTAATGTTGTAGAACTAACAAAAGATCATACGGTGCAGGCCAAACGTTCAAAAGTCATAATATAAGTGAGGAATATTAAATAACCAATGAGATACACCCGATTAGTAAGTGCACACATTGGGAATGGGCATTGCTAACTCAAGGACATGGTCTCAGGAATGGATGTCATGACTGGCAGTGCAAGGATTGGCTCAGCAGACAGCTGGCTGCTATGAGTTGGCATTACTATAAATAGTGCACAGTGATAAAACACACAATGTGCCACAGACAGAAACAAACAGAATAAGTTAACAGAGACTGTGCAGAGAGGATATCTTCCAGATGTCAGAGCAAAGCTACCTAGGTTAATCAAAAAATAAAACAAAAAGAATTTAGCCGCTTAGCGGAGAACGACAAAGAATTCACTAGAGAACAGAAAATTTTCAACCAAAATATTTGCATTAGAAAACGAGCTGAAATTGCAAAAATTAGCAGTTATCCACCATTGCCAATATATTACTCAACAGACCTCCAGATACTTAGCTATTTATGTGTAGCCCCATAACAGAGTATCAAACCTACATAAGCAGCCGACTCTGTACATTAGGATGTAGCACACGGAATTTATGTCTAATTTTACATTTTGGGGCAATGTGCTCAAAGTGGAGCAATCAAGGTGAACATTCAATTGGTTTCCATGGTGACTGTACCACGTTATGATTTTTGCCAACAAATTGCTCTTTATAAACAAACCCCAGCAAACCATACCTTGCAGTGATAACATTCATTTAGGGTCTCTTATTTCTTTATTAAAAAAAAAATATTTTTAATTTTCATATAAATTTGCTCGCTTAAGATTTCGAACAGAAGTGTTAATATACAATAACAGAAGGTAACCGTATCATCAGCATTCGACTAGCGAAGGTCCAACATTTTTTATGGTTGCAGTGAGATGACTCTGCCTGTACTTTTACAGTTATATTGTGAGTATTGTAAGGTCCAGTGCCTTGTCCCAATACTGGAGCAGAAGGTCGACCCCATGGGTACTCATAACTACGTAGATAAGATAGTGGGTGCACTTGGTTGTGCTAGGTATGACAGAGGCAATTTTTGTTGTGGAGCCTTCTTCATGGGGAGAATACATGAAGATGGTAAACCAGATGGGTGGGTAGTCTTACCAGTGGATTGGTCTGGGTAATTAGGAGGGGAGAGATAGGTTTGGTAGCTAGAAACCAGCCTTGGTCCCTTGAGAAAGAGAGAGGGTGTTTAGGAAAGAGGGTCTCATCCATTTTGTAGCAACATAGTAAATTCTATTACACATGAGGAATATAAACCTTCTATATATTTTCCTTAGCATTATTGGCATGTTTCCAGCTATGTATCTTCATTATCAACACAGGACATTAATAGGAAGATAGGTGAAAGCCATTGCTCTGGCCTTCATTTTGGGGTTATAATTACACCGAGTTAGTAGCTCACACGCAGAGTTTGCATGTTCATTATTCAGGACAGTTAATATCGTCTAGCAAATCACTGTAGCTGAGATCATGAAAACAACACAGCAAAATGGTTATTAGTTATACATGGCAATTAGTTAATTTCGCTACCAGAGAAGCCAGTAAGTGCTAGGAGGGCAAAGGTTAAGGCAATCTATTCATGCAGCAACCTCCACTCGTATGGCACACAAAGCTGTCACTCTGATACGTACAACAGGTATACACGTCTCTGTATTCCATATGTTCGTAGTCGGGAAGGATTTTCATAAACCGCCCCGACTTCACCCGTGGGTTTATACCTGGACAGACATAGCAAGTTAGGGAAGCACATTCATTTTCAAGTCTGCCGTGTCCCCTGATCAGATATGGGGGTAAAATATAACACACCATGATCATGTAGGTTCTTACCCAGATTATAACCAATTCAATTTTCAGTGAACTTACCATTGGCAGCAAGGATTCAGAGAAACCCATGACAGATCCGTGGGAAAACATTGCAACATATACTTCTTATGTAACTAGGGTAATGGAGTTTAAACATACTATGCAACAGGTTGCAATGCAAATACAAGGCTAATAAAATCAAAGAGGAATTTAGGGATGTGGCTAAAAGGTAGAAAGGGTGGTGCTGTGTGCAAATAGTCTCACATAAGCAGGAATGAAAGCCAGGTTTGTATTGGTTGTAAACCCTCTGTATAACCCAACACAGTACTGACAAATCCATCACAAGTATCCACCAGGGTAGGCTATATTTGGATCTGTAATTAGTATTTCAGTGAAATACAACTCCCATAATCCATCAGCAGATATTACTAAATGGAGGATCATGGGTGATGTAGTTCATAGTTCGACAGATGTAAACACTCCCATACAAACAAGCAACGTTCTGCTTTCACATAGCAACGCTATGTCACTAAACATACACCAATCACAGCCCCCTTGGTCAATGTCTGTGACGCCTTCCAGAGTATGGCAGGTTCACGCACTATATTGTCAGAATACTCTCTTCAGATCCCAAACTGAACCTACTCACGTTTGACGTAGACATCTCTGCATGACACACCGGTGACTTCCAACTTGCGGAGATTTTCACAGACTCCGTACTCTGCAAGGAGAGATTTACAGTTTAGCAAACTTACACAACGTCAGGTGTACTTACGGTCATCTAATGTATATATATAGGACATATATATTTCATCACGCGGTTTATGTATATATCAATTATTGTAGTGCCTTTACTCAGTGATTTAAATAGATCACCAATAATACAGTCTAGCAAATTACAACATAATCTCTAGTCAGTCATTTACAAACAAGGAGAATCACGAACGGAAAAATCTGTAACATTCCTGGGATCTCATTCAAAATAAACTTTGTTTAATAGGGGTGTGCACATTTCATAGAAAATAAATAGCAAGAGAATCTTATGCGAATGTGCTGAAATTATTGCCAGTGAAAATGTTCACTAGACAGGGAATTGTAGAGCGATTTATTAAAAGAAACGCACATTTTATGCTTTAAATCTATTTTATGTGGTCTGCGTGCAGTGTCCCTGTCCCCCTTAGTCCTGCAATGTGAAACACTGCTGTTTTTGAGAAACTGCAATGATTACATCAGGATTGTTTGAACAGAAATTAAGAACAATGTTTTTTTTTTTTGTACAGAACATCAGTAAATAATAATCCGCAGAGCTTGATTCACTGAGCTAAGGGGATGGCATATTTTGTGTACCATGCGTGCAAGCATAAAGAATAAGGGATGTGTGAAACATAACGCACTGGCATTGATGTGGTGCAGACTAGCACAAGAATTAAAACGGAAGAGAAATAGTAGGAGATTAAAAGAGGGACAAACTCCCTCACTGCATGCTCTAGTGAATCCCTAAGATGTAAGGCACATTAAAGAAACACTATAGTATTAGGAATATATGATTAGGTCCCCGGCCCATTTCTGTGGATATAAAATAGATTTTACTTACAGTGGTGGAACTGTGTTCCAGGATTCCCAATGTCAACTCTGTGCATAAAATATGTCTGTTGTCAGCGCACACTCCACGTTAACAACAGACGTGAAAATCTTCCCCTTGCAGGCAGAGTGGATGCAAGGGGAAGCTGGATCTCTCCTCCCACACTCCCTCCATCCGCTACTTGTAAGTTTTTTTTTTGTTTTTTTTTTTTAATTTAAATCCTCCCTCCTGCCAACTTCGCCTACATCCCTTACACTCACTGACCCAAAGTGCGCACATGTGCTGTGTGCCGGCTTCTCTATTCACTTTTCCAGGAAAAAAATAAAAATAAAATATTTTGGAGTTTCTAAACAACGGAAAATAAATTCCCCCCCCGCCAAATAAAAACTGGTGGGGCGCTTCCCCAGGTGCCTCCATTGTTTACTTTCCTTTTCTCCACCGACGCGCTGTCCTCACCGTGGCTGGCCTTGCCTCCATGGCTGAGATCATCAATCTTGATCTCAGCAAATACAATGTGTTCCAACAGGAAAGCATTGGGGGGCTATTGTGCATGTGTGGCAAAACACTGTCCCCAATCAGCATGAGATGTATGGAATCATTGCATCTCTACGGGGAACGTTCAGCGAAAATAGGTGCTACACGCTTTGCAGCAGTGGACTAGGAGCACCTTTGGTGGTCATCTGAGTGATGGTCACTGGAGGGGTTACTAGGCAGCAATGTAAACACTATGTAAAAGCAGTGTTTACAGTGACAACACTGCAGGGACAGGCTATAGACACCAGAGCCTCTACATTAAACTGTACTGGTTCTGGTAATTATAGTGTCCCTTTAAGCATAACAGCGGTAAGTAATCTTAAATCTACACGATGAGCCGGTTCTCAGAGTCTGAAAGTTCAGAGTGATAAGGGAAGAGCTGTAAGAGGATGTTTAGGGTTTATGTCAGTGTATGTTTATTGTTGAGAGGTAGAAAACGGGATCTGTAGAAAAGAATAGCAGGACAGGAAGTATAACTAAACCTAGGAAGTCAGGAGCCAGCACGGTCCGTTTAGACTGGTCATTAGACAGTAAGGTGTAACGAGAGCAGGTAAGCAGTAAAATACAAGGGAACCAATTAGTTTTGTTGGGACTGTGAATGAGAAATGATCATTTGACAATGGTGCTGACCGAAGAGATCAAAGTAGCTCCTGATCTCCTTGAAATGATGACAGAATCCCGACAGTGAGGAGCGCAGAGACCGGAAGATAAATGGAGTGGACTGACAAAGGGAAGATGAGTGCTGGGTGCTTTGGGATGGAGTTGGCAACATTGTAGTATCCCAGCATTAACCATCATCTCATCATCAACCACCACCCGATTGTCCGCCCAGTGAGGAGATGAAATCTCAAACCGTGTGCTATAATGGAGTTAAAGAGCAGACAGCACAGACCATCACAGAGTGGGAAGGCCAATAAAACCAGATATTAACCTTCTGTTGCAGTTTATCTGCAAGAGACCAAGCTGTGGGAGTTCTACGAACTGAAACGGTTAACAGCCTAACAATTGCATTAGATGGTATTGATGTGCCTGTGGTCACTTTTTTAAGTGCACAGAGATTACATTTTTGCTGTTTTCAAATACATGCAATTAAAGGGATTGGTAGAAAACCTGCAGCAGAATGAGCCGTTGTCCCACCAGTGACACTTAATCATGTGCTAGCCTTTAAACAGTGCTCATTAAAATTAACCTAAAGTGATAGCAGTGCCTAGCAATGACAGTGTTACATTTGCATATTGAAATACAGTTAGTTTTTCCTTCCTTTCCGAAGAGCAGATAAAAAAAATAGAGAGAGAGTTCTTATATATTTTAAATTAAATAAAAAAAAAAAAAAAGTGTACTAAGGACAATTGGTGGGGAATATATTAACGTGGGGAGGGGAGAGACCCCAGAACAAAAGCTAGACTGTCAGCCAGGCCACCTCTTGCTCATTCTGACTATTTTTAGATCACGGCTCTGGCTGCTGATTATAAGTCCCACTATCTACTCGAGGAGAGGAGAAAATTATCCCTTCTCATGTGCAGTTGACACAAATATTATAATTATTGCATGCCATTTCCTACGATCTGGTTTTTATCCTCTGTAATTACTCCCGGGGACTCTGAAGGAGGTGGAAAAGATAACGTGACTAGTGCATCCTTCTGATAGAATTCCTTTTCATCAGTGGCGAAAGAAGCTTGAATATTTAACTGGAAAAATTATAATTATTATCTGATAACAAGGAGAGGAATTGAATTAAAGGATAATACATACAGTGTTAATCTAGAGGAATGCTATAAAATGATCACAAGTCTGCTCCAAAAGAACTTGGTACATAATGGAATAAAATCATATTTTGCTATTTTGGTGCAAGCAAAAAAACAAAAACAGTTTAAGTTAGTAAAACACGTGACCAATATTTGCTGTCGCTTTCCTTTAAACATGTTTAAAGGACCACTATAGTGCCAGGAAAACAAACTCGTTTTCCTGGCACTATAGTGTTAATAGGTCCCCCCCCACCCGCCGGGCTCTAGGGGGAGGAAGGGGTTAAAAACGTACCTTTCTTGCCGCACATGCGCATTCAGCCGATGACATCGGAAGGAGGAGGAGAGTCCCCAGCGCCGAGGGAGCCCGGCGCTGGGGACTCTCCTCCTCCTTCCGATGTCATCGGCTGAATGCGCATGTGCGGCAAGAGCCGCACGCGCATTCAGTCAGTCCATAGGAAAACATTCTCAATGCTTTCCTATGGACGCTGGCGTCTTCTCACTGTGAAAATCACAGTGAGAAGTGCGGAAGCGCCTCTAGCGGCTGTCAATGAGACAGCCACTAGAGGCTGGATTAACCCATTTCTAAACATAGCATTAATCCTAGATGGACCTGGCACCCAGACCATTTAATTTAGCTGACGTGGTCTGGGTGCCTATAGTGGTCCTTTAAAGGGACACTCTGTTGCCCCCCACCCCCCTCAAAAAAAGTAGCCATTTGGTAGATATACCCCCAATAAAACTATTAAAAAAATAAACAACAACCATGTATGCATTTCATTATTCATTGGGTTATATCTAAAAATAGTTTGCTAAACCTGCAGATCTTTTGTCTGAAACTTTTGCCAGCCCTCCCCTTCAAACCCCGCCCAGACTTTGTGTGGCTGTCCAATCACAGACTTCTTTGTGCAGCTCAATGAGAACCCTGGCTGTGACGGACAGAGCCTGTATGAAAACAAAATGGTTTCATTTTTAATCAGCTGTAGCTTACTATAGAAAGGTTTTTACTTCCTGCTCTCTGAATTGAACTTTAAGTCACAGACAGGAGGCTCCTGCAGGTAGTAGCAAGCTTTTCACAAAGCAGGGGATAAGATATTCTAAATTAAAAAGAATTTGCAATACAGGAAGTGTGACCATTAGATGACTTTTCACAGGAAGTGTTTAGGAAGGATATGTAGGTCATATGCAAGGAGGTGTGGCTAGGGCTGCATAAAAACAAAGCGATTTAACTTCTAAATGGCAGAGAATTGAGCAGTGAGACTGCATGGGGCATGATCTATACATCAAAACTACTTAATCAAGCTAAATTTTTGTGTGACTATAGTGTCCCTTTAACAAACCAGAAGGAAACAGGATCGGTTGTCTGATAGCTAGGGGTGTAACAAAGTTTATTTATAAAAGTGTCAATTTCTACTGAAATTTGCACTTTTTGTAAAATGAAAAACGTGAACACACTCTTCACACAAAGCACTTCGGCAAGCTAAAGTGAGTTAGTGGTCTGGAGTGTACCCTTAATGCACTAAGAGACCAGGCCTTGGACCAATGCGTGGTAAGAAAGAGTTGCCAAAATAATGATAGAGCTTAATTTGGGACCGTCTGGTAAAATATAGAGTCTTAAGACTCAACAGAATAGCATCTTGCTGCTTTTAAAAGCGAATTAAACTGCATATGGGGGTTTAAAATTGATCAATGCATTTCACAAATGCACAACTTCTATGGACCCGCAGCACATCAATGTGTTATGCTTAATTAAAATAATGTATTACTTTTTCCCACCAAGTAGATATGCCTGCCAAGTTCTTCAGAAGCAAGGACAAGGGAGACGAGCCCAGGACAGCTTAGTGAATAACTCTATAATAAGGCACAAGGCGGAGCGCTGCACAAGTAAACACATACAAAAATTCAATTTACAAGTAAATAAATCCAACCCACTGTAGTTTTTTTGTTTTTAAAGTAAATTTGCAGATGAATGCTGTGCATAATGTTCTAGCTGTAACAATTCATACTATAACATCCATGCCATTCTAAAATGCATATACAACTCTGGCCTTGTATTTCCAGATCGGCACACACTGCACACATACAGGAGAGATCGAGACTAACTGTCAGCACATGTGGTAAGGACACAACATGCTACCACTACACAACAGACCTTGACACACCAGCTGTCCCTTAGTATTATAACCCAGCAGGTCATTGGTAATTTATTAACGACAGCTAAAAAGCCAAATCTGATGTTAAAAATTAAAAATAACCTTGTCGTCCACACCGCAGTCAATAAGACAGTCAAATTACAAGATACAGTTCAGTACACGTTGAGCTATATTGGTTTTAAATGTTAATCTCTGTAAATATCACATATAATAACTGCATTGGATCTTTTAAAAACAGATCGTGTCATCGAGGATTTTTTTGCCCACAAATTGTAAATAGTCCGCTGCTTGCTAGATGGCAAGCCTTCTGCGCTGTCGGAAAAGTCACACAATTTACAAAAAAACTGCACAAAATAAAATGTACAAACGGAAAAATTCTGCAACTTCAGCTGTTTTTGAGTTTGGCTATTTTCGCCAATTCTCCACAATTCTGTGTTTAGTGAGAAGCCTGAAGAATATGTTTTCATGCTAATATTTCCCAGAAATAATGCCCTTCCTTTTATTATGCCCCTGGGGTACCACTCACTGGATGCACACCCGCTTTTGCCCACTTTGGGTCTGTGATGTTCTGTTTATCACTATCTGAGGTTACTGACCATTAATTTCTACTGCTTGGGGTTAGAAGACCCTATAACACAGCTCTGACCTTTTGTATCCACCACCGGTGCCTGTTACTAACTGTAATGGCACCTTGGCGGCACTGTACCCATTGCCTGGTAACCATCTCCTTTCTGCCATTTTCACTGTGGCTTGTGTAAACAACCACTGGCTAATTGCCATTTCTGCCCCAAAGCTGTAAACCCTTGGCAATGCTTTTCTGGTGTACGTTTGTGATACAACGTAACTGCGCTTGTTTTGTTTTTTTCTTTCTACCCTTTAGTTATGCCCCCTGTACCCAGTCATGAACGTACTTATGGTCCTGGAGAGTACATTCAGTATAGCCACCCCTTGGCAACAGTCTTTTGTACCCCAATGGCTGTGATTCCCTGTATCCACACATATCAGCACCCTATTCAATCACCCCTGTGACAGTGACCCCTGGTAGCCACACCCTTTATATCCTGGTGTTAACTAACCACTGCCTGTTCTGCCCCAGAGGACAGTAGCCCTGTAACCCTGCCCTGGGATTGAAGCCTTGCATCTCACCCCGACCCCCTTTCCTAAACAGGGACCCCAAATCCACCTCCCTTTTCCTGGGTCAGAAGCCCCGTACCCCCTTCCATTTTCCTGGGGGTAAGGAGTCCCTGGGGCAGGTTCCCAATACCCGCTCCTCCCTGGGGGCGGTTCCCAATACCCCCCTCCTCCCTGGGGGCAGGTTCCCCAGTACCCTCCTTCCCTGGGCAGGTCCCCCAGTACCCCCCTCCTCCCTGGGGGCAGTTTCCCCCAGTACCCTCCTTCCTGGGGCAGGTTCCCAGCACCCTCCTCCTAGGCAGCCCCCCAGTACCCCTCCTGTGGGGCAGGTTCCCCAGTACCCTTCCTCCCAGGCAGGTTCCCAGTACTTCCTCCTCCCTGGGCAGGTTCCCCAGTAATTCCCTCCCTCCTTTTGGGGCAAGCAGTTTCCCCCAGTACCCCTCTTCCTCCCTGGGCAGGTTCCCAGTACTCTTCCTCCTGGGGTAGGTTCCCAGTACCCCCTCCTCCCTGGGGGCAGGATCCCAGTACCCCCTCCTCCCTGGGGGCAGGATCCCAGTACCCCCTCCTCCCTGGGGGCAGGATCCCAGTACCCCCTCCTCCCTGGGGGCAGGATCCCAGTACCCTCCTCCTCCCTGGGGCAGGTTCCCCAGTACCCCCCTCCTCCCTGGGGGCAGGATCCCAGTACCCCCCTCCTCCCTGGGGGCAGGATCCCAGTACCCCCCCCCTCCCTGGGGCAGGTTCCCAGTTTTGGTGCAGGAGGCCTCACCCTGCTTGCAGCGCCTTTTCCAGATGGTGTCCGTGTTGAGGATCTGGCGGAACTTCCTGCAGACCTGGGCCAGGCTGGGCAGCTCGGGGCCGGGCAGGGAGGAGAAGATCTCCACCAGGATCTCGGGTGGGAGCTGGAGGAGAGTGCGGGGCCCCCGGGGGCCACTGTGAGCCGGCCCGGCCTCGATCCTCACCTCGTCCTCCTCCCCGTCCTCCAGCCCCCTCCGCCGGCAGCCCCCGGACTGGCCCACCCCACACAGCCGGGCACACACCGCCATCCCGGGCCGGGCACCTGGCACTGACAGCCCGGGGAGCCGCCCACCAGCAGGCGGGGAGAGCCGGGGAGCCGCCTACTACAGCACGAGGCTCCACCCTGAGCTAGGCCTCAGCCCGAGGACCCGCCTCCTCCCCTGGGGGACCTTCCCACTACAACCCGGGGCTGCACTAGGCCGCCGCCCGGGAAACAATGAGCGCTCGGGGTCCACTCCCCGGAGTGTGAGTGTCCCCTCAGGTTACAGTATGGAGACAATGGTGAGCTGTGCGGGGTAATAAAAACAGGATGTGAAAATAAACAGATAAATACATATAATATGGTGTAATACTGCCCCTTACTAATCATATAAAATAATAAAAAGAGAGGAATTAAATAATCCAGCTCTCGGTCAGAAAAATCTCTGCCCCGTGTGAGGATCGAACTCACGACCTTCAGATTATGAGACTGACGCGCTACCTACTGCGCTAACGAGGCACTGGGAAGGAGAGCGCTCTCTGTCCTATACAGACCTACATACTACATACAGGAAGCTATAACTGTATATCAATAGACAGTACCTGAAATAAATATATCCCAACTATAATAATCATATCCTATTTATTAGCTACCTCAGCAATTTGTAATTGCCTCATTTATTGTTAAACTTCCCCATTTAATGATGTTAAAAAACGCTGCGGAAAAAGTTATCGCTACATAAATACCAATAATAATAATAATCTTCATGCACGCCTATGAACACTCTCACCTTCATTCATGCACATACACACACACCGTAATACACACACACCGTCTGCATTGTAATTATTATTATTATTGTTATTGGCATTTGTATAGGGCAGGGGTAGGCAACCTTTTAGCAGCACTGTGCCAAAATAAGATAGTGATGTCCCGTAGCATGCCGGTCTTATTATTTAAAATTGAGGTGTGTATATTGCCGTATTCTGCGTGTGTTATTTATACTGCAGTGGCTTTGTATGGTTGTATTTGTGCGTATATGAGCTGTTATAGTGTATGTGTTCATTAGTAGTTTGTGGTATCGTGTATAAGGGGCTGCTTTTGGGGGGCTGCACTAGCAGATATCCACTGGGACTCATAATAGGCCAAAGCCTCTTTGGCTCTAACAGTCTTGAGTGCCAGGCAAAGACACCTCGTGTGCCGTAGGTTGCATACCCCTGGTATAGAGCCTACATTTTCTGCAGTGCCCTCCAATTATACAGAAGGTTATTTAATAACAAGTAACTGACTGATAAAATAATGTTCACACATAAGAGAGTGGCAGAAGGCCCTGCTCTGATAAGCTTACAAAGTAAACAAAACCAGAATGTAGTAGGGCAGACAATGTGTCAGAAGGGGGTGAGAAGGAATGTAGAATAGAAGGAGAGAGAGAGAATGGACTATGGAAACATTGGCGAGGTTGGAAAGGACGGGAGATCTGTTGTAATGAGAAAAGTCATCTAGGAAGATATCCTAAACGTGAATTTTTATTGACTTCTTAAATGACTGGCATAGTCTAATAATCTTGTATCTCTTACACACAAACACACGTTGTTACATATATACACACATTTACACATAAACACACACACATTGTTACACATGCAAAAAAAAAAAAAAAGAGCCTTTTCATTCCTGCAGCCTCTAGTAACCTTTTCCTGGTGTCCAGTGTATCTGCTCTTTCGAGCTTCAATGTTTGGCACATTACCATGGTAACTCATGGCAACACTCTAAACACAAGAGCTCGGGGAAGCCATTATGGTCCGGGCCTGGGTGCTGTGGTGCTGCTGCGTGATCACAGTACCTTTTAGGGTGGAGATATAGAGCAGGGCCGCATTTTCCCATTTATTACTTTAATTTTGAGTCCCCAGTTCTAGCCAGGCACAGAATAGAGGACTCGAGCTAATTAATAAATAACACAGTTTGGAACCAGGCTTTTCGAGGGCCCACTCAAGGCTCTAGCCTGGGTCAGCCTCAATGTAGGATTGACAAAGAAGCAAGGTGTGAGTGTAGCAGTGAGTCAGTAACATAGGTCTTGGTCATTGCAGAATAAAATGGGGCAATGCACTATTTGAAAGGCAGATTAGTAGTGATAATAGTCATGGTGGGAATGATTCGCACATGAATAAGTTGCATTTACGTCTGATCTGGTGAAGTCCGGCAAAATGCAGAGAGAGAGAGAGAGTGTGTGTGTGTATATATATAAATATCTCTGTGAATTTGTATCTGTGCTCATGCCTTTGAATGTGTGCAGGGAGACCTCCCAACATGGTTTAGATAGTGTTGCAGTCACAGAGATTACAGAATGAGACATATATCCGAGTGCCCTCAGTATATAGATGGCACCGAAATCTAGCCAAACTGAGAACATGGCTGAGTTATCAAGAGACGCAGTGTAATCTTGAACAAAAGGGGTTGTCAAGCACACCGAGTAACCCTAGCACACAGAACCTATTCAGATAACTGAGCAGGAGAAATATAGAATAGCAGCATGTTACTGGTCTTTAGAATACAATGGCAATAACAAGGAATCTGTGTGCAAGCAGAACAGGCCGATACAGGTAAGGTCAAGCAGTGAATAAACATAATACAAAGTCAAGTCTGGAAAACCAGAAATCAGGTTAGATTTGATGCCAAGCAGAGTCAGGGAAGCCCAATATCAAAGTAATCAATCACTAACGAACACACCAAGGCATCACAAAACCATGACTGGGCCCAGTTTTATTGAAAGACTGGGGTTTATATACACAGCCAAATGGCTACAGAATGATATCAGTTTGTCTGCCCCGAAACACAATAATACACATGTTCGGGCAGAATAAAGTGCATCCGAATTGCCATATATACAGGGGAGGCATAAATAACTTAATTTAGGCGGTGGGTAACATTGGAGAGGATGTCAGTGTCGGTTTGGGTATGTGCAGGATAAAGGGTCATTGATTCTGGCAGTCGTGACAGCGGAGCAAAAATTGAACCTTGCGGGATATAAATCGAGATGGTAGTAGGCAGAAAGAAGACACCAGAGAGGGACACACTGACTCACAGGATTATTTACTAAAGTGAGAATATAAAGTGAATTCAAAGTAAATTTCAAACTTAAGGCCAGGGTGGTCCAGCTAAAAACATGACTGACAAGGTAACTAGTGCGGGCACTATGCATGGTCTGTACTTGGGAGGGCCAACTGGCACGCTTCCACTCAGCCTTTTGAGCATTGTCAGTAAGTGGCATTACTGGCATGAACCTTTCGGACTGCCCATTCTACATCTCTCAATGTTGGAGGGTATGTATTTGGCACCTGAATTACATCCTTGAGTGTCTCTCACCTCCTCCTTCTGAAATGATCCTCATTTGTGTCTCTCGTTACCCCTTCTTATGTGTCTTTCTACATACATACACACACGCACACACTTGGAATACATTTATAATATCTGTTTAATAAATAGTGCATTTCTTACAATCCTCCTGGAAGCTGGGTTAGCCTTTTCAGCACATCCTATTGTCTTAATTCAAATAAACAAATTCCAGGGCAACAGATACATTTGAATACAATTTTGCCTTTTGTAACATCCAATCCAGCTCTTATTATATAGATGTTAGCATATGATCCTCCTACAGATCATCAGCTTCAGATTGTTCGTCCCGTCAATTTAAATACAATAACCACGTTCAGAGCTTAGTAAGCAACACGTATTGTTCTTATTTGTGGAAACTTTGATATTTAAGGAATGTAGGTGCCAACCCGTATAAGTGTATATTTGGTCATTATTTATGTTCTCCTAAATCCTGTTTAATGAAAAAACTAAATTTTCCCATATCAGATATTTTGCCCTAAATTGTGCAATGTGATTTTGTAATCGCTAATAAGTGAGTAAACCACAGAGGTTCCTAGAAAGTGAGGTTTAAGTTTCACATATGATGTTATTAAGTTTATCCTTACATTTTTGAAGTATCACCCAGGACATACTTGAAAATGAGAGAAATCTCAATGTATCCATTCTGGTAAAATATTTTATAAATAAATATAAATATATAAATCCTGTTCCTTTTTTATATCTTCAGGTTAAGAGTTCACATTATGTTTGCAAGTTATAGTTTACATCTGCCCCAGTAACAATGAATTGCTTTTAGTCTATAAGTTATAAAGCTCTCGGGTATCCCATGTCTTCTATAGAGATTGTGGGAATAACTGTTTATAGCAGTACGTTGTTGCTTTAAATCTGTCTTCACGACTTACCTGGGATTATCATATCCACCATTCCATTTCTTTGTGCTGATGGGCACGTAAGAGCAGTTTGTAAGTTTCAGAAAATGTTGTATACACTGTCACAGGTTATAATGCATTGATTGAAAGGATACATTGGAATAGGATATGGGCTATGCCAGTGATTAACCCATCCATTCTGACAGTCTGGCCTAGAATGGAAAGCTAGATTGTGCGTTTATCTTTAAACACTGCGCTGCCACCATCACTTTAAGTGACGCTTGGAAGAAACTATCTACTGCGGCTGCCTGCGGGTGTCTTAAAGTCAACTTATCGGGGGGGCCACTGGCAATATTCTCTTCTTCAGCAGGGCTGCATTTCCATATTCCCAGACATACAAGCCACAGATCTCTACTCCCAGACAGAGATTAGTATTACTGTTCATCCAACTAAACCTTGCTCCTACTGCAGCTCTGAGAGGAAGGAGGGCAGCCATCTTGGGCACCGGAGATGTAGTTAGGGGGCTAAAAATTGTTCCCAATTTACTACAAAAAACTAAAAGAAACATAAGTTTTATAACTTTGAGAAACTCTTGGGAATTTCTTAGGCTCTATGAGCATATCTCTCAACATTGGCACCAAACATCTTCGACAGCTTCAATGCAATGCAGCATTGCGGCCTACCTGAGGGCCCAGGAGTGAGAGAGTGACCAATTTTTCTGCCCTGTGCCCCTTGTGGATCTACATTGCTTGCCTGAACCCATCCTCCATATGCCCCCAATCCACCATCCCCGTCAAAGAGTGTTATCTCATCTAACTGGCTCTTATATAAGTTGACTCCTGTGGCCTTTCAGCACTAAATCTGCACACTAACGCGCCTTCCATACTGATGACAGCAGGCGACATGGCGGAGGCCACGTAACAGACATAATTTACTGTATGTCATAGTACAACTCTGGAGGCTTTTGACTGAGTTTTTGATTCACTATGTGCCAACTTCTGGCTACTGTTGGAATCAAGGCATGAGACAGACCCCATCAGCCCAACATATTACAGTACACAGCAGCCTTGGGTACCAACCCAGAGAGTGAAGTCAGTCCCTGCACTGACGGAGGGTAACTCGCCGGGGATCCCGGAGCCTAATCTGCTGACCTTTAATGGGAGAGCATCTGGGGAGGTGACCCCCCCTGCACCACCTCCACTTTACTAAAGGCTACGGATGTGTGGCTAGGAAGGTACTGTGGTTGTATCCAGGTGGCTGGAAAGCAGAAACCCCAGGGGGGCACATTCTTTAGAGATGCCCTGGAAACATTTGGGGCCTGAATATGGAACTGGTGGGAATCGGCTAATTACCTACATCGATATGGAACTGTACCACTCTGTCACAGCTTTTAAAGCCGCCCAGACCTTTTGACACGTCATGTGACTATTACATAACCCCGCTCTCCATTATTATTCTAAGTACTACAATTGTAGAATGAGGGATGGCTACTTCTTGTTACTCGCTAATGTTTATTGACAATTTTTTAACATGATTATCATGCATTTACCTCAATAAAAAGAGATTGGCAAAATGAAGCCATCTGGTCACTCATGCACCCATAAATAAGTGTTCCTTTAAATCTTTCAAATAAACTTTTTATTCATCGTTGATGTTTGTTTTTTAGTTACAAGTAACAAGCGCTTTTAAATTAAAACAACACTATTAAGTAAAAGTGACAGATATGTTGGGACAGTTCAGTATGGCAGTATTGAGGTAGCATTATATGGGAGTTTTGGGGCTGTATGGTATGGTAATATTGGGGCTGTATGGTATGGTAGTATGGGGGCAGTATGGTATGGTAATATTGGGGCAGCGTGGTATGGTAGTATGGGGGCAGTATGGTATGGTAATATACTGGGGCTGTATGGTATGGTAGTATTGAGGCAGCATGGTATGGTAATGTTGGGATAGCGAAGTATGGTAGTATTGGGGAAGTATGGTAAGGTAATATTCGGGCAGTATGGTAATGTTGGGGCAGAACATTATGGTAGAATCGGGGCAGCATTGTATGGTAATATTGGGGCAGTATGGTATGGTAATATGGGGGCAGCATGGTATGGTAATATTGGGGCGGTATGGTAATGTTGGGGCAGCACATTATGGTAGTATAAAAGCAGCACAGGACACAGGGTTAAAGTGGGTAGGAGAACTAGTGGTGAGAACAAGTAACAATTTTCGGTCGGGATTGGAAAGTTACTGGACTATTTGTTAGAACTTAGAAGTTGGCTGTAAAGGCTGTGAACAACCCATGTTCCCATTGGAATAAACTTCAGATTATTCAGTCTATCAAATAGCAGGATGGCTAATTACTAAAGGGACTATGGTCGGTAATTCAAAGTGATTTTCAAATTTATGGCTAAAAAGAGCCAAACTGGAAAAACTTTCTGAGCCGCTACTCCAGAAGCATCTGATAAAAACAGGGTGTCTGTCTGAGCATTCTGGAGTTGCAGTCCCAGAACAAATGAACATCTACATGTTGTCTGCAGCAAATCTATTTAACATGTGATTTGATTAATGTATAATGTGATCTCTACTTTGCAGTAATTCTACTTGGAAGCCAGGAAAATAAGCAATTAGTATTTAAACCAGCCGGGGGTCTTTATTTATAATCAAGTTATGAAATACCATTTTCTTTGTTTTCTGAGACAAGAACCTGAGAGTTTCACACCTAAGACAACCACTCAATCAATCATTGTACTACTGTATTTTGATATCTCCCTGGTGACTTTCAATCAATTTGTTGTAATAACAACACAAAGACGGACGGAGCCTTTCTTCAAACCTTTGTATAATTTAATCCAGATTAATGCCACTAATTCAATTCCATTAATCCCCCAGTCAGTCACATAAGGACACATTTTATTTATTATTTTATTATTTAATTTTCTAAAAGGGAGATCTATGGAGAATTGACAATGAAATTGAAACTTTCAAACTAAAGTACCCAAACTGGAAAAATTCTCCAAATCATTTATTTTCCAGATCAGCTATTGTAGTAGAAAATGATGGAGTACCTTTTTATGATTCGCCACAAATTTCTGGTACTTTACCTACCAGTGGAAACTTGCATAGGCTTTCTGTGCTTGTTTAGCTGAAACGGGGCGGCTGCGCCCCCTCCCCACTGCGCCTGAACCCAGCGCCTCACTTTCCTCACCATTCCTACTGCTCTCCCCAAAATGGATATGACCATCACAGTTTCCAGTTATCAGTAGTTTTGCAAAATGCACTATATGTATTATAATATAAACTGAGACAATTAATCCTGCTAAATAAAATTAAAAAAGATAGTTCCTAATGTAGCTTTTGGAACAGTGTTACTTTTGTAGACTGACAATTATTGTCAGATTTTAGTCAACTTTTTTTATATTTAGTCGACTAAAACTAAAACAACTCAGATGACTAAAATATGACTAAAACTAAAATAGCTTTTTAGTCAAAAGACTATGGCTAAAACTAAATTGAAATTTGCTGCCAAAATTAACACTGCTTTGGAGAAGGAGATAGAGGGAGTTAAATAATTTAAAGAGGATTTTTTGTATGGGTCGATGGAGTCTAAATTAAAATCTAACATTGAAGGGTATAGGAAACCTATACAAGGTAAATTGCCATAAGCCGAAGAACAACATATGGGGATGTATGGTGTATCAAATTGGGAGAAATGACATACCAAATGTAGAACATAAAATCTCAATATTTAATATCAGACTGAATGGGCATATATTATTATTATTATTATTATTATTATTGCCATTTATATAGCGCCAACAGATTCCGTAGCGCTATGGGATGATGTATGGAATCTGGGCATCTGGATTTGTGTGACTGATTTGGTCTGAACCAAATTACAAGTGATTGTCTGGAAACATCATGGGGTGCATTTAGTAAATGTTGAATTGAACGCGGAAATGCAAAATCTTGGCAAAACCAGAGGACAATCTCCAAAAAGCCTCTGTTACCAATTCAATCTTGGCTGTTTGGGACTAGATTTAGTAAATCCAATTTTGAATTAATTGCTGGATAAATAAACCCAAGTGTATGGCTTACTACCCCACACAAAACGCTGTAAAATGAATTGTATGGTGGTATATGTTTAATAGGGAGCGGGGTTCTATACTGAAGAAACACGTCATGTCTTGCAGTTTAATAAAAATAACTAAATTTGTATTTAGCAGCTGGAGAGAGACAGGAGACAAAGACCAACGGCAAACCAGCAGCAGCTCAAGCTATTCTCTATCTGCCTTTTGTCTAACTTTCTCAACATCCACAACAACCTTTGTTTTGTGGGAAGGATGCACAATATTTCCTTATTAAAAGTCTGTCTCCTTTAGAATTTTGGATTATCCTATGCTCATGTCTCATCAATATTGCATTTCGTCTCTATTGGAGTGCATTTCTATATGTTTGTTTAGTAGAACACATATAGAAACATAGAATGTGACGGCAGATAAGAACCATTCGGCCCATCTAGTCTGTCCAATATTTCTAAATACTTTCATTAGTCCCTGTCCTTATATTATAGTTAGGATTGCCTTATGCCTATCCCACGCATGCTTAAACTCCTTTACTGTGTTAACCTCTACCACTTCAGCTGGAAGGCTATTCCATGCATCCACTACCCTCTCAGTAAAGTAATACTTCCTGATATTTTTAAACACAAGCCATTTTAATATAGTAAATATTTAAACATACTTATTAGCTGCTATGTTAAATATTACAAATACAATCACATATCATTTTTATTAATAGTGATTTATTAAACGTTTATACAAAGTTACAAACATGCTACATATTATGATAAACTTTTTATTTTTTCTGATCTGCCAATCTTTCCTTTATGTAAAACCTCTTCATGCTAATGCTATCAAATTAACATTCATTAAGGACATAGAGCAAGAGGCCATTCACACAGTGACATCATTGTGCCCATAATATAATCACATTTAAATCATTATCACAAATTAAAAATGCCACTGATGCAATCAGTCACAGGAAACCTATTGTTATGTAATGCTGTGTGTTGTATTGTTAATGCATGCACAGCCAGGGGGAGGGAGGTGCACATTTGTTTATTCACACCTCACTCTCTGCCTGCCACACGCAACATGGCGCCGGGAGCCGCCCACATGACGCAGGGCTGACGTCACAGGCTGTGTGTTTTGTTTTTTTGGAAGGCTGGGGAAGGCTGTGCAGACAGAGCAGCCCTGGGCAGCGAGCTGGGAGGATAGCAGAGCACAGCCTGGTGAAGGAGAAGGATTCACAATTTGGAATTTTTTTAAAAAGGCTCACAGGCAAGATGCCATCAGAGAAGAGTTTCAAGCAGAGGAGGACTCTGGGTAGGTCCCTTTAAATCCCCCCCAAGTTGGGCCTGTGTGTCTATGTGTAGCTTCCAGGGCAGAAGGGGTTAAATCAAGACCTAACTCCTAATGTATCAGCTTGAAGTGGTTATAGTCATGGGCACACTACCATCTAAAGTTCCCCTAGGGATCCCTGTGTTGGCCCCAGGTACTGCCATGGGGGGTGGGGGGGGGTTGTTTATTAGAGTTACAGGCTATAATGATAAAGCAGTTCAATGTCTACTTGTACCTTTTTCACAATTTTATTTAAAAGCTGCATTTCTACATTGATTTGGGGTGTTAGGGCTGAGTATTGTCTTTGCCTAACATATGGGGGGGGAGGGGGTTATTGGCTGCTATGAAGGGGTTAATATACACTACATCACCCTGCCCTTGCCAGCCATAGCTGCAGATTATATGAATGTTCAGGTATATTCACAGTGTGCATTGTCTTTGTATACAGGGTTATGTAACAGGAGCCTGGGCAGGCTGAGTGTTATGGTCCCTTAAGCCCTGGGTAATGGGAAGGCCAGGGGGAGGCACAGAGGCAAGGCACTGCAGTGGGAGCTGGGGGTGGGAGCTGCTACAATTCACTCTAGTGTTACAGTATAGACTGAGAATCCCCTGCTACAGTCATGTCTGGAGCTCAGTACACTAACAGGGCATTGCACTCATTGTATGTATAGAAGCATCCATAAACACATACCATGGCAAGCTCTGTATAGTTTCCTTTGTTTATTTATTTTTCATATCTGCACCACAACAAACACAAGATCATATGACTCCCATGAGTAGATTACTTCTGTTATGTCTGTGTGTATTCTGCAATATGTTAAAATATTGTGATGGCATGATTGTCAGCTGTCTCCTTGTGTCGTAATAATGTTATTCTGAAATGTCTTAACTTGGGGTGAGCAGTGAACGTCAGGAAATCCACTTGTATTGCTACACATGGGTTTAAAGGCCTGAGATTTCTTTTTAGGTCAATCCAAATACTGACTAGCATCTGGGGTGAGATTGAGGTAGATTTAGGGCCAGCTGGTGGCTGGCGAGCCCTGCCAGGCATTGTCTGGATATAAGGTAAGCTCGATAACCAGCTGTAAATCTCTTTGTGTATCCTTGTTTGCAAACAACACAAGGAATATCTGCTATGTGGGGGAACATATTCCCCAGAACACGGCCAGCTACCCAAAGAAAACTCTCCCATCTTCCTCAAATGGGCCAGCAAAAGGTCAGGAGGAACGAAGAGGAGTTCTGTATGATCTGATCAAAATCAATATGGCCTTTACTGTGCTGGGATGCTCACAGGACATCTGTGTTGGGTCACAAAGCCAGGGTCCAAGTGTTGATTTTACACAAAGGACCAATGATCTGATGATCAAACGTACTAAAAGTCATATCTCATTGCTTTGGAAAACATTAGATAGTAACAGTATCGATATCCAGGAGATTATCGAAATCATTTGATATAATCTTTATTATCATTATTCTACATAAGCATATTTTCTCTGGACGTGTAAACCTTTGCATGTTAGGGGAGCAACAGTCTGCTACGTAGAGAAACCTTAAAGACCTGCCTGGGATCTAACAGGTTAAACAAAGCTCGCGTCTGTTGCACTGAACATCAAATGATGTCACCATGCAGTGGCAAATGCAGGATTCGTTTTTATTTAGGCGTGTTTTTTTTTTTTTTAATCCTTTTTTTTTATTTTTATTTTATTTCACTCGCCTCTTACAGGAAAAGTGTTTTTCTCTGATCTTCGTTATTATATACCATTCATTTTCTAGCACAATAGGTGTGTAGGTGGCCAGAACTTTGGGATTTATAAATTATCCAAAAATATAAATTAGCCACTCTCTATGGACGGTATCTAATTCCAAGGTGAAGGCCCCCAATCACCAATATAAAATAGTTTTATTATTCTTGCAATTCTAATTTGTAGGATGTAACCCTTTTTCAAGTACAATAGGCATTATATTCCAATACATTTATAAACTAAACAGTAAAATAGGGGCGATATTTCATAATACATATTCCCCCACTTTACTGCTTTTCCAGACAAGCGATTTTGGACTAAATCTTGCATTTTATTTGGTCAACTTACTGTTTAGCTCAGGGGTCCTCAAACTCCGGCCCCCCAGATGTTGCCGAACTACAACTCCCATGATTCTTTGAATTACATAGCCAGAGAATCATGGGAGTTGGAGTTCAGCAACATCTGGGGGGCCGGAGTCTGAGGACCCCTGGTTTAGTTTATCAACCTCCAGATTACAGGTAAATAAAATCTAGAGGTACAAAAAATGTACATATATTGGGGAGTTGATCTATAATAGTGTGAATGTGCTCAATTTTTAAATATGTATTTAATTTTACTTCGAAGAACCATAATGTGTCCGTTTTTTATTTTCCTATGGCTCCCAAGTCCTTGTTATTTTGGCAGATTGTCAAGAAGCAGGGAATATGATGTATCTATTGTAGAAGAGGGAATAATCATTTATTGTTTTGATCTTGGAAAAACAAAGGACGTCTTGTTGGGAACATGTCGTACAATTAGTCCGATCCAGTCTTTATGACACAGAATCTATCAATGCGTCTAATGGTAGCTTATTACTTAATGACAGGTTAGAATGCGATGGTATGTAGGCATTATGCAAGGTATATCTCATGCTGATGATAAGATAGGTATTCTGAGTCATGAAAACATTTGAAATCATAGACTTTTCTAACCGTGGCCTGTCTGCCTGGCCAGCTGTCATACCACGTGACTGCTGTGCTGTGTCACTTCCTTCATTAGAAGTATTCTGCATTTTTATTAAATGTTTCCTGTGGCGATTTATTAATGTGGATTTCTTAGAATGCATGTGTATACCTGCAGACTGACTACAGGATCAGCATCACTGAGTATGGTATTATGGGAAGAGAGCTATTAGACAGAATGCATAAACCATGAAGAATAAACATTAACAGGTTCATGCCGTGACAGTAGGAGCCAGAGCACTGCGAGGAGTGCAGAGGTTAATGTCATCTGTGTTCATCCTATTCCGCATGTGGGCCACATCAGACAGTCCAGCTCCCAGTCAGGTGGGCCAAAGCAGATAGACTTCCCCAACAGCTCAATATCATGCACATTCTGTAATGGAACGTGCTGCAGAAGGTCAGACATTCCCCGTGGCTATCGCTCAAGGCCCTTAAACCCTTAATGACACAACTTCTGGAATAAAAAGGGAATCATGGTGGAATATTTCCGTCATGTGTCCTTAAGGGGGCTAGTGCCCAATGTCCATAGATTATCTTTCTTCAGGAGGCAAAATCTTGAGCCTGCAGGGTCCCCAAAACTCGATTGCCCCTGAGGGTTCGTGGAAGGCTGCCTTGGTGTTTCTCCAGGTGGGCCCCCAGCCCAGGAGAGGAACGGGAAGCTAGGGCAGCAGTTTGTGTTGCTGGAGTAGCTGGAGGGGTGAGTGGCCAATGAGCGCACTGTCTAGGAAATGGACAGTGAGTAGTGGTGGTGTGATGCAGCGATTCCGCTGTTGTGGCTGGGAAACGAGGGTTGCTTTTGATGCGGTGCTAGAACGCCTGACAGATCACTTCAAATCTTGCCTTAAGTTGCTCCCTCCACTCTTGGTCTCCAGGACCTGTTCGGTCATGTCGGTTTGGAGGCACGGTGGCCATCTTGGCTCCACCACACGGTTGTCGATGCAGTTAAGCTCTGCTCTGTGCCATTAGAGACTTGTGCCACCCCAGTGGGGACCGGGATGTCCCCCATCAGTTCAAGGTGGAGGTAGCGGGGCTACCACAAGCTATATTGAGGTGCGGTCACCGGCTCTGGAGATCGGCTGCTACTCCCAGCCACCGGGCCAGCACCCTCAGTAGGCCGCAGAGTCCGACGTGATGGAGGCTGTGCAAAGCACAGCGATTTGGGGGTTTGTCAAATTAGCTTGTGGAGATGTGTCTGCTGCTATCCCCGGGCTTCATTTAGCAAGATTTTGGGTTGCAATAGCTTAAATTCGGCCCAAGTCAGCAGGAGCTAACGAGAGGCACGTCCGTCCATCTTGGGTGTCAGGCCCCTCCCCCCTAAATTTCATATTTTGATATGTAACTTAGCACTTTTGGATGCTAATATAATTTTTTTTTGCAAATGCTGAACTGTTCAAACTCAGAATAGTATATTTGTTACAGTTCCCCGAACTAAACTCTGACTTACCTATAGTGAATACCTAAATTGCACGTACTGCCATTTTTAAATTGCTATCATGGGATATTTATTATTAGTAGCAGTATTATTATTATTATTATTATGATGATATTTATAGAGCACCGTCAAATTCCGCAGCGCTATACAATGGGTGGACGAACAGACATGTAGTTGTAACCAGACAAGTTGGACACACAGGAACAGAGGGGTTGTTGGCCCTGCTCAATGAGCTTACATGCTAGAGGGAGTGGGGTAAAATGACACAAAAAGGTAAGGATAGTATTAGACTAATGACAGTTGCCGAAGAGGAATCAGTCAGGAGCTATTAACAGTTTAATTGATACGCTTTTATGAAGAAGTGGGTTTTTAACGATTTTTTGAAGGAGTGGAGACTGGGTGAGCATCTAACGGAGGAGGGAAGGAGTTCCACAGGAACGGTGCAGCCCTTGAGAAATCTTGAAGGCGAGCATCAGAGGTGGGAGTACGGACAGAAGATAGACGTAAGTCTTCAGCAGATCGTAAGGGCCTAGACGGGACATACTTGTGTGTATAAGGGAGGATAGATAGGTGGGAGCAGCATTATGTAGAGATTTGAAAGCAAATAAAGATATATTTAAACAAATAGATATAAGGAAGGGATTTAGACACAAACTAGTCTCCAAGGTATGCAATAGTTATTCTGGCTGCGTGATATTTGAGTCCCAAAGCTAGTCTCAATTTCATAGCACTAGTAAGCTGAGACAGATGGCTGAACCCATGGGGGTGTCTGTGTCTACAGGGGAACATTGAATAGGCAGGTCCTATCTCTCTGTAGAATTCCTCGAGCTCCCGGAACATGTTTGCGGTCATTGGTAAAGCAGAACAATGTATCCAAAGGAGAAGCGAAACTATTAATTAATTTTTGATCTGAAACTCATCTCTGTGTTTTTGTATTAAACCAATGTCGGTTTCTTTTCCTCAATTGTGAGAATATTGGCAAGTCTATAGAAAGCTGCAAGTGATGTATGTTTACAATAGAAAGGGGAAAAAAAATAGAATGATGGCTACAGTATTACAATCTTACACTAGTTTTACGCTCTGCCACTGGGAATAAACATATCTCACTTCCCGATGTGGAATGCATGATAAAAATAAATGTGATGCCGCTTGATGTAGTAAACACTAATGATATAATCAGTGTGTGGATATAGTCCTGTTTCCAGTAGTGCGGGTTTTAGACTTGCGCACAAATCCTGTTCAGCTTTGTGGAATGAATCAAATGCCGGTTAATCACAGATTGAATCGTTTGACCAACAATTAACAGGCATTCAATTCGCTCAGTGCCGTTGAATGGGATTTGGTTGCTAATAGATTACTGTGGGCGCATCTCTTGGTACAATCGATCTACCCAGTAACTGTGTAATCCTTGCCCCACTCCCCTCCCACAATTTAGCCTAAAATTTGAAAAACTAGAATTCGAAGTGAAACGTTCTGCGGCGGAGGGGATATTTCTGATTGGTATTTTCCCAACTCCCAGGACTGTGCTTCTCATGATCTGTAAATTTGTCACAGGTTTGTACATTATATCACATGTCTCCCTTCATACATGGACTTCAGTCTTGGCGGTATCTTCTTTCCTTCTGAGTGAGCTTGTGCTTCTTAGCTTGTTCTGTTGGTCTTTCAAATGTAGTCTTTGGAACGAGGTTCATCATTGATCCTCACCTGAATAGAAACCGCTAAAACCTTTCCTTTATCATTTTGTAGATTTATAGACCTGGCTATGTTTCTGGAGAACCTAAATAACTGCTCCTCTGAACAGGTCCTAAAGATCTGACAGAGCCCCAGCTGTAGACTAGATGATGATCATCTTAAGGAGAAAGCACAGGTCCCAATGGGCAGGTTTTTGAAGATGAGAACACTATCCCAAGTCGCATCCGCTCTGGCTGTGTGTGTCTGCTAAGTGGAGCTAATTATCATTCTGGTTATAGCATGTCTGTATCCGTTCTTCCATTAGATCTGCATCACGGAGAAAATTGCTCTCTAATAGCCTTATAAATGCTCTGGCCCTTTGAGACATCTTCCACTGTAATAGAAAGTGGAATAGAATATAAAGAATAGAAGGGAAATGAAATAGAAAGTGCTTATCTTCATTAGAATTGGTCACAGGCTGCACAATTTTATTATTGTACTTAAACTCACCGATATATACGCGGGAGCCAGGTACAGAAGCTCATATATCCATCTGGTTGTACAGAGAAAAAATGGAACACTGAAAATCTGTATGAATTGTGCACCACATATCTATTACATTTAATAAAATTGCCACTAATATAATTGTATAGTGCCTGTGGGGTTCATCTAGGCTTCGTTTAAAACACACTAGTGTACTGTTAAGGTTTCAGTCCCATATGGTGTGCCCTGCTGCACAATTTAACACACGTTTTTGTGTTTGTGTTTCAGAAGACTGCTCTAAATGAAAGAGTTTCCTCCTCACAGATATGGAGAGAGAATGTTTTTGTGATTTATTTATTTTACTGGATTGTGAACTTTAAACAGAGCGATTAGTGTTAGCTCTTGAATCACTCTCTTTGTTCCTTGTGGTTTTGATATACAAAACAAACCCCAACAAAACAAAAAGTAAAAAAAAGTTGTGTCCATGTTTGTGATATTTAACCCTTTGACTGCTGCAGATGTGTCTAGCATCTCTTTATTCAAAGGGTTAAATGTTTAATTCCATGTATACATTCTGTTGGTGGTAGATGTACTGGTTGTTACAGATCTATTGGTCACAGGCGACAGATGTTTCATTGTGTCACATGGCAGGTACGTTGAGGGCACCAGGTGTACATAGATAACAGTGCCGTCCTATTGTCTGGTTTACGTGAGACAGATTACCTGGCAGCCATCATTGTGTTATGGCTAAACTCAGCCCACAGGCTTCCATGGCAGCTGGAGAGACCTGCAAATGGTCACCCATAGTTTATTTCCACATTGGGGTTTATTTTTAAAGAGTGTGTTTACAAAGAACTTAAAATGACAGTGAAATTTTTTTATAAAAAAATTTAAAAAACTTTCAATCTCCTGAGACAGCAGTTTGTGCACACCCTTCACAATTTAGTAAATACCCCCCATACGGGATTAATGTTGTTAATTGTAAAGTATGATGGAATAGCTAGCTGAATCTAGTCTGAGTCCTGGCCTCTGTATTGCAATGGGGGAGAGGTATGGGCAGACGAGATGCCGACAAAGGTGTACAGGTCTCACTGGGTCTCGTTATAATAAGACACTGAACGCATTTTTTATATGGTAATTATGTTAGGTCTCTGGAATTGGTCCTTTTTATGTGAACATTTTCAATAAATTAAACTGCAAGAGGAATCAGACACCGATCTCTGTGAGTGTTATAGAAATATTTTATATATCGGTTCTCCCAGAGAGCATGATCATGTATTTGATCTTTTTCTTCCATAAACTGTATTTGGTGTTTTGTACAATTTCCCTCTGTGGACGTTGAAGCATGGGGCTAGTTAATTAGCCCTACTGGCATTACTGATGGCTGATGATCAGATTAGTGTTCAGGTCTCTGGTTTATTTAGCCCCAGTAACATGTCCAATGTTTTGGGAGGTGCTCCTGGTCCGTCCCAATGACATTTCAAGGATTGGCGTATAATTATGAGTTGCTGTAAATTTATCTTGGCTTTTGTCTCTTTCTTTCCTCAGAGCAAAGAGTGGAAGATGTTCGACTCATCCGGGAACAGCATCCAACCAAAATTCCGGTAAGACCCCATGATCAATGTCAGCGTATCTCCATATTAGAGCAGGGTTATAGGGAGATGGGGAAAATATTATGATCTGATCATGTGAGGTGTGAATTCGTAATCTAGATTTTTCTCTTGCTGGTCTGTTCAAGGCAAAAAATAAATTATATTAATCTGCATATTCTAGAAACCACCTGGGTGAGGATAAAAATCTGTTAATAGTGGGGGGAGGGAGGGGGGAAATGATCAAAAAAACATCAAAACCGCATAAATAATCGTAATCTAACATACAGGTACCTAGAATGTCCCTGTACAACATGTGAAGGAGACACACATATAACCCTCTCAACAAAAAAAAAAAAGCAATTGGTTGATGAGCAGAGAAGAGGGATCACATAACATCCTGTGAGCTTAAACTGTAACATTCTTTACATGAACCAAACTTTATCATTCCCCCCCCCCCACTATTTCTAAACTGCAGCTGTCATTCTGGCTGATCAGATTTCATTATAAAGCCAGGTTTATGTACTAAAGTTAGTTTCCCATTGTACAGCGCTACAGAATTTGCTGGCGCTATATAAATAGTATATTTAAAAGTTAATATTTCAAATAGCCAGATTGGAAAAAATTCTATAAGTCAGTCGTCTCCCTTTGATTACTCTGGCCTTCAATTTGAAATTAACTTTGCTTTCTCTCGTTAGTAAATAACCCTGAGAGTATTTCCTTTGCTACGTTTTCTTTTCTCCATATTCTCCGGTGCGTGCTAGATGTCCCATATGGGGGTTAGGGTTTGAAATAAATATGAGACATGGCCACCTTTTATCCCGAATAAAATGGCGCCAGTATATCCGCTTACCACAGCGTGTAGTTATATGGATTATGGAAACAAAAGGAGTGAAATCTGTTCAGGAGACAGGAGTGGATTTTGAACCGGTTGACCCAGTGCGCTGCTCATACCAGACTTGGCATTAATGTGTCCATTTTATACAGGGTGTTGGTATATTGAATAGAAACAGAGCATCATGGGTAATGTGAGTGTGAATTAAATGGGAGTTGGTGTTGCCTGTTACTTGACTCTGGGATTACAGGTTGCAATTTCGAAGTCTCTACAAGTGGTCATACAGCGCTACGTAGTAAGCTGACGCTTTATCAATAAGAGCAGAAATGTGCTGTAGTTTAAGGGGGTTATAAAAGTTTTGGCTAAAAGTTGTTTTGGTGTCTATAGTGTCCCTTTATATCCACCTCAACCTTACTGTCAGCCACAAGAGGCGCTTCCACTGCACTGAGAGTAAAACTCGGCCAAGTGATGCGGACGCCTCTAATACAATACTATTCAATGGGAAGGCTTGAATGTAAGCGACACTTGCTGTGCATTAGGTCCCCAGAGCACCTAGGACCATCATGACAAGGCCTCCTCCATGATGTTGCAAGAGGTGAGCAGGAGGGGGTTTGTATTCCTAATGCTATAGCGTTCCTTTAACCACCATTCTCCAGCTTTTGCTGTTTTGGGGTTTGTACCTCCTACAATATACTCAGTTCCTGGTTTGGTAAATAAACATCCATTTGACTAGCAAGCAACCTGTGCAGCAGTTTGAGGTTGTGTCCCTGCAATGCTCTCTCACTAATGCAGATCATGTTACACAGATCCTATTACACAGGTCTACAGCCAGATGGCTGCTAAATGCACGGATAGTCAGATGACTGCTGCGTACAACTTCAGGCACTTTATTTTCTTGCTGGGCAGTAACTGGCCTTTTCCAAGATTACGTCACTGCAGTATAGGCATACAGATCGCACCATAACGGATCATTCAGGAGAGAATTTACAGCTGTAAAACATTGAACCTTAACTTACCTCGATTTCTGTCCCTTTTAAACTGTATTAAAGGCAATGACTATTGCGGATAAAGTGAAATGCACGGGAGGGGGTCCTTACACAGCTTTCTAGGTTTGAGAGATTGTCATGGTTTTCCTTAAATTGCTAACTCTTCTCTTGCTCTTTTGTCCTACAGGTTATTATTGAAAGGTATAAGGGGGAGAAGCAGCTTCCTGTGTTAGACAAAACGAAATTCCTTGTGCCAGATCACGTTAACATGAGTGAATTGATTAAAATAATCCGGTAAGTGAAGCTGGGCACTCCCTACGTGGTTCCGGTTGATAGAGCTATATAACAAATGAATCAGCCCAATATATCTATTGTACAGCGCTATGGAATCTGATGGCGCTATATAAATAATAAAATATTATGCAGAGAGAAAAATCAAGGTTTAGTTACTAGAGTGTGACTTGTCAACAATTCAAGGGGGATTTCACATTTTAGATCAAAATGGCTGAATTGAAACAGATGTCTGGGAGAATTTCCCCATTTTGAATATTGTGAAATGTTAAATTCCTGTAGCAGATGATACAATGTTGCTTTGTTCATAATTTCATATGCATGAAGTAACATCACCTTCTGCAGCCTTACACGGTTTAGTTGATCTACAAGCACCATAAAAAGTCTGAAACTATTTTAATGCCCATCTCTATGGAAGCTGGGTGAAGAAATGCTACAATTAAAGGGACACTCCAGACTCCTAAAGCTATTTAGCACTGAAATGCGTTGCGTGCGAAGAGAGATTTTGTTCCTGGAGCTAAACTCAAGAGGCAGCAATTGCCAAAATGTAATGCACAATTTAATTTGGGGTATATCTACTAAGTAGTGTTTAAGCTAGTGTAGTGTCTCTTTAAATTCATTATCTCTCAACTTGGGAATGTAGTGTATATAACTATTTTAAACAATGATTTAAAGGGACACAAAGCAATATGATCAATGCACTTGTTTGTTTAACAATTTTCAAGATGCTTGGTAAAATACCGAGGGTTTCCTGGACGCTATCAGTGGGATTCAACCTTGCTGAATCATTGGAAACGTATTTTTCTACAAACTGACACTATCAACCAAAACGTGTCAATTTGTATTTCTCTATCTAGTTAAAAAACAAAACACACAAACATTCAACTGTCCAGAAATTAATATTTTAACATTTAGCTCAACAGGGTGAGGAGGCTTTTTTTTTTTTTTTGGTTTAAGAGCTTTGGTAATCGTTTGTTTCTGTTACAGGAGACGCCTACAGCTAAATGCCAACCAGGCTTTCTTCCTTTTGGTAAATGGCCATAGCATGGTGAGTGTGTCTACACCTATCTGCGAAGTTTACGGTGTAGAAAAGGATGACGACGGCTTCCTGTACATGGTATACGCATCTCAGGAGACTTTTGGGATGAATTCTGCATAAAATACACAACAGAATCAGCTACTATTATTTGATTTTTTTTTCTGGGGGACAATTATTATTAAAAAAAGCATTTCCTTCCCAGTATATGCTACCCTTTAAGTTATATAATTTTAATAATTCTAACCTTTAAGTTTTTAAACTTTTGTTCCACATTAAAATATGAACCGAAAAGTTTAATTCAGGTTCGTTGTGTCAACGTTGGATTTTATTCTCCCCCTCCAAGTACAATCTGTTACTTCCAACAAAAACTGTGGGTTTTAAACGGTATGTAACAGGGTTACTCACTAAAGTGAGAATTTTCGGAAATTTTAAGTGAATATATAAAGCCAAAATCGCCAAAAAAGTCTCCCAGGCAGCTTGGCTTCTGGCTTGGTAAATAACGATGTATGTATGAACTTTTCAGATTCCTTTTTTGCAAATGTTTTACCTAATTTGTGTGTACCCTTATATAGTGGCACCAGTACCATCACAGCTAGTTCCCTATGGCTGTCATACTATTGCTCTTTCAATAGTTGGGTAGCTTAGCATTTAAGATGTACATTAGTAGTTTAAATTCAATGCAGACATCATTTAACTACCCTGAGCCATGTTCCAAATGTTGCTCCAATTAGATTTATTGTAGGCTGCTTAACGCTAGGTTTGAATTAAGTGCTGAATATATATTTTTCCCTAATTTCGTACCAAAATGTAAAGCGCTGTTCGAGACATATACCATGCAGGAGCCTTCTAAAGCATGCAGAGGGCTAAAAGGTTGCCAATTCTAAATTTTATAGGTATAAGACATTAAAACATGCTTTTTATGCATCAGAAAGCTTGGTTTTTGAGACATTGAAATATACTGATATCAGACCATTCTGTGCTAAGATAATACCTAGAATTGTTATCCAAAATGGCAATGAATTATTTATATTACTCTAAAGGTTCTGCCAAATGTAATCAGTCCACATTGTAATTATGTACATTATCCTGAGTGTAAGTGTTAATGGATTAATATCAAAAATATTGCAAATGAAAACTCAAGCCATCTTAACATTTACCACTACTGTGGCAAGCTGACACGTTTAAGAAATACATGTATTCATCCTAATATAGACTTAGAAAAGAGTTTATCCTTTAAGTGTTTAAATACGCAAATTTTTTAGTTTTTCAAGGTATGACAACTATGTAGAGTGAGTGGGTTAGAAAGAAATATTAAAAAAGCAATATTCCTGCATTTCAATATTCTGCACAGAGCATTATTTACTTAAAATAATATTTTGCACATATTTTGCTTTGTTACTTCCATTTTTAATCTTAACTATTTTAAACACATTTGCATTGAGTGTCAGAGGGGTGAGTTTAAAGGGTATTTAAATTGGATGCTGCCCCCACCCCACCAATACTCAGTGACGTTCAAGTTTTTTTGTTTAACAACAAATCTTTGTTTTAATTCATCATAAGATGTTGTTGCCTTTTTGTTTTGTCCTTTCAATGGTTTTCTTTCCTGTAAAAATAAAGATTTTTTTTAATATAAGTTGCATATTGTGGCATTTTAATGTTCAATTTTACACTTTTCTTTAATAGAGCAATGCCAACTATGCTCTCTGTACTTTAAGAGAAAAAAAAACAGTAAACTTGTTTTTATTACTAAACAGAACTACACTGTCCTGATGTCCACTAGTTGGTGGCCTTGAAGAGTTACTATTAGCTGTGTGACAGTTGAGGTTCTGAGCCAATATGAAGCAAGCTCATTACATAAGAGTTCCTAGCAATGAGGTCTCAAAACATTGTGTTTCAGAGTCGCAACGGACTGCTTTCTGGTATCTTTGGATCCCTTTTAAACTCCAATTCCAATGGATCAGAGTTTGTCAGGTCTGAATAACTTTGCAATATTGATGCAGTTAGTAGTGATCCTGATCTCTGCATGCCATGTTTTCCTATAACAATTTTCCCAAATTCCTCAAACATACACGGATTACGCGCTCAACTCAGCCAATGAGATCAGGTGGAGCTGGCTGCTGAGATCACTCCATCCCACAGCCAATTACTGTCCTATTTGTCCCCTTTCCCTTTAGCACAGCTTTGAAATACTATACAGTTAATGAGTTAGTGATGAGAATACAGCATGAAAAAGAGGCCTAAACTTTAAAATCAAATGTATTAATTTAATAGTCTTTCCAAGAAAAACCAAAAGGATATAAAACTATTTGTAGGGCAGTTCACTGCTGCATCACAAGCATTGCATTAACATTTAATTTTTCACAAGGCTACACACATTGTATCAGGCTCATATCCTCCATACACTGGCTCTATAAATATGGGAAAACACGGCTTGTGCTAGGCCTAGTTAACTAATTAACAATCGTTGTATTGGACTATAGGTTCAATTATAATCAGTAAAATTGAAGACAAATATTTAACTCACCTCATTTCCAGAGCTGAGACACCTCCATTGCAGCCTCCATGGGCGACTTCACTGGTCCTTTAAAATAACCAAACTTGTAAAATACAAGTGTCAACAATATGGACTTCCAGAACACGTGCCTAGTAAAGACCAGCTATAACTTTGCTGTCTTGGCCAAAAACCTGGAGATTTTATTCCAAGCCTATGCTGCCACGTCAGCAACACAGTTCATGGCTCCTTGATAAAGGCTGTCCTGCAACAGAGTGTAAAGCCTTGTTGTATGGGGTTATTTACTAAACAGGGAATTGTGGAAAATTAACCAGAACACTTCAAATTGGAAAAATCCCACCAACTCAGTTCTTCCACCTTTGCTATTTTAGCCAAAACAATGCAGTTCCTTTAGTGAGACAAGATACAATACTTAAAGTTCTGCTAAAGTCCAGCCCACTAATACACTCAAAGTTGTGTTCTGCTCCTATATCCCAATAATTATACTCTAAAGAAAGATGATCTCTTATCTTGCCTTGTGTTTAACCCCTTAAGGACACATGACGTGTGTGACCTGTCATGATTCCCTTTTATTCCAGAAGTTTGGTCCTTAAGGGGTTAAAGTGCATGTGTCATCCACGAATAATACGTGGATTTCATATTCCGCCCCCAGTACATACAGTTCAATCCATACAAATTATAATCACATACATATCTAGATTTGCACTTAAACGTTCTTCTAGTAATGCCAAAAAAAAAAACCAACACACACCAACCTTTAACATTAGATAAAATTCACTCTATTTTTGCTATTCATTTACTAGTGGTTTATAGGCTCTTATAGACAAACAATGCCACCAAATCAAATGTCAGTTAAGTTCCTTTATTTTTTAATTTTTTTTTTTATAAACAATATTTTATCTTCAGTACATTAAATTTACTTCGATAAAAACGTCATTCTAAAAATTTACATTTTACCTTAAAGTATAATAAAACATTAAAAAAATCCAATAACAGAATATTTGACATTTACAATTCAAAGTCAAATGAGCTGATTATTAAATATTTACAGAGCTAATATATATAAAGTTACATGCACTTTTTGTAATACTGTAATTGAATGAACTCGCTTTAAGTAAAATGGCTCAAAATGAAAGTAAAAAGATACATACCCATGAGAAACAATGTGCTGTCTGCATGCTTACTGTATGAGAGAAAGGCATGTGCTTAGATCCAAACAGAATGCAAGAAGGAAGCAAACAAACCAGTTAAATAATTAACGGGATTGAGTGCGGACAAAAACACTTGTGAGAATAAAAGAAATTTTTTAAATCTCCTGCGCTGCATCAATGTTAACCCATTTACAATCAAATAAATGGGAATCTCCACTGTGAACCAGTTATAAACAGAACCGGATACCTTCTGCTGAATATGTGTAACTCACATTTCAAACAAGATTTTTATTCCAACCTACTAACAGTAAGTTTATACTTGTGATTCACTTACACACACATCCCACGTGTGTTTGAAGATCCCTATTTTGATAAATTTATTTTGAGGATTTAAAGATGGCGACCCCCATGAAACAGTAAGCCAGGAGAGAAACTGGATTAATGTATCAGATCAATGCCTTACAATATGATGCAGGGGCTATAACAAGCTAGCTTTTTTTTTTTTTTACATAATAAAATTTGTTTTCTTTTAAAATTATCTTTACAATTCAGTGGGATCCCAGATTATGAGCCCAATATACGATATTTTAGGAATCTGGCAAATCTTAATGCATGTGAAACAGGCACATCTGACTCAAAGTCATTATGCTCCAGGATCATCTGTAAAGTTGATTTTTATGACACGTCCTGTATTTATTTTCAGACGGCAGTTGTGATGTCAAAGGATAGCTTTATGAAAAATAACAGAGCTATTTTCACAAAAGTGGATCACAGAATAATCTTATGCTGAATGTAAAGAATGTGATCCAAAGCCATTTTCATGGCAAACTACAGTTACAACATATACCAAATTTGCCAAAGGCAAAGTACTGCACATCCAGCTGGCTTTGGAATAATACGGTCCCTTTACATAAAATGTTCACCAATATCTTGCACTAAAGTTGACAGACTTCTCATTTTTAATTTATAACTGGAATGGAGATAGCTCCAATGGGGGAAGCATGGAACAGGTCAATAAACTAGTCTTCTCAACCCAATCAACAATGTATACTTTGCTTTTTGTTTCTGCAATAGTGCCGCCTCCCTTCTTTTCTATTTTACAACCGTTTAGAGAGAAAAGATAATACATTTCCTCTTGAGTTGAAAAAATACTTAAGTTAATATTTGTATTCTAAACATTCTCATCATAGATTAATAAGTTAACTTTTGCCTTGTGCTATCTACATGGGATGTTCACCCTCAGCTGGAATGTCCTGAGTTAAAGGACATCAAAATAAAAGCAGCTATAGTTTTAGTAGTTTGCCATGAGTTGTACTGGTCTGAGAAACATCTTTCAGTGTAATACTGGAGCTAAATTAGCCTGGGTTTCTTCGCAAATGTAGACCCAGGCTAGTTGAATGGACAATGAATTTAACCTGAGCTCCTAACCTCTATTTGCCGTGTCGACGTCTAAACGCACAGCAGTCAATGTTAACTCTAAATGGGAAAAGCTGCAGGTGGATATCATTGACGAGTTCACAAAGCGCACTCCAACTAGCAGGAAAGTTGCGTTTGGATGTGTATTAGCCAATCAATAACTCTACTTTGGTGAACATCGACCCCTAGCAAATCTCAGTCAATGTCATGTTCGGAAAGCAGCCAAAACATTTACATTATTCTGAGATTATAGCTACATTTACAATAGGGCAACACCTTGAAGGTTAGAAGACATCTTTAAGTTGAGAAAGCACAATTTATTTTTTTTTGACTTTGAAGACCCATATAAAGCAAGAGAAAGGTTAAAATAAAAAGGTGCATACAAATTTCTTTAAAATATCTTATTTAGAAATAGTGCAGCTTGGCAACACCATCACTTAAAAAAAAAAAAAGTTTCAATATCACTGATTGAATCTGTAACAGAAATAACTGCTAAAGAAATGGCATTTCCCCAAATAATGTAGTGGAACCATTGATATAATTGTTTTTAGGCAGCATGAAATAAACCATTAAAAACACTATAACCAGTAGGGTTTACTGTATCCTCCAAATCCGCTTTTTTGTGCACTGGTTAAATCAAACATATAAATGGGACACAAACTGTTAATATTTTTTAACTTTAAATATAGATACAATAATATTCCTATGTAATTAAATACAGTTCAAGTTTAAAAAATAAAAACAAAATGTTTGGCTTTCAGCGCACATCAGTCTATGGCAAAAAGACCATCAAAGAGCGTTAAAATAGTAAACATTTATAAATTCAAGACAGCGTCTCGTTTTTATATTGTCTGGCAAACATCACACGCTGGTGGTCATGGCATCTATTGAAACATATTAAGGCTTGGTGACCTTTTCAGCTTGTGTCTGGTCTCTCCTAAGAATTTAACACTGCTATAGAAAACAATTACAGTTTTGACCTTTTTTAAAAAAAAAAAAAAAAAATTAGATATATTATATATAAGTTCTATCCCTGCTCCGTAAAATAGCCAATAGTTAAAACGGCAAAATCCGAGTGTGGGAATATGGCAATGGAGGAAAACAATCCCCATCAATATGTAACAACCATTATACTGTTTCACTACCCCATGGACATTGAACACCACTGTCAGAAGGCTTCACCCAGCTCAAAACACAGAAAGCAGCCATCAGCTGATTGTGGGAATTAAAGCAAACTGTTCAGGTTGCTAACCCTGCATAATATCTTATAAAAATTAACTCTTTCTTTGCCATTGAAGGGAAGTAGTGACGTAGGTTTCTGCTGCTGCAAATTTGTTAATCAACAGTCCATATTTTATAAATACCTGAAAAGCCGTGTAGAGGCGTAAAGGGGATCAACACATTTTGTGGATTATAAGATATACTGTAGTACACACTGAGATTTACCATCTCTGTAGTGTGCACATTGTGTAACAACTAATCTTTTGCAGAACACAGTACAATCAACATGTCCCCAGGCATTTCATTTTTTTCTCTTTTAAATATCACTGATGGCAATATCATTCAATTATTAAATGGCAATTATTTAAAAAAATGTTTAATGGTTCCTAAGGCTAACCTTTTAAAGGAGTTAATTTAGCAGGTCAGAAATATACATTGGGTAACAAATATTAGCCATGTAAAGTGTTTTGGGGACAAACATTCTTGTTGATCATCAACACCACATCGCTATCTTTGGTTTCACGGAAGCCAAGTCCCAGAGTCCCCTCTTCCCGACTCCTGTGCAGTGATCACGTGTTTAGTGCGCATTCA